CCAAGAACCCCTTGTTGGTATCTAACAACATCAGATATTGACTCGGATGTAGGGCTTAACTAATTAATGAGGATTTGCTTTTTGCCACATTAATTATTGTAGACACAATATATTATATTTGGTTTCGATGTTTGTATTGTTGTGCTTTTCTTATGAATGTTTTTGAATAATCTTTTCTAACCTTCTTTGTACGTTATCTTTTCTTCAGAAAGTGTGACGAAATTGCTTGTCCCTGATAATATCATTTCGTTTGTATATGGTTCCATTTCCGTTCTGTTGAACTTGCATCACGCATACGCCGTGTATCACTCATAGGTATAACTCATTCGACCCGTGGCCCCATACAGGTTCTCCCACTTGTGGTTTTAATACTACGGCAGCAATTTGCTGATTTGTCGAGCTCTTTCGCAGCTTGACATCTTGACCGGGAAGGCGATTGAAGGGGATTGCCGTCCTTGGGCGACGGACTATCCAGTCAGGTTTCTCTCTTTGACATCGGACCGATCCGGAATGTGTCCAGTTCTTTGTTGTCTACGAAAGACAGACACTTGTCGGCGCTGCAGGAAATGCAAAGTGCAATTTGCATACGGCTTACGGGCGACAGTTAAACAATCCACGAGTCGCCCCCGTCGAGTGACTATCATCATTGTGAATTGTGAATCATAGCACACATCATCCGGAGCCCATTCAAGCGGACGGCAAACTGTTACACGCGAAACCACGGATTACTTAGCGGCGGAAACAAAACTGCAAATTAACATGTTAACAAAATAGCCAGTTATTGTTGGTCTTTCTGTATGTCTGTCTGTCTGTCGGACCCACTAACTCTCCGTTTGTCTGGGGTGTTAACAGCCGCCCCACGGCAACTCGCAACTTACAGCCAGCTAATCAACGAGAAAGCAAATGGAATATGGAAACAGCTCACTGAACAAAACGTAGGATGGTGGGCGAGGGTGATGAACGCGATCACGCAACCTGGGGCAACGTTTTTGCGCCCAGTGTCGTTTTATTGCCGGAATTGATGTCAAAGGTGCCACTCGTTGATCATATCGCAGGGAATTGTCGCGATGTAGACTCATTCACACAAATGTAACACCCGATGACCACATAGTGTTCTGTAGCATTTGCAGTTTAATAATTCAAGTAATTATTTCACTAGTTACTCAACAAGTTATTACTTTTCTCCCGACATTGTCGCAGATCATAAAAAATTTGTGGTTTAAAATGTACAATTGGTGATTATATTTTTCTTTTGCTTTATTTTGTTAAACATACTGAGACAATAAGTTGTCATTCAGCAACATAAATTCAAATTTCTGCCTCCGCACTCGAATATGTCAAGCAAAATATTTAGCCTTTATTGAGGCTAAGGCAGGAAGGGGGGAGATCGGCGGGATTGGGGAGCCACTCATTCTTCATCTGGAATCTTGAGCCAGTGACACACTTTCCGTCTCTGTCTGCTGTCTATTGCCGTCTTGCTTGCACTCTTCACTTTGATTGAGGCGATTTGCCGACTCAATTTGTTTTTGTGCAGCATTTTCATTTCGCTCATTTTGCCTTTTCATTTCCATCTATTTTCTTTCGCACTAATCAGTTTCAATTTTCATTTTTTTTTTTGCTGCTTTTTTATTTGTGCCATAAATGTGGGTGCAGGGGGTGTTAAAGCTTATCAAGTACAAGCTCGCTATCGCGTACTATTTATAACCATAGTTGTTGATTAAGTAATTAATACCGAACCCGGTTGTCGAGTACTTAACCGGGTAATTGGTCTGATTTCCAATTAAGTCAACTTATTGAGCTGGTTTTTGTGTACTCTGACAGACAGACTCTGGTCTGTGGCTCTTTAGAAGATTAGCTTTATCCCTTGGATCGGCCAATCAATCCCCCAGGCCATAATTCATATGCATGTCCAGCGTCCGTTGTCCGTTGTCCGCTACCTCAATTGGTCATTTATCAAAGCTCCTTCACAACAAAGAAAACATTGTTCGCGACTTGGGTACGATGAACTGGAAAGAAAAGATTGGACAATCGGGGAATGAGGGAACGGTGAGGCACTCAGCGAGATAAAGCCGCGAATAAAAGCAACAAAATAAGAAAATGCTTTCCGGCAGCATTCGACGTGTGTCATTCATGAGCACAGCACAAAAAAGGTTAAGGAAAAAAAAAAACCATGACAATAATAAACCAAAGAAAATAATGGTCCAAAAGGTATTGCCAAAATTGTGAACTGGCAAAAAGTAAAACTCATAGCTCTAAACCTTAAATCGAAGCTTTGTTTGCTTTCAAATCTCAAACAGTCAATGACATTGCCCAGACGAAAACAAATATCAAATGCAATAAAGCCAAATAAACTCTGGCAAAAGCACAAGTCGAATAATGTAAAGGCATTAAGAACAAGCGAAACGCGCCCCTCGATTTCTTATAAACATTTAAAAATACACCCAAGACGAGAACAACAATAAAATGTCAACTTATTTTTAACAAACAATGCGAACATGCCGTGCAAAGATGTCAAGTGCATGCAAATCAAATTGAAAAGTTACTATACTTCTAGGGGGAGTTAAGTGGGTGTTCTGATCAGATCGATTTGACGGGGAAATCGACAGTCATGACATCGTTAGTCACTTTAAGACTCATACCCAATGCCGATCACATTTGGTAAATATAATTGATATTCTGAGTGATCTACGTGATAAGGTTGATGATTTGTTAATGGCACATGGGAAGCCATTGCCAAATACGGAAATATATTCGGATGTGTTCTCGGAACTTCTGAACCTAGTATAAATGCGATTTTTATAGGCTATTACATATGATGTTTATTGGATGATTGTATCATGAAAGCCTATTAAAATAACGCTTTTATAAATTTTATAAAGAATTCTGTTTCAAGTTTCTTATTTTCATGAGATTTGATTTTTTAACCTGTTCTTGTCAGATATTTTCAGGGGCTTACAGATAACTTTACATGTTTTATTCGCGGTATAGTATTTGCGTTTTATTTTTGCGAAACCATAACCAAGTCATTAAAGAGGTATTTGCATTGCGTGTACTGTCTGTGCGACTTGCCTTATAAAAGCTGTCCTCGTCTTGTCACCCAGTAAACTTCTCTTTCATTCCCCCCTTTTAAATTTAATTTGCATGAAGTAACAAAACGAATGTTTTGAATTATTAATTAAGAAATTAATTGCGCGTTGCCGCCGACTACGAATCCGAACTTGGCCTCTCTGACATTCCAGGCCATGCGCTTTCATTTTCCAGCTACAGAGATACAAAAGTGTATGAAATATTTGCTGAAAGCATTCACTTTATACATTGAATAAGAAAACTTACATTATTACTTCCAAAACCAGACAAAGAATAACGAAATCAAGTCGGAATCTGATACTAGGCCTTCAGTTTTTTGATTATCTATTTAAATGCTATTTGAGATGTTATCACTGAATGCGTATCAAAATATTTCGAAATATGTTTACGGTGCTCTGCTGATGGGTGGTTAAATTCAATTAGCGCGTGCCATTGTCTGGCAATCAATGCCTTGGCATAGTTTCGACTCCGATCCAAGGCTCCGGCTCCATCGCATCCACAATTATTGTCCATTGTCCGGCGTTGAACCGCGAAAGTCGAGTCATCCGGTTGTCTGTCTGCTTAGTCAGCCAGCCACATTTGCATATCTTTCACACCCGACCAAGCCGGATATCATACATACTATATCTTGCTGATGATGCACCCGTGCTCCAAGATCACCCAACTCCACCCAACTGCATCCATCCTCGTCGATTCCACCAGATGAGTGAGCAGCTCCAACAAAAGATGTTCGAAGTGCGTAATCTCTTTCGATTCACGGGCCATTACCAAGCAGAAATTAATCAGGAAATAAATTATTTACACTCATACTCGCCTTTGCAGTCTGGACTTTGTCTTGTGCTGCCAAAAGCGTTAAAAAAATTTGTGTTTGTCGGTTCATACAGATGCTTTGTGACAGTGCAAAATGTAATACTGAAAACTGAAATCCAATTTCCTTTATGGCTTAGTTATAAGCGATTATAATGGTCATTGCATCTGACTTTGCTCAAAAATGAGGCAAATACAGAGATGTTTCATTTGAAAATCGCACAAGAGAAACTTCAATTTTGATGTCTTTTCTTCACACACTTTTCATCGTGAATTTCGTCCATTTTTGTATGCATGTGTTTTCCTCGATTTTCATTCGCTTTTATTTCATTTTCCATTATACAACTTTTGTTTTCTACTTGATTGCATTTTACTTTTGATTTTTCTGCTTCGTCTTGCAACGAAAAATCTCTTGGCGTGAAATTGTTTTCTTGCTTAGATTTCGATGATCGATTGTTCAGTGCATTGGAAATGCATTTAACGAGGTTTTCGTTTTTTTGTATTTTTATCTTTTAGATTTTTGGCCATAAAATGTGAAATTGTGCATGTAAAATTGCTAATGGTATTTATCTACACTTGTTATGGGTTTCACCTGATCAATAAGTAGGGGTTATCTTAAGTTCGGTCCATGTAATATTGTGATGAGATAATAAAGAATCGACTTCTTTGTGTTTTATCTTTTCTGGCTTGCAATCGATTTTAAATTACGGAACTCTTTCTTGTATTTATGTTGGCAATACACGGTTCTGATTTATCAACCTTTTATTGACCATAAATTGTACAATTTATTAATTAATTTCATGACACTTGTATTGTCAAAGAAGAATGCAGGTGCCGCAATTATGAATTTTGCAAAACAACACAAAACGCGTATATTTTTATTGGCAAATTAATTATCATAGGGAATTATTTTCAGAGATTTAAATTTCAATTATTTATAAATTCATAAAGACCGCCATTTAAAAAGGTTTTTCCGTGGTTATCCCACCGCGTTAATATAATCACTGCAATTCAATGGGATTATGCTGTAATGGAAATACTTTTTTCCCCTTTTTCCTTATCGATTTTCAACTAATCCTGCGTGTTTGCCCCCTTCCATTTTGCAGACTCTGCTCGCTGACAATAACACGTCTGTCCATTTTGACCCCGTTGCCGGGCGACACCACCTCGTTGTCGCTGGCGGTGAAGATGCAGAGCTCCAAGAGGACGCTGCGCAGCCACGAGATTCCCATCAATGGATCTGCGTTGACCTCCTCCTCGTCCCTGCAGGGCAACTCCCCGTTGTCGGTGGTCGGAGGAGCTGGTGGTGGTGGTGGCACACCGGGAAGTGTGGTGGGCACTGGAGGCGGACTGGGCGTGGCTGTGCCCTTGACGGAAACCGAGCTGGACTTGCACTTCAGTCTGCAGTATCCGCACTTTATTAAGAGAGATGGCAATAGGTGGGTTTTCAATCGAACATATTAATATGTACATTTTTTAATTAAAATATTTTATTTTTCTTCAAAAGACTGGTTATTTTGCTGCAACGCCGCAAGAAATACAAATCACGCACCATTTTGGGCTACAAAACGCTGGCCGAGGGCATCATCCGCATGGATGCGGTGCTCCAGAAGTCGATGGACATGATCATCGAACTGACCGCTTCCGGAAAGAACGGCAGGCCGGGAACAGTGGTCGCCTGTCTGCGCGCCGAACGCGTGTCTTCCATTCCAGTTGACCATGACAATAAGAACAACAACAGCGTCCTGCTGGCAGGTGAGTTAACCAATAATGTAGGGAGGGATTTATATTGAAAGGCACTAAATGTGAGTTTATAAAAGAACATTTAATATTTTAAATATAGAACTATTAAGTAAAGAATCAAGTCGCAATCCTTTTGCTTTAGATTTGAGATTGTGATAAATTTATTTGCTTTCCTAAACAAATTTCAATTTGTTCAGGCAAAGTTCATAGTTTTGCTTTTACGTGTCCCGTGTCACATATGCCACATCGATGAGCATTTCCTGAAGCGAACCGTGCTAAAGAATTTATTGCCAAATCCATAAAACACAAATAAATGGACCCACGAGTCGCAGGCCCAGTCAAGATTAGAGAAGTGCTAATGACGCAAACTGGGCAATTAATGACCCTAGTGGGGATGTTGTAGGTGGAGGTGGAGATGGAGGCGGCAGGAGATTCCAGCACCTACTGCTCCACTCCATGACGGATGAGTGCCTGTCCCGAGATCAGATGATGCTCCCAATTTGAGCTGATGTTTATGGTAATTGCTTGTGAAACAATTCAAGGGGGACGCCGGGTGAAGTGCTAGGTGGCCAGAAGTGACGTCAGCGCACGCATTTCAAAATTTATGCCATGAATTTCGCCCCAACGGTTAGGAGAAAATAGCCCCGCACATGGCAACAGAAGCCTCATCCATGGCAATCTAATTGAAATTATTTTTCAGCTATTTCTGTTTGACAAGAGAATGGCGTGCGAACCGAAAAGAGCGCGCTCCGCTGAGAGGAAATTCAATTATGAAAATAGCGTTGAGCGAGTGGAAAACTCATTTACCATGCGGTTTCCCATCGGCAACATCTGGTGGCCCTACTCGAAACCATAAGAAAAATGTATAAAACAAGGGGAAGAGCGGCGGCATGGAGTGGCCATTTAAGATGAGATGGAAAAGGCCACCAAAGAGTGCTCCTGCCAAAGTAGTTAAGCTGTTGTATTCAGCCCTTCTTGAGAGCGGATGAAATAGAGAGATTTTCAGTAGTGTGTTCCAACGTCACTCGGTCAGGGCCAAGGTAAAGGTCAAACCCAGAAGCTCACCTCCAGCCTGGCCGGGCTGATGAAATATGTATGACATGCAAAATTGAATCTTTGCAACCTGATTTTTCGGGCCAAACTTTTGCAGCTCTAATGGGAAACAAATCACGGGCAAAAAGGGTTGTCAAACCGGCAGGGAAAAGCATTGAATTAGCCTACTCTTTCATAGAGTTGCATTATTTCGAGGACTTTTTTGCAACATTGTAAAAAGGAAAGAAAGTAAAACCTGCTTTGTAACCCAGACTCAACTTAAACTAAGTATCAAATGAGCAGGGTATTCCCACTTTCGGTTTTACAAGCTCAGCAAACTTTCCCCTCCAAAACGACTACCGTAAATCAACTTCATTTGGCATAAATCATCCCGTTGTCACTACTAGTTTCGGACACTTTTGGCGCACCCGAGGATTGGCTGGGGATAACCCTCTGCTCGAGTGGAATGGGTACGCTGAACTGGTGGCCATCAGAAGTTCCCTTGTCGCTGGCCACTTGGCAATATGCCAGGGCACGAGAATTTGGCTCCCGTGTTCAATCCATTCGCTGGCAGTGACAGTCAGCCCCATATAGTGAGGGTCAGCACTTGAACCCGAGCTAAATGAACTTAGTTATTGCCGAAGAGGGGAAGGGGGTGGGGGAAACATATAGACACAGACAGCTCTGTTAAATTACTCTGGGTCTCGCTTTCTAATTTGCAAAAATGGAATTCAAAAGCAGAACAGAGAGCATTGGGCAAATGCGAGAAGGAAAACCTTTTTGCCTCAACCTCAATTTGGTGTATTGATTTTCTCTTTATGCGGTCCGGCCTCCAAAAACGCTGCTGATGGCATTCCGTTCTGGTTCTTGTTTGCGGGAATCGCTCGGGAGGAAATACCAAAAGTGCACTGGGGGAAAATCTCTTTTTAAAATCCTATTACATACATCCGATTTATTTTGGGAAACTAAGAAAGTGGTACAATAAAGTAAGAGAAGATGATTAAGGTAGAAATGTAATATTTTAACATTGTATTTATACTTCCAAAAAAACTTATTTTGAAATGGTAGAATTTTTTCATATCATAAATTCATCAATTTTTAAGCTTTGTGTTGTGTTTTGCAAACTTCTGACGTAAGAAACGAGATTTTGTTTTGAAGTTGGATGGTTTCCGCCTGTGCCTTCCTTCTTTTATCATTTCGAACTTAACTCAATCGAGTGGATAACCGAATTTGGAACAATCTGGGCGACATTAAGGAACTGATGGTGTATTTTTTCGGTGCGGTGTGGGTGTGTGCCCGGTGTATTGCCGCAGGGCTGGTTGCTTTTGCCGCTTGCTTTCGCTGCTTGTTGAATATTCCTCGACCGGGCGCACCTCGCACTGTTGCCACCCACCCAGTGGGCTCAGTCGGCACCACCCACTCCCAATTCCGCACCACTCAACCCAGCAACTCAGCAAAGCACCACCACCAGCACCACCACCCGTTCGCATCCATGCCCGCAGGTGCCAGGCCGAGTCAGGCACCATTAGCAGTTGGACGCTCCTTGAGCGAAACTTGTTTGTGGGTAGATTTTTAAGCGGCCTGTTTTGATGATGAATATTCCATGGCCGGAACGGGCTTTAAATCTGGGGGGTGGGCTCTCGAAGCAAAGAGCCCTGTGTAAATTGGTCGCACAGTACCCTAGATTCCAAAAATGGTGTAGCACTAAAAGGAATCGTTTAAATAAATATGTATATGCACTACCGCTTAAGTACCCATAAATGTTTTATGAAAATTTTAATCAGAGTGTTTGGTTGGTTCATTTTTCATGCCTGTAGCACTCTTGGTAAACGATGAAAGTTTTGAGGACTCTTAAAAACCATTAAAAGTTGGAAAGGATTAAAACTGGCAATCAAAAAAGTCAATTTTAGTCGTGCGCAGCTCTTTTCCAATCGAATTTCAATTTATTTGTTGTCAAAGCAGTAAAGCGTAAAAAGGGGATTTATTTCACTGCTGAATATTGAATATTATCCTCTCTATGCTGTTATGAATTATATTTTATGAAGCTTAATTTGATGGAAATCATAAAAGTCGAATGGTAAAATTATTTTCAATCTAATTTAATTTATTCATTGCGAATTTGATAGTGAGTTCATTTCAATGGGGAATAATCCTTTTTTGCTGTAATTAACATGTTTTATGAATTTAAATTGAACAGTTTGGCAGCCTTTTAGTTAGGGATTGCTCTTTTATAATAGTTATTCTGCCTGCCTGATGATTTCGTTTTCGTTGCTTAATTAAATCCATAAATAACTTCCAAGTGCGAAAGCAAATCAATCATAAACTTGTAATTCCTGGCCCAGCTGTGTCGCTATCCCTTCGATTAAGGTCTTATAATTTATGTAGAGGATAACGCCACGCCTACGTCCTGTTAAGCCTGCGGCTGCTGCATTCCCGTCTTCATCGTAGTCTCGTGTCTTATGAAGCTTCTGCTGCTGATGACAGCTCCGACAGCTTTTTTTCTTTGCATTTTTTTTTGCGCTTCTGCCACAACGACAGGAATTAAGTCATTTGTCCTTGAGTGCCAGAGATAAACGCTCTGCAAAAAGTGAGACGAGGAGGGATGCAAAGGAGGAGGAGGAGGTTGCTAGGGAGGCTTTTGGGGGCCTCTAATGACCGTAGAGCCACCAGCCACCCCTATATATAGTGTTCTTACCCCATCCCCATATATTGTTTTATTTTTTTGCGCACCCCAACCATTGAGTGGTTAATGGCGAAATGCGTAAATTATGTCGAGAGTATCCACATTGTTCACTTCCACGCTGCTGCTGCTGTTGCTGTTGCTGTTGCTCTTTCCCCTCCTCTCTTGTTAAACCTCTCCCCCCGCCTTCAGCCTCCAATCACCACCCACTTACCCCACCTTCCCCCTTTGGCTGTCATCTAATGACAAGATTCGTGTGCTGGCCAAGGTCAAACCAATGTATTGCCTTTTTGTGCCAGTTTTCTATTTCTCTTGGCTTGTTTACCCGGCTCTTGATTCTTGGTTCAAGGGCGTATTGTGTTTTCGCAGTAGCACATTTATTTCAATAATTTTAGCTGACCTAGCTTAAGATCGTACAGTTTATATCATACATTATATGAAGTACGCAACACAGTAACTTTTACAGAAGGTTGTAGTTTTCACTCAACTATTAAACGCACTGATTAACCTTAAATTTAAAAAAACTTTCTTGCTTCTATTATTATAAACGGCGTGTAAAATCAGTTTTTCATTTGAAAATACCTCCATTGTTTGACAAAGTTTGTTATAAATAATTCAAATGGGAACAGTTTCCTACTTTTATTGTTTTATGGTTAGCAACAAAACGAAGTGTTTAAGAGTCGGAAAATATATGCGAACCAAAATAATATTTTCCTGCTATAATGCATAGCTCTTGTTGTGGTTTATCCGATCTCCCGCATGGGATATAGAGAGCCCCAGACACTAAATCAATGTCGCTCGTCGCTTTTCAATACGCTTTTCATTACTCATACGCAGCGTGGCACCGTTGGAGCGTGGGATGATTGTGCGTTGTGAGTTGAGGTGGAAATGGGGATCCCAATGATGGGGCGGCTGAGAGGTGAACTGTGCTGAATCGAGGGCTTTGCCCATGACACATTATCTTCCATAGCTTTCGGCAACACTTTGTCTGCCATTATTGTCTCACTCTTCGCCTTTGTTTACTTGTTTCGCCTCGCTCCCAAGTGGAAATCACTTTTCGTGGAAATTCCTTGGACCAAAGTGTGCATATGTATGTGTGTGTTAACATTAACTCGCCTTCCAGGAAACGCAGCCAAAGTCCCCAGACGGGGAAAAGGTCATTAAAGTGTTTAAGAATTGCATGCAATTATAAAGGAATAGAAACTGCAAGAATGGAAAACAGGAAAACAATGCCAGGGCGACGTCATTAACTTGTCTGCGTAATTGCAACAACGAAGACAAACAAAATAATTGCCCTCAAGTAGGAAACTTCCATTTTCTTCTCTCTTTAATTTTTTTTCTATTTAACCAACACGCAAAGGGGGCCAAGATAAATATGGTGGGGAGGGAGTAAAAGTCAATAAGCTGGAATGCAGCTTCTGCTTTGGCCCCAATTAATCATTGCTGCCAGCAGTTTCTTTGAGCCACTCTATCCCTGTCTTAGCACTTGGTTTACCTTTCTGTGCCCGCTTTTTAATCATTCTTGTACTTATCACTTAACGGCTTTTGAGGCTGTCAAAAGTTACACTTAGCCGGGGTTTGCTTAGCACCCATTCTCTCAGACTACGAAGTAGTATAGCTCATCCACTAGCACCGCCCAACACGCGATGGATACTCGGGTAGAAGTTTTAGGAGCGGGAAAACCCGCTAACAACACCCACTGCTCACCGCCCACTCTCAAGCGCCTTTTTCTCTTACGATTCTCGCGGCAGACAACAGACTACAGAAAACCGGCCGGTGAATAGCTTTGGCTAAATGATAACGACGGCAAAACATGCGAGCAAATAAACAAACATAACAAGTAGCAGAGATATAGTGAATAAACTCGAACATTAAAATACCCTTTCCATCGTTACGATGGCCAATCTTAAAAATAAATTACTCAAAGCTATATTTATCCATCCATAAAAATTTTGGTGGTAACCTTAAGATACCTGACTGCACCTTTTTGCTGGTATTCAAACCTTAAAAAGCTATTAATATTTTGTTAGATAAGCTTCTTTCTGGGCTTGACTAATATAAATTATATATTTTTAAAAACAAGATTGTAAATCCCCTTTTATCGATTACCAAGAAATTTTGATAAGGATTGGTATCTTACAAATATTTCTATAAAATCTAAGTGCACCGGTTCATATACATATTATTTATTATAGCATTTTTTTGCCTTTAAAGAGTAGAATGTCACATACCCTGGCAAACTGTGTATACTGGGTATAAAAAAACAGATGAGAATCATAATTGAAATGGACTGAAAACGGGAGTGGAACTGGTAGCCGGTTTTTCGAAAATGAAGTGGAAACGATATGATATGGAAGTCGGAGTGAGAACGGGAGTGGGAATCGGAGTGCAACAAGTGACATCAGAAGGCGATGACACAAATCTTATCGCAAACAATGTAATTGTTCGATATGAGCTAGTGTGTGAAAAGTTTTCTATATGCTCTATATAAACTAGTTCACACGATCAAAAAAAAAGCTTCATAATTCTAGATCAACAGGAACTGTTGCTTGTTTTTATTGATGTAGATTTTTAGGTACCTAAAAGTATAATTTTATGACTTAAGCACTTAATATTCAATGCACGTTTTCGGTTTTACAAATGTACTTATGTATATATGGAAAACCAGTTCACACTTTCAATGGGATAATATTTCCAGTTGAATGAAGGTATCTATGTCAAGTATCACTAGACCTTTAAAAGCTTGGGTGCTCCAAAATAAAGTACAATTCAACTTAAATCCGAATGTTCTGTATACACTTGGGTTTGTAATCGATGAACTGATTGTGTGGGTGGCACCTCGCTTCCCTAATTGAATCCCCTGGGGAGGCGCTTCTTCCCTCTTTGAATACCACTTTGCACCCACTTCCTACCCAAGTTTTAGTTCAATTGCCCGAATCGAAGCGTAAAAATAGCTTTAATGAGCATTTCCCGTGCACTGAGCTTTTGACACTTGTTTAGTAATATCGAACAACGGGCCTTATATAGATAAGTCCACGTGTGCCGTCGTGTGTGTTCAAATATAATAGAAATTTATCGGAGCGCACGTTTGTTTTGCCCCTCAATTGCTCATATTGATTTGAGTAATTTCGTTCGGTGCGCAAGTAGCTCATCTCTCTTTGCTTGGGGCTATTGTTGGTCCTCTCCCACTCTCATTGCACCAGTGTTGTCTTAATTCGAAAATCAAAATAACTTAAAAAATTGCTAAACGATCTTTGTTTGATCGTGGTATTTGTATTTATTACATTCTGGATTCTCTTATTATTTCCATACCAATTAATCTTTACAAATTAATTTAATTAAAATCACCTGGGGTAAGATCCACCCCACCTGTTCTACAAATATCGGCTATAAAAATAAACATTTAGCCATAAATACGCTGAAGGGGCAGTACTGAACACCACTCTCCCACTTGTAGGCTCCCGCGCTCTCTTTCACTCATCGCAAGTGCACAAAACGTGTGGAGCTTCGAGCAATTCATTCATTTCACCGACAAACGCTCAGCGGTTCACACACTCGACTTTCGAAGAAGAGAAAGAAGCGGCGGAAAGAAAGCAAAATAATAATCCGGCAGATGAACAGATAAATCGGGCGTAGTTAAAAAAAATCAAAACAACAGCAACAGCTAAAAAGACAGTCAACCGTGATATCTGTGATTAATTTACGAAGCAAAACAACGAAAAAAACGGTGTGCTTTTGGTTAAATTTAATAGAGTTCACGAAAACGCAGTTAACTGTAAAAAGGTAGTAAAATATTTACGATTTAGTGCAAACAAAAACAAAATTTAAGCAATTTGTAAAAATTTACGAAGTGTTGTCACATGCAACAAAGTGTGATTTTATTTTTGAAAATACAAATTAGTAGTTCAAATAATTAGGCAATTTTGTTAAGAAAACGATGAATAATTAAAAATTTTTCTTTGCCATACAGCTGATCAAATAACGTGTGATTCAATTGTTCTTTAAATATTAGCAGATAAATAACAATAAGATGTACGAGTGTATATGAATATTTAAAAACAAAATGGGTTGTTAACGGTTGAGGCAGTTAACCCATCTTTATTGTACAAAACAAAGCTGCCATAAACCGAAAAAGTTTATAACAACGCAAAAAGCAGTTGCCCCAGAGTGTTTATCTTAGTTTTATTCAGAGATACGAGTTTGCAACTGCTTATCCGAAGAGCAAAACAAAACGAAGATACTTATAGTACATATATGTTAATCTTGTTCCGCAGATCGCGTTGCTGAGTATTCCGACGAGGACGAGGAGGCCGAGTTCAGTTCGGGCGAATTCAACGACGAGGCCAACGAACTGGGCCTGATCCGGGGATACGATCCCAAGGATCCGCGGGATTACAACCATCCGGCCAAGCATGATATGCGAAAGTATCGCAACAAGCTCCAGCGCTCCGGAATCGAGGACTGTGCCCTAGTGGGTCACCATCCCGGTAGCATCCAGCACCATCATCCCGGCGTGGTCGTCGACAGCGATAGTGAGTTCGAGATGAAGGACAAGAGCTCGTCACGGGCCAAGTTTAGCCGGGTGAGTCAAGTGATTCGTGTAATCCCGGCCAGCTGTTTTGCGTGGCACCCAAAAAAAATTGTCTCTTACCCAAAAGTATCTATATATTTATAATAGCGTGGCAACGCACGTCAACAGGCGGGGCTAACAGAATTTGGGGGGGCTCTAAAATTCATTATGCAAAGTGAATAAATATCACTTAGTAGCTATCTATATAGATTAGAAGCGCACATTCGCACATATAGAAAATAATGAGGGGCCGACCCGTTCATTAAACGAGTGAGAAACGAAGGAAGTTGTTTGTTTCTGCTTAGAACCCTATAATCAGAGGGTAAAGAATGTGAAATTAGATAAAGTAGGTATGGCTAAGTATTTAAATATTTACCAATTCCATATAAACTAGTACTGCATATAAAATTAGTTCCAACCTACCTTTCTTTAATATTAAACTAAGTATATTAATCATGATAGAGCACAGTTGTAATTACCTGCTAATATCTACCATGACTTCCTTGTTTTGTATATAAACATGCCTTTGTCTATTACCACTGCCTTTTAGAGGAATTTCCCAGAAAATTAGCATAAGCTAATCTATAAGGCATTTTCATATTATTCACATTTAGCCCACTCTAGTCACTGAAACTATGCTTAGCCTTGTCTTACATTGTTAGTACCTTGTTGCTACCTCCCCATTCTTGTTTCGGCATTTGCCAATTGCGAAATATTGCCAGTTCCTTGCTGCTAACCCAGATCCACGAGCAGATACAAGAAACATAGAGCAACCAAAACAAAGACCCACAACCGGCGGCCAAATCAAATGAAATATGTATCAAAAATGTATCCCTATAGTATATAGCATGGGAGTAGAGTGGATATATATATATAAACTTATGTTCGGGCTTGCCCCAAACGGGGTGGCCAAGAATTTCTGTGGCAAATAGTTGACAATTGTTGGGGCGGCGGCCTTGGCGTGTCGCTTACTCGACTCAATTTGCTTAGATTCGCCCGGTGGCATACTTTCGATGCAATGACTATATCTCAGGGCTATATCGGGGTCGTGGATTGACAGAGTGTGTGTGTGGGTTGCGATCTAAAAAAGGAAACTAGGAAACTTCCGCATGACAATAGATCAAAGTTGGAATAAATGAAGGAATTCCTTTCTTTATTAAAATATCTTAAATGCTAATCACATTATTATGAATCAATATTTATAGATCAAGATGTCGCATTTAAATTAATAATCCAAATTGTAATATTTTTCTTTGTTCTGCCATAAGTCAAAACACCCATTGCTTTTTTAATCACAGTATAATTACAAAATCCATGCTTTATTTATGGGTTTCCCCTTAGAAGTTCTGTGTACTAATCACAGCAGAGGCAATTTTCTTAAGCTGCCGCTTTAATATTTAAACAACGTCAGGCTTTGAATCGGCTCAGTCGTTCGGGCCAATTATGGACTTTTTCCTCGTCCCCATTTCCTTCTCTGCTTTCCACGCACCTGCAAACATCCGTAGCACAGGTGTAAAATTAGCCTGCGGCTTTTATTGTCATGGCTTCTACTTTTTTGTTGTTGCCAGCTTTTTATCGCAGGATCATTTTGAATGCCTGCCGTAGATAAAAACATGCCTAATGACAGCCCCGTCAGAGAAAAAAAATAAAACAAACAAAAAGAAACCGATGAGAGTGGGGCAATTAAAAAAGAACGATGCATAAATTTTAACAGCGCTCCAGTCGTCATCGCTGCTGCAGTCCTTGAGATTTTGTTTAATGGCCTATAAGCAACTTTAGATTTAGCCAAAGGCAATTAAGTGTTATTAACAGGAAAAGGGGGAAAAAGCAGAACAACATTTTTATTTCAACTTAATTCGCGCTTTTTATAGTCAAGATCCTACTAGCTTTAAGTTCCTGTAAAACTAGTTATTCGTTTTGTTATTGAAACTTATTTAAGGGTTTTTTCAATAAAATAGTGGTTGAGCATCTGGAACTTAGATGAACTAGTTGTATGGTTCAATATTAAACTTTATTTTTAAGGATATTTATAATGAAAGTAGTATTCATTTTAGAAATTCTTGATTGACCAGTAATGATTTTAGTCTAAAAATCAATTTATTTTAATGAGTAGTCATCGGAGTATAAGTAATAGCTTTCCATTTCAACGAATCGTATATTTTTGCTGTGTAATTACCCCTTTGATAGTAATCGTTTTTATTTACTTCCCCATTTCAGACGATTTCGCTGCAGCAGCGGAACTTCAAGCAGAAGATCGTGGCGCTGCTCAAGCGGTTCAAGGTGAGCGAGGAGCTGGAGGGGGAGTCCGGCCACCGGGGAACGGCGGCACTGCGCGGGGAACGGGATCTGGATGCACTCTTCCAGGAGCTGGAGTCGCTGTCCTGCTGCGAGGGCGACGATTCCGGACCGGACATGGACAGCATATCGGTGGGCTCCACTCCGAAGCCATCGCTGCGTCCCTTCTTCACCAACTCCCGGATAATGCTGCACGACAATATCACCGGGAACGGCGGAGATCTGAATCAATTGGTGGGCGGAGGTTCCGGACCCGGAATCGGAACTGCCGGTGAGTACGAACAAAAAAAAGAGATTTAGTTAGCGGGTTTTGATAGGCTTTGCCTTTTTGTTGATGTGTTATTTATTGGAGTTCAACTTAACAACTTTTGCTCTATGAATTATGTTTGGCTTTCAATGCGTTGCGTTGGATATGAGTTTGTGGGAGTTGCGTTGCGTTTGCCTTACTATTATTTATTGCCTAAAACTGAAACACACAAAAGTTCTTTAACCAAATCCGCTTGTCCGCTTTTTATCAAAAGTTTATAAGAACCTAAAACTTATTCTAGAAATAGTTCAAACTTTATGATATTTTCTGTTAAGTATTCTGGTTTTATTTTTGTCCACTGGTTAGTGTTGTCCGCTTGTCGGTGATTTTCCATTGTCAACAGTTTGGGTCAAGGTTAAAAAATACGAAAAATAAAAAAAAATTGCGGAAAGGAATGTCACACACACACACAGATGCAGACACAACACAGCATACCCACACACACATACACACCGCTGAACAGGACAAATTGTTTCGCCTGGAAATTGGAGGCAGGACCAGTGGGACAGAGATGGAGATAGTTAATTGTCCTGTTGACCGTTACTGTCATCGCCGCCCACTGAATAAAATGGGCGCGTCCTTGCACTTTTTTTTCCAGGCGAAACAGCAGCGCAACCATAACTTTTGTAGCTTTTTGCTGAACTAACTTTCAATTGTGTTCCATAGATGTAAGTCGAGTATTTTTTTGAACCAAAAGGCTTACCTTAATTAAACTACTTAACACATAATACTTAAGCAACAAATCCAATACAGAAAACAACAAACAAACAAAAGATACATTTTGCATGGCTTGAACAAATTTCTCTTGCAGGCAACTCTGAGCGCCGATCATCGGATAAGAGCGACCAATTGACCAATTCATCTTACAATCTTGAAAATAACAAAAACCAAAAATGCATTCATTTAACAAACAATAACAATTCGGCAACAACACCAGGTCTGTGTACATTACAGCAAAATCAAAAAAAAAGAAAAATACCCTTATACCCCCGATTCAAAATTATAGAAATACTTTATACACTCTTTGCATACCACCCTATAAACACCGAAATGAGACCACAAACAGTTGTGTGTATCCCATTTACAATCAATATATATATCATACTCGAATCCGTGTCCAGCTTGTAAATAAATAATAATTATCTACCCGATCCGATAAATTTTCAACTCAGAAAATCCCAAAAACTTTGATCAAAATCTCAACTTTTGTTTGGGGCTTACGTCACCTTGAAAATAAAAAATAGTGTATTAATTCTAGCATTCGTAGGAATATACACTCTTTAAGAATACAATATTTCGTGAGCTTTTACCTTTCCTTTGGATTATAAGAAGAAAAAGTGTGTTTAAATAAACAGGGGGAATTAATGTTCGAATCATTCCAAAACGAATTTATAACGCAGAGGATATATTTGAAAGGCTTTCTAGATTTCTTGATTGTTTGTCTGTCCATTATTCAAATATCTCAAATGTAAATAAATATTTAGACTTGTGAAACAAAAGAAAGTAATTTTTAGGATTCAGGGAAGCTTTTTTATTTTTCAAGGAGGCGTATCCCCAAATCCCTTGCCTTGCCCCACACTCACGCACAGCTCACACACGCATACAGCAACACACACCGCCACAAGTACACTGGAAACGTAAATGTATGCTTTGTAAACGTACTCTTTGTTGTTGCACCACACCGCTCTGCACCTTTGCATGCTTCACAATATTGGGGCGGATTTAGGGGGAAATCTTGATTTGTGCGTCAATTCCATTGATCGTTTCGTATTTAGTGTAGTTGAGGTGCATGTTTGTGGGGTCTTAAAATAAACCTCATCGCATTTTACCATCAAAAAAAAAAAAAAAAGAAAGAAGCCAACGTCCTCGACATGTGTGAAATTGTGTGTGAGTCTGTGGCATGACAATTGAACCCTCAACGCACTTGAAGCGGTTTTCCAATTAGCTGTGAAACATAGACGTCAGACCCCTCGAAAAAGAACACCCCTAATCACGGCCCTAAAACGCCCAGAACCACCGCCCCATCCACTTGACAAAGTCTTGGATTTGTTTGTACCCTCCGAATTTTCCCCCTTTTTCCCTCCACCACCTCACTTTCACTTTTATTTACGTGTCGTGCGTTTTTTTTTTGATTAATCGGCGCATGGCTTTGAAAATTCAAGCACGACGAGCCGGAAATTTCTGACTGAGAAAAATATGGCCCCTTCCCCCACCTTCAGCCCACACCATTCATGGTCATAAAATAAAGAAAGCTTTAATTATATTTTGGGTCCGCGTTTTTATTATTTATTTACACGTGGCTCCTTGGAATGGGAAAGCCTTCGCAGGGGCGTTCTATTTTCGGGATCGACTATTTGTGGCCGCCATTCAGTCTCACGAGTCTCTGTTTATCTTGTCTTGTTTGGTCTCCGCATGTCTTATGCCCCCAGATTCACACCTTCCCTCACCAGATATATTCCCTCACCTGGGGTCATCAGATCGGTTGTGTTTTTGGAAAGAATTATAGAAAACCATTCTTTAATATACATAGTTAGTTTCTGTTAAACTGTCATACAAAATTATAAAAATTATTGTAATTATTACGATTAGACCTTTTATATTGTATTTAATTCGATTTAGAACAAGGATTTCTTATCATTTTTTCCAAAAACACAATTACAAACATTGATGATACCTGTTTTAAAGATTTCATAACCTAAGCCTACCTCTCTAACCAACTTACAATTTTTTTTGTGCTCCTCACAGATCGTGGTGGAAACGACAGTTCCGGCAACGAGGGCAATGCTGGCTACACGGATGGCCAGAACTCGGATCCCCAGAACAGTCCGCCCAGGGACAAGGACTACATGCGTATGCAGCAGCAGCAACAGTTGACCCCAGTGAGCTCGGTGGCCGCCAGTTTGGGAAGCGGCAACGTAATAACACCCGCTCAGGGGGAGAAGCGGTCGAGATTATTCCGCACTTCCAGCAATACTCCAGGAACCACGGCGAGTGGAGGCAACAGTGCTAGTGCCATTAGCGCTTCGGGAGGCGGCAAAAGGAAGCACACCCTAAGCCTAAGCGCCGAGCCGCGATCCGTGCTGGAGACTTGCCTCTCGCCCACCAACGTGGAGCCACGCAAGCTGCTGCTCGACCAGCTGAGTCGCGTGTTCGCCGGCGAGGACAGTGCCATTCCGGAGGTGGTGACCATCATCAGTCCGCCGGAGGCGTTGGGCGGCAGTGCGCTCCTTGCCAAGCTGGTCACGCTCTTTGCCAACTCCTTTAAGCCGGCCTTCGTGCCGCAAAACACCGCGGAGGTCAAGGCGGTGCTGCAGGCGCTCATGGCCAAGATTCAAAAGTAGTAAGTGCTTGCGTTCTATTATCAGATATGAATACTTGATTAATTGCCTTGTTTCCTTTTCAGTTGCAACTCGAACGCCAAGCCACCGCACACGGTGAAAGTGCTGCTAATTGGTGGAGATTGGCTGCAGGGAGCCACCCTGCGACATTACGTGGAACTGATGGGAGTGAGGCCGCCAGATTGGCTGAATCACCTGCGCTTCTATCTGGTGCCCGTCGGCGGCAGTTGTGGCAGTGTGGCGCGTCATCTTAGCCAGATGGATCAGGCATATGCGGTCATGTTTGGCTCCGACAACTGGACACAGTTGTGCGAGCGAGCAGCGGCCACTGCGGCGGCGGTCAGTGCCGTGACCACGGTGAATGCCACGGCTTTGACAACCAACTTGGCGGATGCTGCAGGCGTGGCCAAGTCCGACATTGCGGAGTTAGTGCAGCGCATCCAGCGGTATCTGTTAGCGGCAGGTCCCTGCACCCAGATACCCATCGCCGAGGCCATGGTCAACTACAAGGACGAGGACTCCTGTCAAATTTTCGTGCCGTTCGTTAGTGTAAGTAATAAACCATCTAAAATGATGTAAAATTTCTAAGTGGGTCCCATTAGCATTTCGATTAGCATTACAATTAATAACCAATTCTTGTCTTTTTCTACAGGATGTTCGCATTGGTTATTTGGACGCCCAGGCTTCGCTGGACCTCGATGAAATTGCAACTGGCGCCAACGCGACCGGTGGTGGACTAGGTTCTGGATCTGCCTCCAGCTCAGCCATCCCCATTGGTAGCCAGAGCTCGCCGAATGTGCATGGCGTGGTTTCCGGTTCGCCACCGCAACAGCAGAGCCTGGGACGCATCTCACCGCCCCTGCAGACGCCACCATCATCCGCATCCTCCCACCGGGAGCGGAATACCAGCGAATCGCTGAGCACGCCATCGTCGCTGCAGCAGCAAACCTTCAGCGGAGCTCTGGCGGCGGCTGCTGAGGCGGTGGAGCTGCAAGTGGACTATTGGCCACTGGTGAGACCGGGCGAAGGACACACCAAGGAGTCGAAGGGCGGCATGTCCAAGGGCAGCGACGCTGGCGGCAAAAATAGCATTAAGAGTACGTTTAGGAACCTGCAGGTGTGGCGTTTGCCACAGCATGCACAGCAAATGGGTGATATGTTCAATGGACTGACTGTTAGTTTCGCCACCAAGGAGAAGAAGCAAAAGCAAAGTAAGTGGATTGTTATTTAAGCTTTAAGATAGTTTGACTTACAGTTGTTGTTAACTTTCCAGTTATGCGCTTGGGCAAGAAAAAGGATAAGGAGCGTGATCTCGAGAAGGAGCAATGTGTGGAGGGCGTGGCCCGCTTGATTTGCTCACCCAAGCAATCGCATCCAGTGCCACTAAGGGGTAAGTTTTTCAAACTCGCTTTTAATAAGAAGTTCCTTTAAATATTTCTTCATTTTCTTTAGTGTACATCGATGGCACCGAGTGGACGGGAGTCAAGTTCTTCCAGGTGTCGTCGCAATGGCAAACGCACGTCAAGAACTTTCCCATTGCGCTTATTGGCTGCACCCCCATGTCCTGTGCTGAATTATCCTAGTCATTTTAAACCCCAAGCTCACACGGGACATAAGCCACTCTCCCACAAATAGAATGAACACTGAAACACAGCCACACAAACTGAAAACGTGCTTGAAGCAAGGAAGCCCGTCACTTGCACGGCAATAAATATTATAAAACTGAAAAGAATGATAATTTATTTATAATTAGTATTTGTAAATTTTTAGTTAATAAACCGTTAGCATGTAACATTTATTTAAGTTAATTTCCACACGCAACCTGTGAATTTATCAGATACTTTCGACCCGCAATCAGACACAGACAGACAACAAAGGAACAGACACTACTAGTTTAACGATATGCTTAACGTATTTATAAACTCGTCAGAGATGAACAACGCGTATCAAAATATCCTGTACAAGAAGGTCTAGAACTAAAACCAAACTATGTAGTTACCGTTTCAAGAATTTCTATGGACACGTTGCTCTTGCCTGTTGGCATGTAACTAGCATACCTATATATGTTCCCTAACCAGCAGTACCCAAGCAATCGGGAGCATTAGGCCCCATGATCTCAAAATCGTTGCTCCCGTCTGGCCAACTATCAAAAGTATCTAAATGGTAGGCAGCATGCTAAACCTACTTGACAAAACAAACTCTAAATATTTAACCAAGCCCGTCGTCTATGTACTACCTAAATCTGAAAAATATCTGTGTGTGAAATTATATACAATACATACTATATATAGTATACCTATCTAATCTACCACATATACAAAACCATGTGTACTACTCTTATTGTTGTGATTTTTGAAATTTCAAAGGCAGCCCAGTCGTATTAGCGGATGTTGAAAAAGCGTAAATTTATACATGTATACATAACTCTATATACAGCAGGCACTAGCAGGAGGCAGTTCGATATATCCATTAATGTATATTATATTCTATTCCCCCCTAAATCGCATTCGTGTCCCCTTAGTAGTTGCGAACCGATTGAATACGAAAACCCTGTGTGTTTTCCTCCCGTTTGAACTGAAAGATGAAAAGTGCGTTTGAGGTGCGTTGATTGCGTTACGAAGTGAAATACTGTAAGGCGTGTAATTTATAATTGTACTATTAAAAATATTAAAGTTAAATGCGAAACAAACAATACTTTTTATTGAAACAATGTGTTTAAAATCAGCGAACATGAAGCACCTGCTGCGGGAGGCCGTTGACTAGAATGGAGCGCTCGTTGAGGCCCAGTGATCCACCGATCCCGCCTGGAGGTTGAAGAAAGTCATTATCCGGATAACCCTTGGGTTGTGCGAACTCCAGCAGATTGGCATTGCTCTCGCTGAGTGTTTCTAGTGACCATACGGCTAGATTTTGGGTCTTTCCATGCCGAGCCAAAACATAGAACTGTGCGATGGATTTACGTAAATACCAGAATTAAATCTTATGGTTAAACCCCTTACCCGATCTTGTATATCCACCAAATAGCCGACAATTAAAGCCCAATGAGCTCTGTGACCAGATTTTAGGCAAGGTGCGTGGTTCACATCAGCATCGTAACTTTCGAGTGTAAGTTATGAGTGATTTAAGGATCAGCCACAGAAAAAATAGGAAAGAATTGTGGTGTTTGGGTATTTGTTCTAAATAGGATTACATTCCAAACGAATATATGTGGATTGTGGTTTAAAGACATTTATTAACCTCTATACATACAGCTTGAATAAATGAATGTGATTGGACTTAAAACTGACCTAGGAAACTACCTAGCCCACTCGCATGGGTGGTGAAACTAAGATAACTCCATCGCCTCTTACAAAGAGCATAGGAATGGTGCGTTTGGCGGTTTTGTACACCTCCTCGTAGGTTTCCTCGTCGATTTCCACGGTGGTGACAGTCTCCTCTGCGTCGCCCAGCACCATGTTCAAATGCTGATCAAAGGCCTGGAAAAAGTTTTATTATAAAGGATTGTTGTTTCAGACAACAAGAAGTAGCCAACTTACATGGAGACGTCCTCGAAGTTCTCTTTCGTTGCGCATCTTGACGTACACCTTTTCATCCAAACTTAATCGGATGAGATCCAGGGGCTCCTTAACCGGCAAAATCACCTGACTGAGCTGCAAGTACAAGAAATTGAAACAGTTTTCTTTACTGAATAACTTTAACTTACCTGTTCTGTTTCGTCGGCCATTTATAAGTATTTTACACTTTCGTTTACTAATTGAATGAAAACTTTAACAATTTTAGCAAACCCAAAACGTTGTTTATAATATTCAGCACTACGCAATTGCGAATTTCACAACACTGCCAGCGAACCGCGTGCTGTTAACCGTTAAAAAGAGAGCTGTTGGGCGCCAACAGGTTTTAAAATTCGGTTAAATAACCGATCACAAGCCAGGTTTGAAGTTAGATTAGGGAAAATAATTTAAAAAAGGATACGGCACCAACAGACAGCCACCAGCTTTCAACAAATCTTTGACCTTTTTACAGTTGAGAAGACCCTCATGTAGCTGACATGCACCAGGTCCTGGCATGTGTTTTCGGGTGAGTTTATATAAATACTGGGCACTGAACAGTTCACCATTTAAGGTGAATTCATTGGCGATGGCATCCTTCAGAAGATAATCTGCCGTGGGCTGGCCACCGAGCAACATGCTCAAGGCCACTAAGCCACAAGTAGGTCCAACCTCAGGTAATTCACAAATAAGAATAATTCATTTTTTAATTACTTCCTTACTTACTTGAAGTATGCTCTTTACATTGTAATACTGGCAGTGTTTTGGGGGAGCATATTCGCATACTCGGCTAAAGAAGCATCCTTTTTGCACCTCGGGAAATTCCCAGGCCCAACTGCACTCACCAGTGGTTATATTGACCACAACAGGAACATCCTTGGCGTGAACAGATGTCCCAGGACTCATCAACATCGGAGGTGGTGGTGGAGGCGGTGCTACAGGTGAAGTATGCGACATTTAAAATGATTAAGTAAATAAATATTCCTAACTAGTAAACAGACAAGAAGCAGCTGATTTCAAGAAGAATGTTAAATAACAGCTCAGACTTATCGATAACTGATAACAGTCCACCAGATTGAATATTTAATTTGTAATTGTTTTACAGTGGAAAAAAATATAGAAAAAAAACCCCAAAAAAATTCTCTGAATTTAGCTTAATTATGGTTTATTGTAAATTTTCATTGTTTATTTTTTAAACTAAACCAAAAAGCATGAAGATTTATAATATGAATCAGTGGAATAAAGTACATACCAAGTAAACGCAATTTTCATACGTGTATTACCAAAAACAAGGAGAAATTTTAATGAAATACTATTCGTAGTTTTAGGACATATCGAGTAACGTTACAACTAAATAAAATTCACGCTCGAATGTTTTGCAAAGGGGAGTTTTGTGGAGCTTAGCCAATTACGATCGAGTAGCCAATTCGATAGTGCAGGAAATTATGTCGTTAATTACATTTAAAAAGTTTTCTTTTTATTAAATTTACAATCACAAGATTTTTTTGTTTGTTTCGAAGATACTCTGATGTTGTATTCTCATTGTTGCTGTTCTGTTGCAAAAGCCAGCAGCGGTTGCGTGCAAAATTTGACTAATACAATGGCAAAAATAGTACTAGGGAGATAGGCGGGCGGTCAGGAAACATGAATTATTTAATACGAGTACGCGGAGCATACTTATTCATTGAACGGTTTACTTAGGTCGTAGGAAGTTGGGTATATTGGTAAGTAAAGCCTTTGCCAGAGGCCCGGTTAGAGTCTGCTGATGTTGATTTGAATCTGAACTTTGCATCCTATCAAATAATTAATTACTATGCTGTTTTGCTGAAATTGTTTTACTTAATCATAGAACACTCTCCTCCGTCGTCCTTTGTGTTGCCTGCTTCTCATGTTCATTATTATGTTGGAAATATTATATAATAATATAGATTGTGTAATTAATCCATGTTGCGTTGTTGTTACATTAGCACTGACAGTTGTCAGGATTGCCAGGACGATTGTTTTGCGAGCCCAAGGTGATCTGATCGGGGAAATCGTTGATAACCTCAGCCTATAAGGGTTCAGTTGATTAGTTTTGTTTGCAGGGCAACCCAGTTAAAGAGGGCTACTTACCTCCGCTTCCAACTCTAGCGCATTCTTGGCTATAACCTGAAACGCCATCTCCACGTTGATACCCTCCTTCGCGGACGTCTCGTAGTAGGGTATGTCGTTCTTCGATTGGCACCATTGCTGCGCCCGACGCGTGGACACCTGGCGGTTGTCCAGATCCACCTTGTTGCCCAGCACCACGAAGGGGAAGTGCTCGGGATCGCGTGGACTGGCCTGTATGAGGAACTCGTCACGCCACGAGTCGAGATTCTTGAACGAGTTGGGCGCCGTCACATCGTAGACGAGAACGCAGCAATCGGCGCCACGGTAGAAGGCCACTCCAAGCGACTGGAAGCGTTCCTGACCAGCAGTGTCCCAGATCTGTCATCGAAATTATTGGAGCTTAGTCACCTATGAAGGCGGTTTCGTCGATTCTAAACGGTTTACCTGCATTGTGACCACGCGGTCGTTGACAATCACTTCTTTCGTGCAGAAATCAGCTCCGATCGTGGCTTTGTATTGGTTTGAGAATCGTTTGTTTACATACTGGTTCATGAGCGAAGTCTTGCCCACACTGCTGTCGCCCAGAATGATGACTTTAAGCAGGGATTTCCTGTGGCCAGACATTTCGATGTATTTTGTGGGGTTGGCTTACTCGGGGGTCTCTCTTTTGGCTTTTGGCGCTGCAAGACACAAAAAGGTATCGATTGGGTGTTAAAAATACCACTGCATTTTTTCTTAATTCGATTACGCTGTTAAAAGAATGACTCGAGGAGTATAAGGGTATATTTTATTCTTGTAAGTGAAAGCCAACCTATGGGGGTTGCACTATCCAAATCTTGGGGAGGTTTTTAGAGCTTATTTTATTTCAAATGTGTGCAAAATTATTCTTTGATAAAGAATAAAAGAGAATATATTAGCTTTTTAAAAGTATCTGCAAATTCAAACATAAATATGTAATTACTTATTTTGGTGACACTTTTTTCTATTTTAGTAAGATAAGGTTTTCTTTAAGTTCGAGCTCGACAACAGCTGTAAAATGTTTGTAATGGGAAGCAACATGTCTCAGATTGGTTTTATAAATTGATCCATTGAGCTGGATGATAAACAAATGAGTCATGCTGAGCTGTTCGCAATGAGTGATCGCTGGACTGTGATAACAGGAAGGAAGGAGGGGGTGGGCACCCGCATCGGGGCGATAAAGCGTGATCATTGGTTTATTAGCTGGCGCAGCGGAGAAAGTGCGCAAAGCACGAACAAAGACGAGGTCATTCAGAAAGATGGTGCTCTGAATTGCCAGGAAAAGCATCCGGGGAAAACGCCCATTTCCCTTAAATCCTCAACCAAAGGGGGAGTAACCATTGGCCAATCGAAAATAGTGCGAAATTGGTTTCTCGGAGGACAGATATCTGCCTCCCCTCCCCTCTCTACCACCTTGGCAGTCCACGAACAACTTGTTTTTGTGCTCCACCAACACTCGTAGTGCTTTGGTGTGTGTTTGTCTTTGTGTGTACGTTTTTCGTGTGTGTGTATGTTTGATGTGGGGCTCCAATGGCATTTTCCATGCACTTTTTGCCTGCTGCGTAACACTCTTTTTGTTGCTTTTCTTTTGTTTTGCACTTTTCTAATTTGTCATTAGCACTTACTTTAAACACTAGTGAACACTCGACGAGCTGTTTCTTTATGGTGCGACTTGATTTTACTAAAATATTTAATTAATTACGCAGTGAATTTTGTTGTTGTCTCGCTAGGAGTATTGCTCTCATCTCTACTGGTCGGTATGGACTATCGATGGCGTGAAGTCGATATAACTATCGATATGCGTTGCTCTATCACACGTTGGCATTAACCAACACTGTTTCGTGTGGCCAATTAACGAATTGTATCCTATTTTTGTTGAAATTATCACAGAAAATTATTAAAGTACCAGGAAAAACCGAAAGCTGCCAAACGCTGGTAACCGGGGCTCACAGAGGAGGCTTTAATTAAGATGGCCACGCTTCCGCCGCGCAAAAGTCAGACGCCCACGAGGATTTGCATATCCAAGCAGCATTTAACGCCGCTCCAAACATTGCTCCAAATGGGCTTTCCTAGGCACAGGGCGTAAGTTATCATTTAAGTTAATTGGAGGTCACCGGATGCTCCAAATCCCTGCAAAACATAGTCGCTTTAGGTGTAGCTGGACATCCAAAAATCAGGTTTAATCTCTCTAACACAAAAGTATTGATTTTTTTCTGTTTGCGACTACACAGGGAAAAAGCTCTGGCTTCTACGGGCAATCGAGGTGTTCAAATTGCCTCGGATTGGCTACTGGCCCATGTCAATGATGCCACCTTGGATGAGTGCGCCCCAAGGGAGTACATCATTTACGCCTGTCCCACAGGACCATTTCTGCAGCAACTAGAGGAATTTTGGGCCAAGTCGCGCCAAATGTGCGGCTGGAATGGCGCCCACAACTATGTGCCTCACATAACGTTGGTCTCGTTTTTCAAGGTGAGTTTTTGGTTGGTACCTTTTTACTGTTTTTATTAATAACATATCTTTTACAGGCCCCCGATGAGTGCTCGCTGCAGTTGTCCAAGGCCCTCAAACAGGTGGTGGACATGACGGGAGCACTGTTGGATCGCCCTCTCAAACTGGAGCCCTACATGAGCCAGAACTTTATGGGCTTCTTTGTGGCCGAGGAGGATGCTAACTATCTGAAGCGGCTGGCCCTGCAGTACGTCAAGGAGGTGTCCAACTCAAGTACGAACTTCCCTTTCGTTGGTTGCACTCTCTTTGGGTTGTTTTGGTTTACCTTTCACGTTCTGTTCGACTCGATTCGGTTGATGGTTTCCCAATTTTTCGGAGTGGCTTACACGGTTATGTTGTTCTCCTCTCTCCCTGCACACTAACACACGGATATCTGGATAATGGTTAATGCTGCACAGTCATTAGCGATACCTATGAGCAGTTGGACGCCATTGTGGCCTGTTTCCCCTGGTGCGGAGCTGTCTCCTCGGGCACCCGCTGCATTCCGCGCAGCAGTCGATGTAAGCCATTAGCTACAGACATTAGTATGCATAAAATCTTATTCTGACTCACTTAAGAAAACACCTCCTTATCACCCAGTGCATGCCTTACACGTACTAGTAGATAACTTACTAATCTGCTCACTATATTGGTAAAATTCGACATGACTTTGCTAATTGTAGTTTATTGTTAATTGCAGTAATGAATGTAGATAACAAGGTGGGTCGGTTTGTTGTTTTTCTGCTTCTAAGTACTACTTTTTTGTTTAAAAAATTAGCTATTTAAAAAAAAAAATAAATGGTTATATTCGCATATAATATAAGCAAGCTATTTAATATATATTTTATCTAATTTATCTATTAAAAAAATCCAATTTAAGTTGCTTTTGTTATTGCTGTTATTCATTTTCTAAACATTCCGAAAAACTCTTGACTATTTAAAATCTGAGAATAACAATAAGATAAGCCTGTGACGATTGGTATTGCCCAAAAGATTACTTATCGTCATCATGATTTCTTATCAAAAGATCGACTCACCCTGCTAGATACAAACGCATATAAGCAGCACCGCTTTCTTTTCCATTCAGTAATCGTTTGCCCCGCTTAGCGATCGGCCACTAATAGCCTCTGACTACCCGTAGCCATCTCACTCGAGCCACACGTAAAGAGCCTGCACCTGACGCTTGCCTACCAGTTCCCGCAGGCACAGTTTAATGCACTGAAAGCACTCGTGGAGACACTAGACGCCGGCTGCGCCTCCAATTGGGAACTACGCCTTTATTCGCGCGATCCACGACTCGCCACCAAACAAGTTAGAGTTCTCTGAGGCAGTATTTATATGAGTTTTAATCCTTAAATGTATTTTTGCAGGTCCAGAAGGTCGTTTATCCACACAACCCGCACGAGACGGATGAACTTGAGTTACGTATCGGCGACTACATCTATTTGAATACCGAGGTTGTGGACAGTTCCAGTGACGGTTGGGCTGAAGGCATCTCTTGGTTGACCGGGAGCACGGGACATCTGCCCGTCAATTACACCGAACGCACTGCCGAATCGGACGCCTGGACCTTGCATCGAGTGGTCCAGCTGTCCAAGAGCGTGGCCTCTTCTCTGACTTCTGCCGAGGATCTAGACATTGTCGACGGTCGCAGCATATCGACGGAGCAGGAGGAACGACAGAGTGAGTTGCATTATCAATTATTGATAACAATTAAACTCCTAAGTTTCTACGAAAGGTCATTTTTAAAGCGATAAGACAAACGGGCATTCCAAATTGATAAAAATGTACCTTATAATATATTTATTTATTGAATGTGGACAGAAACAACTTTCTTATGTTATATCTTTTTTTTCCAAACAGACACAGCACATCCAGAGATAATTGAGGGCTCATCGTTTGAGGAATCTGAACAGAGTGTGGAAAAGTACTTGCGGCAAACACTGAAACCCTGCCTGGAACTGCCCTCCGTGCAGTTGCTTAACAACCACAACTTGTCCCATCAGCACAACCCGAACACGCCCACGATCGAGATCACGACCAATATGTCTTCCTGCTCCACCTCCGTGTCAAAGCAGCCGGTGGATGAGATCCTGGTGGAACCGCCGGCAGCTCAGCCCCCGCGGCCAGACGATACACTTAGCGTTCACTCGGACCACTCGCTGCATCCTAGCTCCCTGGATGCCTCGCATGCCAAGAACCGAAAGATCTACATTATGCGTCATGGCGAGCGAGTGGACTTTACTTTCGGAACATGGATTCCCTACTGCTTTGATGAGTTTGGCAACTACATGAGAAAGGATTTGAATATGCCGAAAACACTGCCGCGTCGAAAGAATAGTCCCGAGGGTTGGCAGAATGACTCGCCGCTGACGAATGTGGGTGTCTACCAGGCCAATCTCATTGGTCAGGCTCTGTCCGAGGCCCAGGTGCAGATCGATCATGTCTACTGTTCACCCTCGTATCGCTGCATTCAGACATGCACGAGTGCTTTGGAGGGACTACAGCTAACTGGAAAACACAAGATCAAACTAGAGCCCGGCCTGTTTGAGTGGATGGCCTGGTATCCCAGCGGAGTTCCGGATTGGCTTACCAAAAACGAGTTGATCGAGGCCAAGTACGACGTGGATTTGGACTATGAACCAGTGCAGCCTTCATCTGATTTAACCGCTCGACTCAAGGAGTCCACAGAACAATTTTATGAGCGCAACCATGACGTTATCCTGCAGCTGCTGGAGCAGACAAGTTATAAGAAAAGTGTAACCCCAAGGTGAATATTACTAATGTATGTGTTTTTCTCCTCCAGCTGGTAACATATTAGTTGTGGCCCATGCCACCACGCTGGACACCTGTTCCCGGCAACTGACCGGAGGAGTACCGCGTAGCACCAACGAACTGCGTCAGGTGATTCACAAAATCCCGTACTGCAGTTTGGCCACAGTGGAACAGGTGGACGGCGTTTGGAAGTTGGTGGAGCCCGAGTGCCTGCCGGTGACGCATTCGAAGAACCCGCGCTTCGAGTGGAACGCCCTTTCGGCCACCTAGTGCCAGTGCTTGGAGCAGTTTCTGTGCAAGCATTGAGACTGAGACTCGATTGGAATGGACCAGGAGGTGAATCACACACGGATGGACTTATACGTAAATTATTTGTGTAGCTATTTGTATGATTTACTGCTTGGCAGTCGGCGCTGCACTAAGTTTACTGTACTGCCATACAAATTTAAAGTATTTAGACGAACATATATGCCACTAAGCGATGGAATGCGATTTTGTTGCGGTATACAGACAAATCCATGTGAAACAATTGACCTGCTTGTTGAAAAGCCAGCTCAATGGACTCATACTTTATTGCAATCAATGCGATCTATTGACTATATATTGAATATATACATTTATACCACATGCCAGCAATTATACTAATTGAGCCCTTGCTCGCCGCTTTAGCCATAGATTAACTTGCTCTGTTACTTGCTTAGTTCTTAGACCACTTGATTAGCCTTGCTGCGTAGCGCAGCTTTTTTGTAGCAATATATCCCAGAGGCAAATTCTTCTTAGCAAGCTGTTGAGATTACTCCGTACGTAAAGCCCAAAACATATATCGATATTATCGACTAGATTTAGAAGTACAAACCCATGTAACAACGCACAACATAATGGAACAATAAACAATATACATGTAATGCCAAAACATTGAGATGTAAACTCCATTTCGCTTCCCAATTTCCCTAGAGGAAAGACGAATGATTTTTTGCATTGTCTTGTGCGACTCGGATGGGGTCGACCTTTATTTAATGCGCATAGAATTAGAATTAGTAATGTAATTTGTTTAGTTGTTAAAACTATTAATATAATTGCTGAACATTTTACTTGAATTATATATCTGCGTTCTTTTTTTTTTGTATTGTATTGATTCGGTAATATAATTCCCTATATATATGCTTGTTTTGTTTAGTTTGTGTGTGTTTGATTTAAAAGAGAAACCAGCAAGGCCGCGGCTACAACATCGATCAAAGTAATGGGTTACAAGGGCTTTCAACCTAGCATTTATTAACTTTTCGCTTTATTTTCTTTCGAAATTGCGTACGGATTTGCCGCTTAAGTATATCAAGCATTTAATGGTATATTTAATAAAAGGGCCTCATCTCGCGCCCCTTTTCTGGAGAATTTGTGTGGGCTTGAAATGGTTTGTCGGAGATGTGGGAAAACAAAAACTTCGGATCAAGCGAGCGGCCGCCAAGCTGGCCCAAACTCAAAGGCTAGCAGCAACAGGAGGACGACGGCCAGCAGGCCTGCCCTCAGCCAGGATCATCGCCTCGCCGCCGGCCTGTCCAATTGTTAGCACTGCACCTTGCCGAACTGGGCGCGCCGTTCCTGGTGCTCCCGGTACTCCTTGTAGTGCATCTGGATCTCCTGCGAGCGGTAGCGTGTCAGCTTTATGGACTTCCTCAACTCCTGGGTGATGGCAGCGCGATAGCCGCCTTTGCGCAGGAGCGAGTCGATGGTTTGCAGCTGGTCCCAGCCCTGTTCGGTGGCCACCTGTGGCAAGTAAGTAGCCGTGCGTTTGCAGCCGCGTTCCGTTAGGAATTCGATGCGGATGCCGTGGACCCCTAGCTGCCAGTCCAAATGGCCCTGGGCCTCCTCGAAGTTCTGCAGAATGGACACCGAAACAGTGAGCCGCGGCAACTCGTCCCTGGAGATGGGCGCAAACCGAGAATCCTTAAAAGCGCTGGTCAGGGCGTACTCACGCAGTCCGTGGTGCAGTTCCATGGCACTAAAAGTGCCGATGCAGCCACGTAACCGCTTGTCACGACCTATCTTCCAGGTCACAAAAAGCGGGTAGGCATCGTTGCTGAACACCGGCACCGACGGACCGTCCATGTTGTTCAGCTCACAGTCGAGCACCTCAAAACAGAAGAGGCACATTTCCGGCGACGCCACGCTCTTCATGCCATGGCCATTGGTGAACCGCTGCTGGTGGACCATCTGCTGATTCTGGTACTCTCCATCCCCGTTGCTTGAGTGCGGCTGCTGCTGGTAATTGTTGTAGTGGGAGTTGGACATGCTGCTGCTTCTGCGTCGTCGGTTCAAGTACTCTAATTACGTTAGGTAGGTATATATATTTAGGTTACAGCTAATGGCAGTGCACGTTGATGCTCTAAGTTCGATTAACACAACAGAACAGCCCCAGTAGTATGCCACAGAAACGCCAGTCCTCTAATCTTCTGGAAATCGCAATGGGGTGTTAGTTGTACTCTTAGACTCTTAGCCTTGGCTCACCTTGTGCTCGGTTAAACTAGGTCACCTACTGCCCTCCAGTCTGCGCTAACCTCTAGCCCTTGAGTCCTGGCACCTTGCTTGCTGATCCAATCCAGACCTCGTCCCCGTGTTCCTTGGCTGCCGTCCTGCTGCTGGTTAACTCATAAGCACCTCATTGAATTGCGTTCGCTGGTCCGCTTCTGCGTCTGGAAGGAATCGGGATCAGGGGGAGATTGGCGATTAAAAGAGTGTGCTCTTGAGTGGATTTCGATGCACTCTCGCCCAAGCGATCTTCACCTTTCGTTTCACAACAGCCTTTATGGGAAAAGTCGTGGGGGATCTAGGGGAAAGTCGGAGGAGAAATGCCCCCCTCCCACTATCGCATTAATTGCTCTTTGTTCGCCCTGGCTGTTCCCCCCACCCCGGGCTGTCTACGAACCACGCCCCACACATGCACACGGCCCTTTGTTCTGGCTGGCTTATCGCTGAGCCAAAGAGCACGATTAGCGCCCCTTAAGTACTTTAATTTACCTTTTTTTAATGTAAACAAATTTTACACTTTTTTACGAGTTCAGGGCGAACTAGAGATGGATTATTGAGAGCCAGGGCCTCTACTTTTGTATATCGATAAGAGCGCATACCAATACAGGCGGCTGCAACGGACTGTTCAACACTACTTATCGATAACAAAAAGAAGTTGCTTTGCCGAGCAAAATTGGTTGAATTTAATTTTTTGTTTAAAAACACAAAATGGTCCTGGCTAATGTGCTGCTGCTCAGCCAGATTGCTGGCCATGTCATCCTGTTCATCTTGTCGCTGTGCATCGTTGTGCCATTGTTTATCAACCTCGATCAATTCTGGTATGGAAGTGCGCAGTTTTCTTTTCGGTGGCCCCCATTAAATTATTGAATACCTTGATTTCCCACAGTGGTCACTGCCTGCTCTTCACAACTGGCAAATGGCGGGAGGAGGACGGAATGTTTGATGTTCAATGGGCCTCCAGTGGGTTCTGTAACTTTCCCTTGATTACTGGATTCTTTCTGCTCATAATTTCGTTGGTTCAAATATACAGGTGTGTACCTCGGGGAGATTGCTTAGTATACAGTATTCATTGAAACTACTTTCTTTGTTTTTTAGATATGCTCGCATGAAGGAGGAGGCTTCGTTTATAGCCCTTTTCATTGACGTGGTTCTGGGCATCTGGATGCTGGCCATGTCCATTCTGTCGGCTATATTTATTACCCTAGGTTTCATCGTCTGGTGCGATGGCATGACCGAGAGATTCCCATCTTGCGCCATTTCCGCGGGTCAGAACATAATCCGCGGTGACACGGAGAAAATTAATACCTCAGGGTTCTACATTGAAATGGGAACCACTCAGGTAAGTTAACAAAGTATATAAATATTGCATTAAAGGCGCGGGCTAAAAGTTGCTCAAAGTTTAAGTTGTATCAGTTGTTCTTAGATTATTTTGCATAAGAAATAAGTCTAATACAATTTTTAACTTTTTTCAGTTCGGTGCCTGGGGGTCGTTCGCTATTTCCGTAGGCATAGGCGTAATTGCCCTACTGAAACTTATCGACAACCACCAGGTACGCAACATCAAGGTATCCATGTACTTGGAGAGACAGCGGTTGGTGAATCAGCAGCAGTACGATGGCAGGTCAACCCCCCCGATTGTCTCGAACGCCTCATCCGATTCGGAACAAAACAAATAGTTGACGTTTGCGACCAGCCAGCAGTTTATAATTCTCTACGTATTTCTCATTACGTGCGTTATAATCATTGTATGTCATTTGGTCCTTGTCCTTATCATCGAGGCAGAAACTCGGCAGCACACCTTATATATGTAGTGAGGCGCGAAACTAACTAAAGATATTAGCCCTATGAACTAAGCCAATTTACGTGATATGTACTGTATATATGTATTTAATTAAATATTCCGTGTTACAAGAAAAGTAGAACAAAATAATAACATATTCGAAATTCTATGATATTTTAACTAAAATCTTTTGTTTAATTTGAGTGGCTAAAGTTCTGTTCACATCCTGGACAAAGTTCAACATTTTTATCATATAAGGGCCGCATTTTATTCAAATGTCAAGGCTGATAAAGATTTCCGGGTAAATACTTACTTATCGAGGTACTTTCCCCCAGCGTCTCCGCCTCTTCAACCACAAACCGGCAATTATACAGTGAAAACAATACATACGTTATGTCAGTTACATTTATTTTGCAGTTATCTTCTGTGTTGTGTGTGTTTTTCTTGTTGTTGTTGATGTCATTCGAATCTGCCGTAATGTCAAACGGATTTGGTTTTGGATTTCACGTTTGCATTGCAACAAAATGTTCTTATAGACTTTAAAGCGACGCTATTGTACATTTAATATTAAATTCCGTATTTGCTTGCGTAGTCTGTTACAATTCAATTAAAAATGTTCTTGATCGCATGGCATTTAGCCCTTGATCGCTGTATTTCTGCGTCTAAATTCAATCTTTGCCTGCACAGAGTTTACTTTAATGTGGAGCAAAAATGGTGGAAATTTACTTTTGGTATAGAGAAAAATAGTTACTTGTACATTTACGGGCTTTGCGCAGTTAAATCTCTTCGATACTGGAAATGCATCTACGACTGCTTGGAGTTTGGTTTTCTGTTATCTTTTTCTGTTTTCTGGCATTCATGAAACAATTTCTGGGTTTCTTACAATTAACACTACATCAATGTATGTACTATAATTAGTATTTTTAGTTTTTTGTTTTATGGGTAATCATGTTTTGGATTTCTTTGAATAGCATATTATTTAAACTTACATTCTATTTTTGGTTTTTTTTTTTCAGTGTTTTGTGTGTTTTCATATTTTGTTTTATTTGGTTTTGTTTTGTTTTGTTTTTTTTTTCTTTAAATACATTCAAAAAACATAACGCAAGGGTGGTAAAAAACGATGTGCAGTGTGTTTTTGTTGCGGTTTCTCTTTGTACGAAATGAGGCGATTAATAACCAAATCTCCTGCGGGCTGCGATTTAATTTGCTGGGGGCTAATCGATCCAGCCAATGCCAAGTTTGGAAGGCATCCTGGAGGATGGTCCGGATGACAACGCCACAGCACCGAAGGTCGCCAAGGTCTACGCAATCTAGGATGATTCAGTGGTTCGAATTGTAAAGCAAAATCATAGTTTTTTTTTTTTAATGGTCAAATATAAAAAAGTGGCTCTGGCGCATGTTTCGTTCAATCCATTGCATAGTCGTTGGCTGGTGGCGCCGGGCGTGTCCTCCGCTCTCCGCCGGAAGGACGGAGAAGAATGTGTCACGGAAATCGGTCGAGTGTACTCCGATTAACCCCTCGCACTGAGCCCCTTAATCGCAGCCGGAGGTGATTTGCCGAACGCAAAGGGTGGTGTTCTCTTTCTTTCTTCTTTTTTTTTTTGTGTGTATTAAGCTCAAACTCCCGCCCTGCCGCCACCCCACCCAGGAATCCGGAGTAGAGTCCGGACCCGAGGGCGGGGCCAGCAGAATGGGCTTGCATTTGGATTTTGATGAACACTGCCATGCGATTTCCGTGACCTTTGTCCATGGCAGTGCGTGTCTGAAAGCTTTGTGGGGGAAAAACTCTGGTCTGTTCTTGGTTGTGATTATCATGTTGGTGTGGTTCTGTTTGGGCGGCGGGCCAACGACTGAGTGCGTCCCCCTCTGTTTACATTTATCCGGCGACTAACCGGATCCGGCTAATCCCGCACTCAACCGGACCACGTCGTCGCTTCGTGTAGTGTGCCAGGGATGAACGAAGTGCGGAGGCGATTAGTCGCTTGGGCGGGGGATCCGCACTCGGTCCTTCCCTGGCCCTCAATCCATTAGCTGTCCCGGTGTCCTTCGTGTTACTGTGTGTTCACATAAGACGTAATGTAAAATTATTTATAAAACTTTCAAAAATTGTTTTCTTTATAAGCGCTTTAAAGTTGAAATTGTAGTTTTCGGATTTAGTGTCGCCACTCTTCCTCTAGGCGGATTTGACATCCAAAATAAGTTGGTTTCATTTCTTTTTTTTTTTGTTTAGACAAATGCAGGTGAAATACTTGCGATGCCATTGTTGCCTACGCTCGAAAATGCATTTTCCTACTTCTCGTGGTTTCACTTCATTATTTTTTTTTTGGTTTGAACACACAGCAGCGGAGAAAATTCATACCAATTGCACAATCCAAAGGTGTTCCATTTAATTAAATGGCAAACAAGACGAGCTAGGCCCGCCTGTGATTTCCAATTTATTCGTCCCAATTAGTAGTAGTTAGCCAACTATGCAATTTGCAGCTTTTTCCCTTCTTCAAAATTTCAATATCGAATCAATCCGTAACATAAAAAAGTTTCGTATAAATTTTCCCGCATCTGCTGTACGTTTTTTATTTTGACCTGGCTGAGTTTTTTTCTTGTCGGTTTTCGAAACCTGTTGGTTGAAAACACAACATTATTTGCCTAGTTGGTAATAGCTTTTCTTCTGTTTTTTTGTCATATTTTGGGTTTTACGCGATTTCATTTAGTTATAACAAACAATTTTCAACAATTTTGTACTTTTTGTTTTGTTTCTTGGGTTTCTCTAGCTTTAGCTTTACTTTTATCGGTTTTTTTTTTGTTTTTGTTTACTGTTTTTTTGTTTTGTGTTTCGTTCTCCCTGTTTCTTTTACTACTGCTTGCATTTCTCTCTGTTTAACGGTATCACTAATCGGTTTCTGCTGTTGCTTACATAGGAACAAAACGAGAAGGAACATAATTGAACTTGAATTTGATACAACTTGGCCAGACTATTGCTGAGTGTTTGGAATTAAATCTCTTCTCTACACTATCCCTCTATTGATTTAGCTTTTCCTTAACATTTGAATGTGGTTTGTTTTCTGCCTGCCCGCAGCTCTTTTGTACATGCCCATTAACCAGGCCATCTTATTGTTGTAATATTGTTTTTGGCAAGACCTGCGGACAGTGTTGGTTCGAGCTGTTTGAGTTTAACGTACTTATTTCAGACGTGGAAAGGCGGCCGGGTTCGCTGAGCTGCTAAACTGATCTAATCCGATCTAATCTCAGAGGACTATGGACTGTTTTATACAAGTAATTTTGATTTGAGCTTTTGATTTTCGATTTATTTAGTGTGATGGTTGGCAAGTGGCTTCTTCTGATCCTGCTCCTTTTGCTTCTGCTTTTGTTGCTGCTTTTGCTGTTGTTGGGTGGGGGAAATCGGGTGGGCTTATCGTGGGTGGGTGTCTTGTTTTTGGGGTGTAGGGTGCAGTTTTGGGTTCTGCGCTGGAATTAGCACGTTAAATCAGACGCTCGCTGTACCATATTCAGAAATCCGTGTTGTTTGTACCGCCGTCGCCCTCGGCGCCTTCCCCGGCCACACCCACTTCGCCGACACTGGGCGGCAGGGCCAAGGACAGAGGAGGAGCAGCCGAACCGGCCACCATCATGGTAGGTTCCGTATTCCGGCGTTTCATTTTCAGCTTGTTCTTTTTCAACATGGTTGCCTGCGATCAACGGTATTCATTTTGATTTTCAAATCATCGGTGTTTTTTAGAGAGAGATAAATAAGGAATATTTAAAGGGCAAAGCGTCCGGTGCATTAATTAGTTAAAGTATTTGATTTCATAGAGTTACATTTACGTTTTTTTTTTTGAATTTGTTTGGTTTTCGTGTGATTTTTGTGTATTTTCATTTGGTTGGAGAGAAAAAGAGAGTAAGATAATAGAGAGTTAACGTAAAGGAAATCAATTTCGTTTGCCTTAGCTTAGGTTCGTTATAAGTGCTTTAAAAAAGCTAGCTGAGAAATCAGGCAAAATGCAACGGAACTCAATCAACTAAATGTTTTGTCGGTTATACATATTTCAATACTGAATGATGGATTACGAAAGCTTGCATTTGAGAACGGAACGGAAATGGAATTAGAAATAAACTCGATCAAGTTCCTCGAGAGGGAAAATCAAAGAAAATAAACAAATTGTTGACAACTTCTAGGCGCTGTGACTTGCGGTAGTGTGGTGTTTTATCGTGTGTGTGTGTGTGTGGTGAGTTCTGAGGTGGATTGTGGTGGCTTCAGTTAGCTAAGTTCAAGTTCAATAGCGGTGGTCACAGTTCTTCTTGTGCAGTGGGTGGTTGGTTGGTGGGTGGTGTGTGTTTCATATCTTGGGTGGTGGTATTTAGAGCTTCACGGCCCCAACTTTTATTTACAGTTAAATTTTTTAGTTAAATTTTTTTGTTCCTCTTCTGCTTTTCGCTTTTTTAATATATTCTCGCTTTTGGAAGAAAAAAACTGTTTGGCTGGCCATTATCTCTGCTGAGCTGTTTCGGGGGTTACTTAGTTATCTGGCTATCTGGTTTTTATGGATTGAAACAGGAGAACCAATATCGCAGGCCGGTAGCCAAGCTCTAGGTGCTGCCAAAGCCGGCAGGTAGGCCCATTGAAGCCTCCTTCTCCCCATTCTCGGCCAGCTGTTGCTGCTGCTGTTGTTGCTGCTGCTGCTGCTGTTGCAGTTGCTGCTGCGACTGGGATTGCGGGGATCCCGATACCGATCCCGCTCCCGATCCCGATCCCTGCTGGGCCACCGAAAGACTCAGCACCGCCGGCGAAATATGCGGCTCCGTGAGACGGCGCTTACTCTTCGTTTTCTTCAGCATGGTGGCCTAAATATATATATAGCGTAAAACACACACATTTGTCAAATCCGACATACACACAGGCACACGCACATCAAACAAATAAACATTTTAGAACTCTACATAGTTGTTCTTTTGCCGATTTCATTAGTTTTATCACTTTTGTTTTTTTTTTTTTTAGCTGTCATTAACAAATGAAAAATGCAGAAAAAACGTGGCTATTTTACATATTTGGGGGGTGGCTCTGGGTGTTTCGGGTGGTGTGTGCTCTATTTGTTAAATACGACACATCGGGCGGGATTTACCAGGGGACAAATTAGAAATTGAACGTATAGAACACGCATATTCAACGCACACGCAGACAAACTGATTTTTTTTAACTTGATGACAATCGGTTGAGAACAACGAGATAGCCCTAAAAAGTAGGCTATGATACAAAACACAGAATGTTAATAATCAATTTACTTTTTGAATAAACTGTTAGAAAAAGAACCGCTTGCCATCTTGCTTTAAATATTAAAAATTACTTTACATCTTTGTTTTACTAAGGAAATAAAACAAAAGGCATTCCTAATATTATATTATGTCCTAATTGTCGTTCGTTAGTTGCGCCTAAGTATGACTTAAATCTAAATTTAAACTGTCCAGTATTTGCTGTTTATTCTTGCTTTTTAATTTTCTTTTTTTCAGAGGGTGTATCAATAAAAATTAAACGAATAAACAGGTAAAACAGAAGTGTGATCGGAAATCCGGAAGTATAGAAAGTTAAAAAGCGCATATTTTCAATATGAGCGGAGCTTGTTATGTTCATGTGGAAATTTAAACAGGAAATGAGGGTAGTTTTAAAAAAGCAGGCATGCCATTGAACAAAGTAACAGCAGTTACATGCAGGAAAACGGCTAAGGCGATCGGAAATCCAAATCGGAAAGGATTCACTTACCTTAAGGGCCGACTTGAGGACGACCACATCGCCGGGACTCTGGATCCAGGGTTCACCATCCACCTGAACGGGCATGTCAGTATTTAAGTGTATCTTGATATGACCACCCTGTGTTTGAAGTTTTATAACTTAATCACATGCTATCTAGTTAAGAGGGAATTTATTTGGTGCTAACCTGAGCTATACGCATAGCCGTACGAATTCCAGATTGGATTTGACCCAAGTGAACCACGCCAGTTACGCCCACCACCTCCAGCATTCCATCGTAGTGATTGGGCGTAGAGAACTGGTCGTCCTTGTCCGGACCCCAGGGATTGGCTCCACTTCCCCAGCTGAAAAAATGATTAAAACCATTTTAATTTGGATAACGAATTATTAAACCTATATAATTGCATCTTTATGTTCCACTTACCTCAAAATATTCAAGATGATTATGCCATCGACGGGTGGCAACTCGACGATCTTGCCATCGACCTCCAGTTTCAGCTCCTTGTGCAGATCCTTGACCGCCTTGCGACCCACGATTTTGCGCAGGCCCATCTTCACATAGTAGCCCTTGTTGCGCAGCCGCGAGTTGAACTGGTTGGGATTCTCCTCTCGCGCATTGTGGAAATCCAGGCAGAGGTCCGCATCTATTCCGATCCCGAAGTAGTTGTTCATCACGAAAATCTGAGAGTTGTCCTCGTTTTGAGCACCACCTGAATGGAACAGCAATTGCACTTAGTTTGCGTGCCTTTTGGCCAATTGGATAACACATTGACACTTGACACCGAACATTGAATTGACAACATCGAGGTGGATGATATCTACTGGTTATTCTTAGGTGTGCTGAGTTTACCTAAGATTTGGTTGGACCCCTTGGTGATTTGACTTGCCATTGCTTACCTTAACTTAAGTACACATGTGTCATCTAATGTTTTGGTCATGCAATCCTTCTGAGGAATATGTCTTTACACATCGAAACTAAACAGCATTATCATCAGATACCAAATTTGGCAAAGGGGTTTTATGTAAGAAAGGTTTTGGGGGTATCTTGGGGTATCTTGTGACTTTTTCTTTTTACAAATTTTAACAATCAATTTATACATAATTATAATGTATAAATTATACATTATATAATCTTTTTAAAAAGATATAGATTTTCTTAGTGTGTATGAATTTAAAGCATCTATCTGTAAAATCTATTAATCCTTTGGCTATAAGCTATTGGTAATTTTACATTTTAAAAAGGGCTTCCTAATCACATTTTTTTATATTTGAAAAACAAAAAGAAAACTCAATATAGGTACAACTTCTAGATTTTTACAAGTGTTGGATATCTTATTGTGATTTTGTGAGAAACTAGCAAAATATTACAGCCGGATGGGAATTGGGTCAAAGCAACGATTCAATTACAACACAAACGAAAAGTGGGGGACTTTTGGACAGGAAATGGGTCGAAATCTTGGGGGGTTAGACACTAGACGGGTTTACGGATATGATACGTTAAGAAAGAACACACGAACGAAGTTTTGAAAACACCAAATGACCTGATATATCACTCGATGTCAGAGCCGGTAATTGATGATGCTGATTGGTTTGTTGCGATTGCGATAGGTGTGCTTGGTGTGCCTTCTTCTTCTTACCGGTTGTTTGCGAGGGCGCCTTCATGGCCGGCTCTTCGGGCTTGTCCTCCGGATGGAAGACAACCGTCCAGCGGTCCAGCCGGATCTCCTCCGCCTCGATGACGTCGCGCAGGAGGTTCAGTGGATCCTCGCCCCCGGTGTAGCCGGAGCCCCAGCACAAAACGCGAGCCAAATCGTTCCCTGTTTTAAGGGAAACAAATAATAAATAACCAGTTATTATATTATATAAACTGCGAGACATAATCGTTCTTATTATCATTAATAGCAAAAATAAGTTAAATGAATACTTAATGTATAGGAACTCTTAAGGAACACCTACCAGTTCCCAGGGGAACTATGGCGCAAGGTGGGCTGGAGCACTCCGAGTCCTGACCAACATTATCCAGGCATTGCAGCACCCAACCAATGGTGCCATCGCCACCACAAACCAGAATCTTGTAGTTGGTTATTTGCCGGAAAACATACAATCTAAAGTGTAAATGTAAAGTGATTAGAAGCTGTTTCTAAACGAACTCTAAATGTAATATTTACCCAGGTAGAGGACCGCCATTGTCAAGATCAAAGACCTGATAGGGATTCAGTAGTTTCCTGAAGCTGGAGATCAGCTCCAATCCCTGGCAGCCACCTGACTTGACATTGACAAAGACCAGGAGTGGCCTCACATCCGAGGGCACCATGCTGGGCTCAATGTTCGGTAGGAGGAGCACCAGCAGCTTCTTGTCCTCGATGATCGTCTCGCGGAGATTGTAGAAGGCGCGAACCTGCAAGAAATAATCCGAAATGAATAGGGTTCCTTTTGGGTTAAACTTTCAATATAGTAGGATACCCACCGCCTTCATGGAGTCCTCAAAGGTGAGCACCACGGATCCGTACTCGTAGTAGATGGGTCCAATGCTGATGAACTTGTTCTCATCGGTTACGTACTTGTTGAGAATCTGCTCGTAGTTTCGCTGCGACAGACCAGTGGGTAGATTGCCCACAAACAGCGCAATGTTGGGTCCATGTGGATCCTGCTTGTGCTGCATGTAGAACCGCATCAGCTCCATTTGGCGAATGGAGTCCTTGCCCAGCTGCTTCATAATATCCCAGGGCCTTTCGTTCCACGACAAGATGCGTTCGGTGACTCCACGATCGAGCAGAACTTCCGAGCATCTAAAAAAGGTTAGGAGAATTCATTACAAAAGAACTCAGAACAACAGAACAACAAAAGACTATAATAATGATGTAATTATAATCAAATTAAATCATAATCGTATAATCATCTCTTAACAGAAAGTACATAGATTTTTGATCCTTCAACCCACCTATAGTCCTGTATCTGGTTATCCTGCAGCCCGAACTTGTCGAGGGCGTCGCGTATCAAATCCTTAATAACTGTGCTATTATCTACAGGAACACTGACGTAGGGATCCTCCAGCATCGAGCACTGCAGCTTGCCGGGATAGACGCGGACGTGGCCGCGATCGCGATCGTGGAACCGTAGGTAGATGGCCGGCCTCTTGCCCTCCAGGTGCGTCAGGTTGAGAACGGGCGTGGGATCGAGCATGGGGGTGTCCTCCATGCCGGCAGGTGCGTACAGGTCGGTCAGGTAGAAGGCCTGCGGATCGCGTGTGATGTGGAATGCCCGCAGGGCGGTGGTCAGCAGCTGCTCCAAGGTGTACGTCCGCTGCACGATGATCACGCGGTACTGTTGGCGTCGGAATGAGTTGTTGCCATCGAACACCTTGATCATTTCTGTGTGCAAAAGAATATAGTCGAATTAGTACTTCGAACTTAGAGATATATTTTCGAAATCCCTACCTATATCCTTCTCCTCGCGCTCCTTCTCCTTCTTCTCGCGATCCTTCTCCGACTTGTCCGACTTGTGACCGGAACCGGAATCGGGTCTATAGTGACCCGACGAACCGCCGGCCGCCGATGTCGAGGCTCCAGCCGTGGATGAGCCACCTCCGCCGCCACTTCCCCCGCCACCGCCAGCTGCTCCTCCGCTGCTCGGTCCATGTCCCGACTCGGTCTTGCTGGCCGACTCCTCGTCCTTGAAACGGGGTGTGTCGCCGCTGCTGAACTCCTCGGATATGCTGCGTGCTGCGGGTTCACAGGAGAGTGGGTCAGTAACTGGCCAAATCCTCACTGGGACAGGCATTTGGTTTAGTAGCAACAAAAGCGGCCTCAGCCTCGTGTTAGATACTTAATTGCACTCGGAGAAATATGCATTTTTGAACCTCAATATTTAAGAAATATTTTGAAAAGGTTTATTTTGCGAATATAAATTTAGAAAAGTTGATATGCTTTATACTTTTTGAAGGAATACTGTTGTATACTGTTGTAAAGTTGTTCTTTTTTCAGTGCTTATTATAAATATATGCACCATACTCAATACTTATTTTTGCGAGTGTTGTTTCATTCATGCAGTTACGTGTGGGTTAATGATTAGTGGCATTGCAATGTGGGGCGGAATGGTGCGGATGATTAGTGGTTCAATGGTTAGCGATTAGTGGGAGGTGGCTTGGTGGCTCAACGAAAAAGGAACGGGGCAACCGAAACCGAAACCAAAACCAAAACACAGTGGTTAGCAAACTAAGGACCAGTCGGAACCCAGACGCGGCTCCTGGATCCTGGAGCCTTTAGTTTTTTCTGTTAGCAGGGACTGAGACAAAAACAGAGAGACAGAGACAGAGAGATAAAGAAAGAGAGAGAGTGTGAAAGGAGTGGACTAGTCACCTCTGCGCTTCTGGTAGCGCGGCTTGCGCCATCCGACGGAGAGGCCCTGTCGCATTTGGCGGAGCAGCCTGCCCAGGACATGGCCATCGCTGGCGTCACTGGCCCGCGACCGACTGCTGGCCCCGCCATCGCTAATGTCGCCGCCGAAGGCCAGGTCATCGCTGGCGCCACCCGGCCGATCGTCCAGGTAGAGATCATCGAAGCCCACATCGTCGTCCACATCGGTGGCGTCCAGCCGTCGCGCCAACATATGAAAGTTGTCATCGTACGGCTGGTAGTTGCCATCCTCGTCCTGGATGGTGATCTCAATATTCTGCGAGAGCCTGTCCAAGCTGTAGTTGCTCTTGCCCGCCGCCGTGCCCGCATTCTTGGGCGATCTCTTCGAGCGGCGTCGCTGGAACAGCCCTCTGCCGTACTTCTTGTATCGGGAAACTGCCGTAATGGCCGCCGATTCCTGAAAGGATTTGCTCCTGCCCACCGGCGAGAGCTGGAGCAGGGTAGCCGGCGCGGAGGGCGAGGCCGAGGAGCAGTCACTCGAGTTGGAATTGGACATCGGCGAGCTGAGGGATCCCCCCTTGCCCTGCGCCTTGTGCTTCGGCATGAGTATGGGCTTGGGCTTGGCCTTTCCCAGGCCCGTCGCCCCAGTCTTGGGTTGCAGCACGCTCAAGGCGTGACCGGATTTGCCCGGGGCAGTGGCAGTGGTGGCACTGGTGCTTCGAGCAGCTGCAGCAGCCCCACCTCCCGGGGCATTGGAGGCGTTGCTGTTGTTGCTGCTATTGTAGCTCAGGTTGCTGATCAGATTCAGGCTGCTGTCCAGCTCATCGGTGTTGGTCAGCTCGCCACCGGTGTCGGAAGTTTCGTAGCAGCTCTCCCGCGGAGCGGTCTCCCCCTCCGCCTCCACCTCGGCATCGCCGTGGTAATCCGTTTCGCTGACATCCCTCGGTTGTCGACTGCGCAGGGATCGCCGACGAAGAGCCACATCGCAGTGGTCGTAGTCATCGCTGAGATCGCCACCGCTTATATCACAGACACCGCCGTCCACATCGTCCTCGTCCTCGCTGGGCGAGATGTCTCCGGAGTTCCTTTTCCGTCGCCGCTTCCCCTGTCCCAACTTCCTGAAGAGATTCGTGTAGAGCAGGTGCAGCGAGGAGTTGGCCGACGGCGACTTTTGCAGGTTGCCAATCACATTGGAGGTGGAGGTGGTCAGCTGCAGGGCGCTGTCCTGCTCCGTGTTCTCCTCCTGATCCTCCGGATCCTCATCCCGATGATCCCGATCCCGATTCCGATCCTGTTCCTGCTCCTGGTCGTTGCTCGTCTCGCCAACTGTCAAGGACGAGGGCGTGGGCGAGTGACAGAGCGAGATGGAGCCACAGGATGTGGGCGTGGGCGGCGTGGAAAGGAGAAAATGTTGTTTCGATTGCTCGCGCCTTTGCCTGTGGAGCTCGAGCAGCTCCTTCAGGCCGAGGCCCGCCAGCGAAACCGATTCGGCGGAGCCCAGATTCGGATTCGCAATCGGACAGCTCAAATCCGGACTGGCTGCCGTTGGAGCCATATTCACACACACATAGAGAGACACATCGTCAATCGAAAACCGAAAACGGAAACGTATTGCACAAAACCAAAAAAAGAGAGAAAAGAAAAGAAAAAACATAACATAAAAAAACAAATCAAAAATCAAAAAAAGTTTTTTGGGAAAATCAAGGAAAATCATCGGTGGGATTTGGTGGAGTGAGAGATTGGTTGGTTCTGCCATGATCTGTATAATGCTGGATGAGCTGGAGCGGTGTGATTTCTGATCGTTATAGTTTTTGGTTGGTTTTTTTTCAGTGATCGGAGTGTGCACACAACACAACATCGATAGCAACTTTTTGGGGGGAAAGGGTGAGTATTGCTACATCGCTAAAGAAGGTGAATGTCGGACTACACTGAGAAAAAGAGTCAACTAAAATGTATTACGATGCATTGCACCATTCTTGGATTTTTTCTGTAAGAATCTAGTAATCTAATCCTTTTCATGTATCAGGTGACTCTATTTCCTCAGTGTAGAATCTGACTGATTAAAAGGTTGTATTTGATAGGACCAGTGATAGCTGGGGTCCCTGGAATACACTTTTCTGGAGAGGAAGCTGTACTTACGACACGAGTAGTCGCGCACGAGCGTTGTCTTCGATTTGACCTGGACGCCGATGATGGCCTCGATGGGCACCTCGGTGCGCGGAATCGAGACTGAGTGCGGAGGTAAGTAGATAGGTTGTAGAATACCAAAATTACATTCGGTTGGCAGGTACACGCGACATCCGGCATGGGTCGTCATGCCACACCACTCGCACCGATAGCCTGTTGAATTTAATCAAATTTTTTATTAAATGATCTTGTTTCGATTTACTAAGCATTACCAGTGAGACATTCCGAGGACCAACAGGTTTTCTTGCAGTAGGCGCATTTGGACGTCGATGGAAGATTGCCCTCTCGCCAGTGATGCTGTTTGGGTTATTTAAATCACATTACTATTTGGATCCTTACCAGAGAGGCTTATCAACTCACCTGATGCTTCACATTAAGAAGCTCTTTGCCCGGCACATACGTGGCATTCTCGGTGCAGTCGGGCACGGCAAAATCTTGGCACTCAATATGCGCGAAATATTCGCAGACTGCGGGTAATAATATTATTAGATGTGTGAAAAATAAAGAAAGTAAAAGCAAATCAAGATTTAGCGAATTATCTAGGGCTTAACTTACATCACTTAAAAACCTAGCATACTTATGTGGTGAAAGGTTCAGAAATGAGTGAATTCATTTTAAATATTCAGCCTATCATTCCCCAGCTGGTCACACTGGTGGATAGACGTCAAATAAAAATTAATTCGAAAATAAAAATAATTTTTATTACAAAGTGGCTTTTAACAAGTTCCGGTGCTGTCCTAAATAGGAAAATCGCAAAGCTAAGGAAGACGAACGTGAGTTTACCTCTTGCACACGCCTCGTGTGCCATTTGTAAAGCTTGGACGCTGTCTAGTGCAGTGTCGGCAGACGATTAACTACAAAATCACATCTGTAGTGGAATTAAGACTGCTTTCTGTGCCCGTTTGGGCAGAACGACACCCCTTCACTGCGCGCAGCCGCACAAAAAGGAAAAGTAACAAATGGATAGCAACAAACCTCCTCATCCGCTGTTCTCGAAAGAGCTGTCCGGATTCGAGAAAATGAAGGAAGTCGCTGGTCAATCTCCAGCGGAACTTCGAGCTATGCTCTCCGGAGATTTGTCTCGACGGCATTTAGACAGCCTACCGCAACTAAACGTGGATGCTTTTAAAACCAGCCCAGCAACACCCGTAACCAACACCGTTACTGCTACAAGTGCCAGTTCTGGCACTACCACATACACCGTTGCAGCCTCGCCACGTATCTCTACAGCAGAAATGAATTTGGGAATTCAATTCTCAAAGGTACCCGCTGTGGAGTGCTCATTTCAAGCACCAAGTGCTTCTCTACGCAGGAAACGGAACCCTTCAAACTGCAGTAAGGAGCCAGCTGACATAAAGAAAAGCAAAGCTAATGTCAACAAAGTTGCTGATTCAAGTCAGGCTTCGACATCCAACGGACTGCGCAACAACCGCTTCGCACCGCTAGCTGAGGAAAATACTGAGGAAATGGAGACAAATGGGGAGATGTTCGATCTCAATAGCCAAGCGCAAGGTTCAAGCAAACCGGATCTGATGAAACCTAAACCTCCGCCCATATGTGTTCCAAAGGTTACTAATATTCTCACTTTAGAAGGAACCTTAAATAATATCATCTCTGCAGACAAATACGAGATACGTACTTCTAAATTCGGAATTACTCGTATATACACTGACAGCGCGGACTCTTTCCGCAAGGTAGTTCGCAGCCTGACTGCATTGAATTGTGAGTTTTGGCATCATCAACTCCGCGAGGACAAGCCATTTAAGCTGGTGCTAAGGAACATACACTCCACTGTCCCTAAGGAGGAAATAGAGCGTTGTTTCACGGACAAAGGTTTCAATGTTGCAAATATTTACTGCCCAAAAAAGCCTGGCATGCGTGGGACTATATCCGAAATAAATAATGATGATAGGCAAAATTTATTCTATGTAAATCTCAAGATGACGCCGAATGTAGCCCAGTCGTTAAAAATTAAGCAAATTGGAAGGCACCGAGTTACTGTGGAAAAGGCTACTCGCAAAAAGGACATCGTCCAGTGTTACAAATGCCAAAATTTTGGACACACTCAAAATTGTTGTTTCATAAAACCTGTTTGTGGGAATTGTGCTGGAGATCATCTTACCAACTCCGAATCGTGTGAGTCGCATCTCAATAACAAATGCTTGTGTGCAAACTGTGGAGAAAATCACCCTGCAGGTTTTATGGGCTGCAAAGTTAGAATGAAACTGAGCAAAAAGTTTAAAGCTGGAGTAAGTCTAAGAAACACAACAAATAACTGGAGGAACGAAAGCCGACACGATCAACTATTCTCCACGTCAGCTACCAGAGATGGCGTATCTTATGCAGATATGGCAAGAAATAGCCTCCCAAACAATAGCAGCGCTGCAGCTAGGCAGTCTTTTGAGCATGTAGTTGGAAACGACGACATCCCAAGCCGAAATTTATCTACCTTGGAGAAGGCAATCTCTGATATAAACGCTAGGCTGGATCAACTCTTCAAGCTAGTCATGGAAACGATTGAGTCGAACAAGGCTTTTCGCGATTTAGTTCAGGTTCTTATTTCTAGGAAATGACAGTCCCAGTTATAAAAATCGGATTATGGAATGCAAGAGGAATAGTTAACAAAAGCGAAGAACTTCGACTTTTCCTTATTGACAACTCTATAGACATAATGCTCATTACTGAGACTCATATGCGTCCCGGTCTAAAAATGTACCTTCCTGGTTACGACCAGTACTTTGCCAATCACCCTAGCAACACTGCTAAAGGTGGTTCTGCTATTTTTATCAAGACAAACATTATACACACTCAGACCGAGTCCACAACGCGAGCTGAGTTACAGCTAACTAGTCTTGATATTCCAACAAATGGAGGAGTCCTTAAAATAGCGTCATTGTATCTACCTCCTAGCGAGCCCTGGACAAAGAACGATTTTGACCGGTTATTAGCATCTCTGGGCCCGAAATTCTTGGCTGGAGGCGATTTTAACGCCAAGCATCAATGGTGGGGCAACTTAAGGTCTTGCTGTCGGGGAAAGCGTCTTCAAGAGGCCATAGTTTCTAGCTCTAGCCAAATTCTAGCTACTGGAGGACCTACCTTCTATTCTTCGAATACTAGACTTACGCCAACAGCTCTAGACTTTTTCATCGTAAATGGAGTACAACTCAACAGACTCTCGATCGAAACCAAATACGAGTTATCCTCAGACCACTTACCAATTGTTGCAACGCTTACCCAAACACCTCAGTACAAGGCCATAAGGAAATCTCTACTACCGCCCGGCTCCTCTGTTGAAAAGTTTAATGAAACCCTGGACAGAAGCATAAATCTCAACACTGTGATCAACCATCCAGATGATCTTGAAGATGCGGTAACGGCTTTTATGGAACAAATATACACTGCTGCGACAGCTGCTACCCCAAACGTAAGACAACATCCGAATCAAAATAGAAGCAATTTGCTCCCTCAAAATGCTTTAGTTCTTATACAGCTAAAAAGAAGAGTTCGCCGAGAATACACAAGAACAGGAGATGTGCGCGTCTACAACATCTACAAAAGGCTTTCAAATCGCCTAAGTAAGGTCTTGAAAAAGAACAAGCAAGATCACATTGACCATATGTTGGAAAATGCGGGTCCAGATGCATCAACCAACTACTCGCTATGGAAGCTGACGAACCGATTCAAGAGGCAAGTTACCCCAAAGGCTCCTATAAGAAATCCCACTGGTGGTTGGTGTGGGTCCAGTCAGCAGAAGGCTGATATCTTTGCTGACAATTTGGAGAGCAGATTTAAGCCGTTTAACCTAACAACTATGGAAAATCGAATGCTTGTGCAAATGCGACTGGATAGGCCTTTTCAAATGGCTCTTCCCACAAGGCCTGTTACCCTACAAGAAGTTGTGACGCAGATCGGAAAGCTCAAAAATAAAAAAGCCCCAGGCGAGGACCGTATAGACAACAAAACGCTAAAGATCCTTTCCACCAAAGCTCTGCTTTTTATAGTCCTGTTGTTCAACAGCGTCTTAAGGCTGAGTCATTACCCAAGGACATGGAAGAGTGCTATTATCACGATGATCCCCAAGCCTGGAAAGCCACCCACCGAAGTTGATGCATACAGGCCAATAAGTCTTTTACCTGCATTGGGCAAAATGATGGAAAGAGTAATACTGGATCGGATCCTTGGACTTGAAAATGTGAGTAGAGCGATTCCAAAGTGGCAGTTTGGTTTTCGAAAAAGTCACGGCACCCCTGAACAGCTTCATCGCGTGGTCAATTTCGCTCTGGAAGCCATGGAAAGCAAAATGTACACAGTTGCTGTGTTTATGGATATCCAACAAGCCTTTGATAGAGTATGGCACGACGGCCTCCTAAGCAAGCTAAAGACCCTACTAACACCACAGCTTTTCCTCCTTATTCAGAGCTTCCTTTCGGAAAGGACATTCAGTGTTGTCGTCGAAGGCGAAAAGTCGTCAAAACGCCCAATCTCAGCTGGTGTACCACAAGGCAGTGTACTAGGCCCGACACTTTACTCACTGTATACGTCAGACATGCCAGATTCCTGGGAATGTACCGAAGTTGACGATGATGATATACTCATCGCAACATACGCCGACGACACAGCGGTTATGGTTAGGAGTCCAAGTATAGACATTGCAACCTTGGGCTTGCAGGAGTACGTAACTCGTTTTGCAAAATGGACAACTGAGTGGAACATAGGCATAAACTGCAACAAATGTGCTTGTGTCACATTTTCCACAAGGCCAAAGAACTGCCCAGGCATTTCAATGCTCGGTTCTGTACTTCATCACGAGCACTACTACAAATATCTTGGTGTGATTTTGGATAGAGGGCTCACTTTCCAGAGGCACACCACAATGATCAAGCAGGCAGTGCTCTCAAAGGCAGCAAACATGTCCTGGCTACTTGCGTCAAATAACAAGCTCTCCTTGTCGAACAAAGTTCGCATATACAAATCGATTCTCAGTCCAATCTGGAAATATGGATTACAAATATATGGCATAGCGTCTAAGTCGAACCTAAATAAAATCCGAATAGCCCAAAGCAAGATAGTGAGATCGATTTGCAATGCCCCCTGGTACATGAGAACGAGAGATATCGAAAGAGATCTCAAAATCCCTAAGATTGGCGATGTTTGTCGCTCACATGCTGAAAGCTACTTCAGACGCCTTGGCTCTCATCCTAACTCCCTGGCGAAGAGGCTAATTAGGAGACCAAGAAGAAGAAGACTTAAAAGGTTCCACCCACATGACCTTCCATTAAGACACATTTAACACACTTGAAGACTGATATAATTAAACTACACACGAATAGATTTAATGTATAACCTGTATACCAACCCTTTGTTATCCCCTATAGTTACAACCTGCTCAAGCTGCCACATAGGTAGCAGTATACCCGTTAATTAATAAATTTACACTTTTTACTTTTTTACTAAAAAAAAAAAAAAAAAAAAAAAAAAAAAAATTAAATATTCACCTTTTATGGGAATTATAAGATTGGAAAAACTAACTTTATAAGGATGGTGCTGTAACCATGCATATTAAGACCCATATTTGACATGGCGCGAGATTGGTTTTATGCATTCATAGAGCAATGGACACACGCTTGCTACATTAGACAATGGATCGCAGCTCAATAGGTGAACAGAAGTGACTGACACGGAACACGACTGCTGCGAAACCCATCAAGTTGGGATAAAAGGACTGGGCCCTGGGAACTGGGGCTTGGGGACAAGGGGACATTTTGGTGCATATACACTGTCACTTACCTAAACAATGCACCGCTGGCGTTTCATCCAATCGCTTACGGCAGACTGTGCAGAATTTTCTCTTGTGATGAGTTGGCTCGGACCAACAATGGGCAACGGGATTCTGTGCGGAATGACACATGACAGCTATATGCGTTCTGAATTGCGGATGCCAGCTACGTACCTTTATAATGCATGGAGCGATGCCGGAACAGGGCGTTACCACGCTGCTGACACATCGTTCGTGAATGATAAAGTTGCAAACTGCAAGTGGAGGAGCAAAAAAAGGGATGTGGTTATGCAACATGTCAGCAGAAGTTCAGAAGTTATTTCAATAAGATCACAATGGTAAGTGCTTATCTAAGTGGAGCAGGCAAATGCACCACGGCGTATACGTAATATTATACTTGTTTCGATAATCAAGTATATAGCTTTCGTATTAAAGTCTTAAAGGAAAAATTAAAAATAAAATGTTTTTAAAGAGACATTTAACGATAAAGGTCATTTAGTCTCAAGTTTTTATGAACTATGTAAGTCTGAAAAACCTTAAGTTGTGATGCCTCGTTAAGAGTGCCACAGAGATTCGATCTAGAAATCTTTAAAAATAGTTTTCCGTGTTAAAGTTTTGAGTCTCGAGAGAGTGCTGCTTTCTAAATGGGCCCCCTGGTAAGACCCTCCCCCACATTGCCCCTGCATGCAACCACAAAGTCACCGCGTCATTGGCAGCCTGCACGCCATTCATAGTTGCCGAGTTCACGGACGAAGGCACATTCATTGAAGTTCCCCGCAGGGTAACTGGAGAACGATTGGGGGAGAGAGAGGAAGCAAGTGGCGAGCTCTGAGCTAAGTGGCCAAGGTAATGGTAAAGGGGAAAGAGAGGTGAGATGGGGTGCAAGGATAACTGCACGCACAAAGCTCAACTACTTATCTCCCTCTTACACTCTTACGTTGGTTAACCCACTTCCTCCTGGGTATTTGTTTACCACACGAGCAAACGGTAAAACCCTGTTGCACAGGAAGAAAAAGGATAATTTAAGTCTGTCAAGGAAAATTAAATTAAATAAGATAATTAAAAGGAACTTAAACTAATATAAAGATTTATTTCTAAAAGATTGGCTTAAATAAAGAACGACAGCCAAAAAAGGAAACCTACATCTGGAAATAAACGCATCACTCTCTCTTTTCTATTTATGTATGGATGTACACACACACATACGTATGCTTGCGTTTTTTGTGCACCAAACTTAACATAGATATCATAGTTCTAATTTTAGCCCGCCGTAAAAGTTGTATTTACACATAGGCAAAAGTCGGGGCGCGACTACACAAACAAACAAACACTTGCTGTATGTTCGTACGTAAATGCATAATTATCTATGTGTGTTGGCAGTCGAACGGAGCGGGGAAAGGGGTAGCAGAGAGAAGAAAGCAGAAAACTAGGCCGCTGACCTGAGGCACAGTGCTGACGTCATGAATGAACTCGTGAATGTGCTTTAGTTTTTGGCCCGCTTTATAAATAAAACAGCGGGCAGTCGTCGTCAAGCAGTGCAAGTGTGCAAGCAGAGCGAAAAAGAGATTGAGAAGGACAAACATGACGCGTTCGCCTGCAGTTGAAATGCAAGAGAAAAAACATAACTGTAGTTCAGCTCAACCAGCTCACTGTCTCGCTTACACTTGAGTTTTTCCAAGTTTCTTTAGTTTGTTGTTGTTTTGTTGCACGTGCATTGGGTGGTAGGTGGTTAGGTGGTGGAATTGCAGAAGCAACAGCTGAGCGTGTATACGCCCTGTGGGTCAGCGGTTGAAATCAGTGTATTTTTTCGTGTTAGGTATTCTCAACTTTGTTGCATGCCTGCATTATGTATACCAGCAAATTTGTGTGCTTTCTCTCGCTCTCTCTTCCTCTCCCTCTTCCTTTTTCTCTTTTTATGTAGATAAGCATAAGCAGACAAACAGCGACGCCAACGCATGGGGAAATTTTCGAAATGTTTTTCTTTATGCTTTCCCTATTTATGTTAGTGTGCGCGTGTATGTGTGGGGAAATTTTGGGTTTGGAAACTCAACACACTTTTACTTTTCGACTCGTTTCGTTTTCTTTCCCTTGTCCAAAAGCAACAAAACCAAGAATAACAAAAGAGAATCAAGAAGAAGAACAAGAAGCAGCAGCACAAAGCCAAATTTAAAGCCCACACCAATACAATCACGTAAGGAGAAAAAGGACGAAACAGAACAGGATGATGAAGAAGAAGAAAAATCGGAGGGAGTTGGAGGTTAGGGACAATTGAATACGCACAAGTTGACATGCGTAGTGCGTGAAGAGGAAGCACAATTAAAATTGATATTTGCCCAGAGCAGAGTTATACAATTCAATTGAGGTGTAGTCGAAACGTACTTATGCTCCCCACACAAAAACAGGAAGAGAGGTAAGCGAAACAGAAGAGGAAGAACTCACTTGAATTAAAAATAGCTGGACATGCTTAATAATAAATAAGCAAACACATAAATACATTCGCAAGAGACAGTTAGATGACGCATATCAAACACGCATAAATCATAGTCCGTTAATGTCGCTTCACGGTAAAAAAAAGAAGGTCTAAAGTTAAGAAAGAAAATATCCTAGACTCTTTAAAGTAGAGGCATTAAGTTAACACAAAACCCCTTTAAAAGCAAACGACAACGACCTTAACATTGTCGCACGTACACCAAATTTTAAAACGTTTATTGTCATAATTGTTTTTTTTAAAGATACATATTACTATTACTACACTATCTCATTTATTTTCTGCTTTTTTATCAAACTGCAACGCTTTTCCATCCCACTGCCATTTACCTTAACCGCAGCCAAGCCAATTTCAGAGAAAAAAACAAATTCAATTTCATAGCAATCTCTTTCTTGATTGAAAAAAAATTGCGAAATGCAATTTCCACTTCAGCTAAAAACGTGCTATGTAAATATTTTTAGACACTCTCGAAAAACGGAGGCGTAGTATTTATAGAACAAAGTACAACAATTATAATTATATCAAGTTTAACCTTTAATAGAAAGCGCAACTTTGACGCCATCTACATGATCTCCTTCTTCTGCACTGCTTAACTGACATTTAATCGGACCTGGCTTAATTTCATTATGGTCGGAAGCGCTTTCCGCTGGAGATTTTTTCCGGCTGGCTTGCAACGTCAGCAGTGCCCTCCCTCTTTATCGCGATTGCGGATTCTCCTCCCCCCATAATTTTTGTGCGATGTGCCAGCCAAACTGACGACCCCGAAAGTCTGATCTTAATACTCTTACTAAAAAATAATTTACGACGATGCAACAAGGAAAAGTTCAAAAAAAATTAAGAAAATACAAAATTTATTAATATTGATATATATCAACAAAAAGGTTTTTTATATTTGCAGATATATTTGCTTAGATAAAAAATCTCAATCTACGTATTCCCAAAAACTTGAACCTATCGACCCAATTTTAAAACTGATTGTGTTGCTTTTTAACAAACATTTCCATTTTGTACCTTGAAACTTAAAGTTCTAATAATATGCACACATTTTATAAAGAGCCATTGAAAACGCCAAGCCAAAGGGTATAATTTTATCGTTTCGAAGGGTTATTCTTTGTTTGCGCTCGCGTTGTTCTCCATTCGCTTTGGTTATGAATGAACAGCGTCGACAACGAGGCAATTAACAAGGCAAGTCCCCCCTCCCATGCATCAGCCCCATTCGAGAAGCGACGACCCCGCAGCGAACCACTCGGTTTTTTCGGTTCCGCTGGCATCGTCGTCATTTTCCATGGCGGCCATTGATGACGCACTTTTAGCCCTTCGCTGCTATCGGCAGGGGCACCTCATTCGGATTCGGATTCAGATTCGGATCCGGATCGGTTTGGGGTTGGGGTTGGTGGATGGGGAAGCGTGGCTGGTTCAGGGGCACTGCAGCCGGCTTGTAAATTCCCAAGTCCCCACCCTTCCCGCAGGTCATGCATCCAATTTGATTTGGGTGAGCACCTGCTGCTCTTGTTGCACACACACAACGCCCCCGCTTCCCATGAAAAAGCAATTCAAATTTCGCCTGCGGCCTGCCATGCAATGTGTGTGTATGTGTGTATGTGTGCGCTGTGTATTTTGCACAGTGTACGAGAGTGCATTCCGCATTTGACCTACTTTCGAGAATCAGAGAGCCTGAGCTCTATTTCTGGTCCTTTTCGGGCTAAGTGCGTGGGCCAGAGAGCTGCAGCTCTGCAGTTCCAGCTCCATCCAGGGTCCAATTAGATATGCAACTTAATTACGGCTGTAGTTTGAATGGGTCTGCCCACTTATGGGACGCCTTTGCACTATTTCCATTCGGCCAACCCGTCGTATGCGTAATGAGCAGCAAGGGAGCTACGCCCCCGTGGGTATGCAACACGCACTTCACAAACTTTTTCGCACACTCATCATCCAGTATTTACATATCTATGGTATATATATGCCTACTTAATGTAAATATCGGATGTTTTCCCCGCCATTAACACGGTGCTAAAATGCACTGAAAATGTCATAGGCAAGTGCAATGAAAACAAGTCGAATTTTCGGGATGTTTGTTTGTCGGCCAGGCCATAAATTTGGCTGGCGAAATGGTGAAATAAACGAGTGAGTGCACTTGTGGAATCCCGTTTTTGTTCATTCAGAGATATCTTTTATGAACTCGGGCACTAACCATTAAAGTGAATAGAGCAACAGCCCATGGTTCGCTGGAAAAGACCAAAAAGATGTAAACATCTTGGGTTATAAAGAAGCCTTTAAACATACTTATACACATGTAAATGATTTCCATCTAGTGTTTTTATTTTGTAGATATATTTCATATTTTTAGCTTGCTATTTTCTCTAACATCTAATCAGTGTCAATAGTGATAATGCTGTCAATTAAGAAGGTTGCACAAAAAGTGGGTGGGTGGTTAAGAATTCTACGAAGTGGCAAAAGACGCGCACTCTCCACGAAACTGTAAACACTGAAGCCGCATAAAATGGCAAGCGTGAATCGCGATAATTATAATAATGGCGAAAACCAGAGCCACAAATCCCATGAACAAAATTGCAAAAATAAACAGAGGAGAAGCGGAGAAGAATCATCATGATGCGAGGCACCCAACACGCTTCCCATTGGGAGAGTCTGCTTCCTCAGTTTTTGTGGATAGCACCTTTGATTTCGATTTGATCCGATACGAATCACATTGGTTTTGGCTTAAATTGCGCCTGGGCGAGTGATGTGCTTCTGTTTTATAGATTTCCATGGCAATGGCACAAACATATATATGTACTATACTATATATATAAATATATCCAGATATACACAGCGAATCGGAGCTGTCTATGACGTCGTTGGCGCTCCGCTCACGTCACGGCAGACACGGCCAACAGCCGCACAATTTGGAAAAGTTCAAACGCGCACACTTCTCGGCCGCAAATAGCCCGATGATGCTGCCCCAATAGCAAAGTGTAGCATATACTACACGCTAGATGTCGGAGCGTACAATCTATAGGATCTACACAAACTATAGATGACCCAGTGGTCATGTGGCGATGACGTTGGGTCCGCCGTTCAAACTGCACAGGGGAAAAGCGTATATCATTTTATTGGCAGAACGCAAATTGTATGGCCAACAATTAGTTTAATTGCTCTGGCCTCTGATGTGATTATGAAAAATCATTTAGTGATTTCTAATATTCTAGGATCAAGATCTATCAGAGATATCTATATTTTGCGAAGAAAAGAAATGAAAAGATCACCAGCCTTATAAATATTAAACAATCAAAAAAGTCCCCATACTAAAAAGGCATCTGTTTATTACTTTTATGCTTTTATTACTTATAATCCCACAACTAATCACTTCTTGTCTTAAGATTCATACAGTTTTTCTGCCTGCATTTCTGTTTTATGGTTTTGTCTGTGGAAGCCTTTGTTTTTACAACCTCCCCATCGGCATCATCAGCGGCCGCATTTCCATTCCAAGTTTATGGCAATTTAAAAAGTATTTTCAAAACTAGACGAAATGTATTTTTACATCTGCCGCTGGCGTTGAAGATGTTCCATGATTTGCGTGATGCCTTTTCCCTGTTCTGTTTAGTGCTCATTAATTACAACTTATTTCTAATGCCGAAACTGATCGAAGAACTGCTAGACGCCCAGAGGAAACCATCCGGTTTAAATTAAAGGTTTAAAAAATCAGTTTTAACTTTGGTTTTTTATTATAAAATAAAAATATTTTGTTCAGAATATTAAACGTAGAAAATATTTATCGAAAAAAAGGAGCCGAACCTTAGGATGAGGGAACCTTTAGCTTTTGTATTCGAAGCTAAAATTTTTAAGGCAATGCGGATATAATATGAGTAAATTTAATATTCTATCCAACCCCACGTGAGCCTGCTCCACCAACTGTGATCTTCACAATTAAAAAAGGTTTAAGATAGGAGGTACTCACCTTCGCAGATATATCCCTGCTGGATGAGGCCCCAAAGCAGGTCCGAGCAGTGGTGACAGTATGTTGGCTTATGAAATGTCTTCTTCACGAATGAATGCCCACCATCCGCCATTTTGTTTGCCTGTGTCCGCTGCCCGTCCCTCTTCCTGTCCTTCCGCTTCCGGTTTATCCTGCTCCCCTTTGTGCTGACTTATGCGTATCTGTTGCTTTTGTGCGTTGGCCTTCTTGAGGTTGCTAATGCTGTTGCTGTTGCTGTTGCAGTTGCAATTGCAGCTGCAGCTGCACTTTCGCTTGATGTTGCAGTTAGAGCTGCAGTATTTGTGGCTGTTGCAGTGGCAATATCGCTTGCCGCTGCTGCGTAGATGGGCTATTTCGAAGTGGGGTTTTGACGGCTGGGCAAATTAGGCCGCTGCTGCCGGTGCAGGCGTCGATGCCAGCTGTGGCAGCTCTGCCGTACCGACCGAGGGCGTTCGACTGGCGTGGGCGTGGCAGGTCGAGAATCCGGCCAGCTTGAACTGCTCCTTCTGATCCAGCTGCTGCTGCTTTTCCGACTTTTCCTGTTGCTGCTGCTGCTGCTGACAAAAGCGATGCGAAAGTGACGACGACCAAAGTGACGGCGACGACGGCTGCATTTTCATCCATTGGTCAGGTGGCTGCTCCCTTATCCGGACATTTGCCTGCCGGGATCGGTGTTATTCCTCGATCTATACTTTGTTAATCGTTACTAGTTTCTATATACATATTGGCTATGTATCATATTTGTTTAGACTTATGCATCTTTGGTTTGGTTAAGCGTTTTCGGTTTAATAACTTTCTTTGGTGGTGAGTTTTTCTATTTGTTTTTGGTTTGTTTGACTGTTAATTATTTACAATATCTGGCGCTGCACTAAACAAAAAATTGATATTGGGTATTTGTAAATGTGTGCCATTTGAAATATATAATAATTTTCTTGTATTTTGTATATAACACTGCACACAGGCGCGGACACACACGTAGGCACACTTCACTCGGCGGGCGGTCTTCACTTTACTACTACTAAAAACGAATGGCCGCAGCAGCAGCAGCAGCAGAAGCTCGGAAAATGTTTTTCTTCGACTTCGCTCTTTCCTTGCCTTTTTCCACTTTCCGCTTTCCTGCGCTGATACGTGGGCGCCGCACCCCCAAATAAAAAAAAAAACAGCAGACCCAAAAAAAAAAAGGAAAACGTTTCCCGATAATAAAATCCACAAGAGCGGGAGTTTCCACAGGGAAATGCGAGAGAAAGAAGGAAAGAGAGAGTGATTGGGATGCGCGAGAGAGAAAGCACGCGTCATGCGTGGTGAGTTGGCTAAAAAAGTTCCCAGTATTCTTGGAGCACCATAAAAAAGTAGTAGACATCAATATAATAATAGAAGTGGCAAAAATATGATATCAACAGCGTGTACCGCTGGGCAAAAGAGAGAAGGAGCGAATAAGCGAGAGAGAGAGAGAGAAGGAGAGGGAGAAAGCCCGAACTGCATTGCTTCATTTTCCACAGCGCGATTCTATTAATTTCCATTGCTGCGGCGCCCTCAAGTATGCAACATGTTCTATGACGAACCAATTACCACGGCCACCCACTTTGCCACCCCGCCCCTTCCCCCACACAACCGCCCACTGTGAACGGGGATGGCCAAGGACAATCCAGTCAAATATTATATCATACAGGTCCTAATAATAGACGGAAACAAAGGTAACGACACTTGAAGTTTTTAACTTGATGACAATAAACGATAGCTAACGGAAAGCACACAAATCCACAGTGTGTGTATGCGAACAGTTAAGGTCGGCATAATAGCCCTTGAGAGCCAGAATCTTGGTCTTTATAATGTGTGAATCACTTAACGTGCTGACTGAACAAGCAGCAAACTTGCGGCAAATTAAAGGTTCTTATGTGTTTCTGCTTGGTGATGTTTTATGCATTTATATTTAATTTCTTCGCTTTAAGGGGCTTAAGGTTTATCTGGTTTAAAACTTCATTTGACTGACTAACTGATCCTATTTTTTTAAAATAGTTAATATCCAAAAGTGAAATATAAGGTCATTGCTAACAAAGTTTTTAAAACCTCAAAGAACAAAGTAAACCAACATTATTACTCTACCAGGATCCTTCACATTAATAAAGTCGCATAAGAGCATTGTGAAAACTTAAGAAGAGTTTGTGAACTTGGACTTGGCATGGGCATAGTACTATTATTCGGGCCGCAACTGTGAGTGTGGAGCCAGCCTGACGACGTGGAATGTCCAGGACCCGTTTCCCGTGTCCAATGTATCCTGGCCACCAGGCGATGTCCTGGCGACATGCGCACTCCCCAATCCACCACACGGCTGCTCGATCTCAACTCCACCACGGCGGAGCGGTTGAACGAAGGTGGCCAAGTTTAAGGATAAATCACAACGAGCAATATTTTTGCAACAACTGCGATGTTTGTTGGGCTGAGGGGTGAAGTGATGAAAACTTTGCGGCTTTGCTTTTCTATCGGAAAATTATTGTTTTGATTTGGGCTGGGGAGGGCAGGGAAAAAAAACCGAAAATTATGGATGCTAATGGGGGGCCCCAAAAAAAGCAAGATATATAGATTTCAGAGGCTGTGTATACACACACTCTACAACTGTAGACAAAGCAGCCGTACTTCGCCCACTCCGCCCACCGCCCCCCTGGACTTGCCACCCACTTTTCCCACCCAATGCTGCGCGCTTCGCTCTTTTCGGGCCGCATGAGCAAATCGCAATAGATAGAGAATTTTTTTCTTTCTTTCTTTTGCTGGCGCGGCTTGATTCCTTGCCACCACATATATACTTATATATATATGTATATTCATGTATCTTAGCAGTATGCGTGTGGCCTTGTCTTTTTTCATTGCTAATCACTCGAAGGAGTTAATTATTTTCGATCCCGTTTCGGCAAGGAAAGTCAAGCCTGGAAAATTCAGTACTTGGCACATATGACAACGTAATTTTCACGCGCACACACACTATCGCGGTTTTGGAGAGAGAGAAATTTTATGTACCATACATTTTTGAAGCTGCAAAATTTTGCACACTCGATTTTCACACTGCTGCGGCTGCTGCTTCTAATTTTCCATTCGATTTTCCCCGCACTTCAGACTTTTCCTTCTCCGGATGGAAAATTTTCACCGCACAAGTAGCTATTTAACCGAGTTTTTCGCGAGTTTTCCCCGAGTTTTTCACGGTTTTCGTGCACTTTCTTGCACACTCGCCGCCTGCTGCGTTTGTGCGTTTGAGTGTGTGAATTTTCCTGTGTGCTAGCTATGAAAATGAAAATCCAGTGAAAATCCGCAACCGTTACGTACGGAAGAGCACACCTAGCTGCTGTGTGTGCTCCGCTGAAGACGATGGTGCGCTCTGCGGACGGGTTCGCAACTTTCTCGCAACGCAGCGCCTTTATCGCTGCTCCGCCTGGCGCTCTCGCTCCGTCCCGCTCGCACTCGCTGGGGGGCCAATCGCTGCCTCTCGCTTACCAGTGTGTTGAGTTCGAGCGAGCCCAACAACAAACAGGGGGGAAATTTTGGGGGAGCTCCCGTTAGCGAGAGAGGCTGCTCTTTCTCCCTATTTGAGGAAGGATGCCAGCGCTTGTGCCGTTGCCTTCTCTCGTGTGCTCTCTCTGCATTTTTGGCTCTCTCGCCCGCCCCCCAAATAAAAATGAAATCAACAATTTGTTGGACGTAGAGCTGCCAACTGGCCCCCAGAAAAATGTGGCCAGTTTGTTGAAGAAGAAAAAATAGACCAAAAAACAACCGTTATACCATTTGTACAATTTCTGTTAAAAATTATACGTAAGTAGTACCGATGAAAATTTTAATCAATTTCCTTATTTACTTACCAAAAACATGTATTAATATTTTTTTTTTTAAGTTTATTACATTCTTTTGAAAGTTTATGAGGAAAAAGGAACCCGCGAAATCCAGTTGAAAAATTCTTATTAAAACCTATAAAATATTCAATCTTTCACATTCAATAAGATTTTTATTTGTAGCAAAGAATGTATGAAGTACACAGAGCTTTGATTGGTTACTTTGGATACAGCAATTTCCATATATTTTTAGGGCTTTTAACTTACAACTATAGAGTTGAGCACACCGTCGATTAATCGCTTCACTTTGCTTTGCTTATCTCTAAGTAAATCTTTACAAGTATGAATGTGTATGAGCAGACGATATTGCTGCATTTGTAGAGTAAAATGTGTTGCAAATTGCATTTGCCAAGCGAAATTAGGAGTAAGTTAACAGCACTTCTATACACAATCTTTTATGCTGACACAAGCTGGTTAAATAATAATAGAACCGATATACTTTTGGGTTACGTTGAATACAGATACACGCATACATTTAAGGCGACTTTAAATGGGTTCAATAAAGATAATGTCTTTCTTGGGTTTCTTTGTGAAAGAGCCAAATTAGCCGAGGCCATGATCGTCGAAGAAACTCTGCGGGGTCTCGTCCTGGAATGGGAGAATGCTTAGCTTCAGTTACGTGATCTATACTTTACTTCGATCAGGAAAAGCAACAACCAAACAAAAGCTTCTATACTGGGGACTGTCCCCCATAAATAGGCTAAGGAAAACGGGTATTTTGTTATAACAACTAAAAACAAAAGGACACCAAAAGGGTGCACTAAGCCAGACAGAAGGGTATATAGAAAGTTTGGAGAGAGTGAAGTTCAGAGATCAGATCAGTGGAGAGGGAATCAAAGCGGGCGTCAAAAGGTCAGAACAGTCAAATGGGTCAGTGACAACAGCAAAGACAACAATCAAAATATAAGTAGACAATTACATTAAATACAAACTGAGGATCACCAGGTCTTACCATTGTCATATAGCATACGAGTACATTAATTATGTTTTTGAAAAATACTTGGTTTTTATTTTAACTTTTTTTTTCAGTTACAAAACACAGAAAATTTGGCTAAAACGTACAACACACATACATAAACATATATATTTGTAGATATACATAACTAGACTTTATTCGGTTACCACTAAAGGATGATTATTACAATTTTCAATTATATATCGTTCTCATTTTTTTCAACATTAAAGCTTAATTGTTTCTATTGTAAGAATAGTATTGCGTATCCCCACTAAATTAGTTATTGCCCATTTGGTGATTGATTGGAATGATCTTTCGATTATATAATGTAGATAGGAAGAAGGATATTAATTCAGTTGAGAAAACCCCAGATGGAACTACGTGAGGTTGGCTTGTTTTGCATGAACTTTGCTGGATCTATAATATCTCTGTGTCTGTGTGTGTAATTTGCGAGAGAAGGTGTATGAAAAACCGCGTGCCAGATGTTTTGATGTTACTATCTATTTTTTAGCTTTTTGGGATTTATTGCTTTTTGGAACCTCACGCTGTTTCTTCATTTTCTGCATTTTATTCAGCGCCTCAGTGCTGTACAACAGTCAGAACACACACTAGTGTTGGCAAGTGGATGTATCAGTGTTGGAAAGTGCCAAGTGCAGCACACATTATCGCTGGGGTGTATATGTGTGTCTTTGTGTTAATGTGTGCTTGCTGTGCCTGGGTTTTGTGTGCGTGTAATATCAACTACATAAGTTTTAGGGTGTTCTAGTTCTTTAGAGAAGTCCAATGTCTCTTAAAGTGCCCTCAACGGCTTCGTCCTGGAGTACAGAGAATAAGAACAATAAGAACGAGAAGAGTAGAAGGAAAGAGAGTAGTAGTAGTAGTGGTGGTAGTACGAGTAGTGGTGTAAGTGTGAGTAGAATGTGTCCAAAAAAGAAACCAACTTTGATCTTGTTTTGTTTTTCTTTCGTTTACGGCACAACTTGGAAACACGAAATGCATATTATTATATGGATGAACATCACAGCGCAGCGCGGGGAAGGCGGGGAAATGGAAGCTGGGCAATATACAGATATGTACAGCTGGGCGAAGGTTTGACTGATCTGATCTGACCTATCGACACTCCACTAAGACTCTTTGCAGATCGGGAATATAACTTTATGTTCTTTACACTGTTTCTTTGGGTCGGGTTTTCTTTTCTTCTGGATTTATCTTTTGTTTTTTTGATTAGTTGAGATACTCATTGAAGTCCTGTGGTTGTTGTTGGTGGTTGGTGGTGGTAGTAGTAGTTGTGTTAACATCGATTTATGCAGTGGCGGGTAGGGTAAGCGTTAATAATAACAAGAGAGAGGGTACATGGGTTACACATTTATATATGGTATATGGTATGGCAAGAATATGTATATTTCAACATCGTTTCTAGTTAGTTAATCATCTACAAAGGTCATGCAAAATAATCAAGCCAACTAAGGTCGAGATTTTCTACGATTCGGGTTAGGAGACTTACGAATTTACTGCCACAAACTAAACAAAAGCAAAAATTGTACTAAAAATGGCAAACAAAGGTTATAGTATTACTGCACAGCAACATCTATGGCAAGTTCAATACTGTGACGATCAATTATTTCCTGGTAAGCTCTCACAATTCACAATTCGCTTTCGATTAGGCAAGTTTTGAAACTCAGGACGGCATGCAACGACAATTAAACAAATCGAATGAGTGCGTGTGTGTCAGCCAAGGTGGTTTACATCAGTTTCGGAACTTAAAGTTAATGACAATGCTGCTGGAGAAACACACACGCACACTGTTCTTAGAATCTATTGCAGCGAGTAAAAGAACTCTTCTTGCTTCGAGTGGTTAGAGGTGTTCGGTTTATAGTACGAGTAGTATAGATATTAGTTTCGATTGCACAATTAGAGAAACAAGAACGAAAAAGTAGGTAAGAGTAGAGTATAAAGAGAAAACCGTGATATGCATGAGGTATGACATTGTAAACGTTATAGATAGGCATATAAATATAGATGCAAACAAACACTAACGAGGTAACGAAACTAAAAACCAGCAAGTTGAATAAATATGTAAAACAATTAACAATATCCGGCATAGGTAGAGTGACACAACCGTTTTAGGCATTACAGATCATATGTCTCGGGTGTACTGACCTCTTGGAGCAGATCCTGCGAGGCAATCGCCTTAAGTACATTCTTTTTGGACGTCTCCTGGATTTCGCCGCCGATGAGCAGCTCGTCCAGGATAAAGTAGGCTTTCTCGAAGTTGAAGATTATATCCAACTCGCAGACCTGTTTGTGATGAGGAAATATAAAACGCTATTTATGGCAAAGTGGTGTCTACAACTTACGCTGCCGAAGTACTTATCCAACAACTCCACGTAGCGATGAATGATCTCCAGTGTCAGCAGCTCGTTGTCGTTCTGCTCGATGGCGCAACAAAAATACAAACTGGCATACCTAAAAAGATACAAATAGGAACACATTTGAATACGTAATAATGTTATGAAATGATATTTCCCGAGCTGTCAGGGTACTAGGAACGTGAAATTAATATTTGTATAATTTAAAATTTGAGCCCTACATTCATATCTTATCAGTTATTATTGCACAAAGCAGCCCTTAAAATAGGTAACTAGGCATTGACTGCGAACTGTGAACGATTCCAATTGGAAAACCTTAATATCATTTTTAAGTTCGTAACCCAACTACTCACCTCTTGTAGACAATTTTGCAGTCCTTCCACTCCAGAAACGAGCACATTTTGGGCTTCCGGGCGAGTATCGTGGTGACCAATTCCCGGGTGATCTTCTTTTTTACCTTGTCCGGATAGGCCATGTACCATTTCTGTAACCGCAGTTTGCCCTGCCGGCTGAACAGCAGCATGAAGAGCATCTGGAATCGGGAAGCACCTTCTTTAGTACAGCACTTTTATTGATTTGGATAGTTTGTAATTTTCTTTAAATATTCATATCTTTTTTGGCCAGCGAAGCTCCCAATTTCCACTGACACAGTCATCGAGCACCCACACACACATTTGCAACTTGGAGCCACCGCATCGACAAAACCAAACCGATTTCCAAAGAAATTAAATATTCACTTGTTATTTCTTAAGCCTCACCATTTATAATGTGTTTTCTCTGTTTAGCTGAGTTTTTTCGTCTGCTGCGCTTACAAAATATAATGGAAATTACTATTTTCCATGCAACAACGAAAAAACACACACGGATAGTTCTTCTTCATGCAGAGCTGCTGTTCACAGCCCACCTGTCAACGTGTAATTGCGAATAGCAGTACAGTGGGATTCAAACGAAAAGAGCCAGTGCAGTTACAGACAACACAGCAAATTGTTAATTTTATATGCTTTGCATTTTGTTGAAATTTATTATCTTGTTATACCTTATAATATTAATCTGTCTATAAAATACGTGTTATTAATAAACATCAATTTTTTTAGAATTCGTAAGTCCACTGTATCTAAGTCGTGCGATGTTTACCATTCACAGCGAGCTATCGAACGGTAGATGCAGCTCTCTTCGTCCATCTCTATAGGACTGTGTAGACGTTAGCAGCTGGCCGTACTCGTGCCGTTTATTAAGCCGAGAAATTTCATCACTTCAATTTAGATTGCAAACAAACAAGCAGCGACCATGTCAATAAAGCTCAAAGCGAACCTAAACAATCCGCCGATAAGTAAGTACCGAAGGGATGCCGGCTGCAGTGACCTTCTTTGCCCGGAAGATGTGCACTTAGTGAGGTTATATCCGCAACGGGGTCTATTTATGTACACAATATACATACCAGGCATTCTATCCGACCCTATCCCACTTTTATTGCATTAGTTTCGTATCGTGCGATATTAATTGAGTCATCCGTTTAGGTGGCCTGGCGACGGCGCACCTTATCAATGACACCGTACCCGTGGAGATTGTGTGGAGCAAGGAGGAGACCTCGGTGCAGTTCCCGGATAATCGGCTGCTAGTGTGCCATTCCAACAATGATGTCCTCCGTGCCTTGGCAAGAGCTGCCCCGGATTACAAGCTGTACGGTGAGACGGCTATCGAAAGGACACAGATTGATCACTGGCTGTCCTTCTCGCTGACTTGCGAGGACGACATTTCTTGGGCACTGTCCTTCCTGGACAAGTCCATTGCCCCGGTTACCTATCTGGTGGCCAACAAGCTGACCATCGCCGACTTTGCACTTTTCAATGAGATGCACTCCCGCTATGAGTTCCTGGCCGCCAAGGGCATTCCGCAGCACGTTCAGCGTTGGTATGACCTCATCACCGCCCAGCCTTTGATCCAGAAGGTCCTGAAATCCCTTCCAGAGGGAGCGAGGGTCAAGAGGAGCCCACAGGCGTCTAAGGAGCAAACGCCCGCCAAAACGGGAGAGCGCAAGCAGGAGGGCAAGTTCGTCGATCTGCCAGGTGCCGAAATGGGCAAGGTGGTCGTCCGCTTCCCGCCAGAGGCATCTGGATACCTGCACATTGGTCATGCCAAGGCGGCGTTGCTGAACCAGTACTACGCCCTTGCCTTCCAGGGCACGCTTATTATGCGATTTGATGACACGAATCCCGCCAAGGAGACCGTTGAATTCGAGAACGTCATTCTCGGCGATCTGGAGCAGCTGCAAATTAAGCCGGACGTGTTTACGCATACCTCCAACTACTTTGACCTGATGCTAGACTACTGTGTCCAGCTGATCAAGGAGAGCAAGGCATATGTGGATGACACGCCGCCGGAGCAGATGAAGCTCGAACGCGAACAGCGCGTGGAGTCGGCCAATCGCTCTAACTGTGAGTATATCTTAGTTTATTTATCAAATTAAATAATTTCTAGTTATGTGTCAACTTTGGCACTTTATGATGAAATTCCACAGTTGTTTTATAATTAACGGAAGTTTTAATTAAATAGTATAAAATTATCAAGTTGACAGTTGTTTTGTGCACATTTCGTCATTTTAAGTTGTAAATTGGTAAAATGTAGCTAATCTAGCATATAATATTAAACATAAATTACAAAATACATGGTACGTTTTAAATGTAATAATCATTCTTGTCGCTTTCAGCCGTCGAAAAGAATCTTGCCCTTTGGGAGGAGATGGTTAAGGGTACTGAGCAGGGTCAAAAGTACTGCGTGCGGGCCAAGATCGACATGACCTCTGCCAACGGTTGCATGCGCGATCCCACCATCTACCGCTGCAAGAACGAGCCACATCCCCGCACAGGAACGAAATACAAGTAAAAATTTCACATAACTCTCTAAAAACAAATATATAATGCTTACAATTTGTAGGGTGTATCCCACCTACGACTTCGCCTGTCCCATTGTGGACGCCATCGAGAATGTGACCCACACCCTGCGCACCACTGAATACCACGATCGTGATGATCAATTCTACTGGTTCATTGATGCCCTTAAACTGAGAAAGCCGTACATCTGGGAATACAGTCGGTTGAACATGACCAACACGGTGCTGTCCAAGAGGAAACTCACGTGGTTCGTGGACTCTGGTTTGGTAGACGGCTGGGATGATCCGCGTTTCCCAACGGTGCGTGGCATCATCCGTCGCGGCATGACTGTGGAGGGCTTGAAGGAGTTCATCATTGCCCAGGGCAGCAGCAAATCCGTGGTGTTCATGAACTGGGACAAGATTTGGGCCTTTAACAAGAAGGTGATTGATCCGATTGCTCCTCGTTATACTGCCTTGGAGAAGGAAAAGCGCATTGTTGTAAATGTTGCTGGTGCCAAGGTGGAGAGGATCGAGGTTAACGTCCATCCCAAGGATGAATCACTGGGCAAAAAGACCGTCTTACTGGGTCCCCGCATTTACATCGACTACGTTGATGCGGAAGCATTGAAGGAGGGTGAGAACGCAACCTTCATTAACTGGGGCAACATCCTCATCAAGAAGGTGAACAAGGATGCCTCTGGAAACATAACGTCCGTTGATGCTGCCCTCAACCTGGACAATAAGGACTTCAAGAAAACTCTTAAGCTCACCTGGTTGGCTGTGGAAGATGATGCCAGTGCATATCCGCCCACATTCTGCGTTTACTTCGACAACATCATCAGCAAAGCTGTTTTGGGCAAGGACGAGGACTTCAAGCAGTACATTGGCCACAAGACTCGCGATGAGGTTGAAATGCTGGGCGATCCTGAGCTGAAGAAGTGCAAGAAGGGCGATATTATCCAGTTGCAGAGGCGTGGCTTCTTCAAGGTGGACAATGCGTATGCTCCTCCCAGTGGCTTCACGGGTGTTCCCTCGCCAATTGTGTTGTTCTCCATTCCCGATGGCCACACGAAGGATGTGCCCACCTCGGGCTTAAAAATCAATGCGCCGGACGCGAAGACAACGGTGAGAGTTGAACACAATTATTAACTGATTAATGAATAGGGAGAATGATTATTTGTTCCCATCAACTTTGATTACTCTTTAAACAGTAATTAATACAACTATTTTGTCACCATTGCAACTAATTTTTAAACAAAAAGAAGAGTATTCCATATTCGATTTATAGCAGAAAACATTTATTGTTGATATCTGCGATATCAGCTGTTCAAAACTCTACCTTGCTCTCTTCCATTTGGCTCTCTGAAGCTCTTCACTTTCTCTTATTTATGTGCCGCGTTGGTTGGCCGAAGTCTTCTTCTTTGGCAAAAACCAGTTGTATGCTGAAGCAACAAGCGTGTGGATCGTTATCGTCTGTTTAACCAGTAAGGCAACAAATTCAAAGAGGGGCTCGCTGATTAATGCATGTCGCCCTTGCTGACGTAGCAAAATAGTTAAAAATGTAAAAATGTTGCTTTTACCAAAAAAATATTTATAAAAGCTATTTTTCTTTTAGAAAAAGGCATCCTCTCCTGTGAAATCAACCGGTCAAGCTTCCGAATTAAACAGCCAAATTACCCAGCAAGGCGATCTGGTGCGTGATCTTAAAGCCAAGAAGGCAGCCAAGGATCAAATTGATGCTGCTGTCAAAAAACTGCTCGCCCTGAAAGCGGATTACAAATCGGCCACTGGAAACGATTGGAAACCTGGACAAACGCCAGCTGCTCCCGCCCCAGCTGCTCCCGCCCCAGCTGCTGCTTCTTCTTCTACTGCCAACGACGCATCTTCAGTTAATGCCAGCATTCTGAAACAAGGCGATCTGGTTAGAGATCTGAAAGGAAAGAAGGCCGCCAAGCCCGAAATCGACGCTGCCGTGAAGACTCTTCTAGAACTGAAGGCTCAGTACAAAGCCCTCACCGGTCAGGACTGGAAACCGGGCACTGTACCTCCCACTGCCGCTCCAGCTGCATCTGCTGCTCCCCCGTCTGCTGCTAACGATTCGGTTTCCCAGATTCTAAACCAAATCACTGCCCAGGGCGACAAGGTGCGTGAGCTGAAGTCAGCTAAGGCCGATAAAACCACCATCGATGCTGCAGTAAAAACGCTGCTTAGCTTGAAGGCGGACTACAAGACAGCCACCGGAAGCGACTGGAAACCAGGCACCACAGCTCCCGCCCCAGCAGCAACTGCAGGAAAAGTCAAGCAGGAGAAGAACCCGGAACCTGCTTCTGCCCTTGCTGTTAACACACTGCTCGAAAAGATCGCCCAACAGGGTGACAAAATCCGTCAGTTGAAGTCAGCCAAAGCAGAGAAATCCCTGGTGGACGCTGAGGTTAAACTGTTGCTAGCTTTGAAGACGGACTATAAATCTTTGACCGGTCAGGAGTGGAAACCAGGTACTGTGGCTCCTGCTCCAGCAACTGTCGCCGTTGTAGATCTCACTGCTGGCGATTCAGGCAACGACGTTGGAAGTGTTCTGGGCAAGATTCAGGCACAGGGAGACAAGATCAGGCAACTGAAGTCGGAGAAGGCGGCTAAAACCGTAATCGAACCGGAGGTTAAGACTCTGTTGGCTCTTAAAGCGGAATATAAGACGCTGAGTGGTAAGGATTGGACCCCGGACGCTAAAGTTGAACCCGTTGTAGTTAAAAAGGAAGCAAGTCCCGTTGAGATGGCATCGCCAGCTAAGGATCAGCTCACCCTAGAGATCAATGCTCAGGGGGAGAAGGTGCGTGCGGCCAAGGGAAGCAAGGCAGCCAAGGAGGTAATCGATGCCGAGGTGGCCAAATTGCTGGCGCTGAAAGCTAAGTACAAGGAGGTCACCGGCACCGATTTCCCTGTTGCGGGACGAGGAGGCGGTGGCGGTGGAGGCGCTGCGAAGAAGCCTCCCAAGGAGGCTCAGCCGAAGCCAGCCAAGCCAGTGAAGAAGGAGCCAGCGGCCGATGCTTCCGGCGCTGTGAAGAAGCAAACCCGCTTGGGTCTGGAGGCCACCAAGGAGGATAACCTGCCCGAATGGTACTCGCAGGTGATCACCAAGGGGGAGTTGATCGAGTACTACGACGTATCCGGTTGCTACATCCTGCGCCACTGGTCCTTTGCCATTTGGAAGGCCATCAAGAATTGGTTCGATGCTGAGATCACCCGCATGGGTGTCAAGGAGTGCTACTTCCCCATCTTTGTTTCGAAAGCCGTTTTGGAGAAGGAGAAGACGCACATAGCGGACTTCGCTCCCGAGGTGGCGTGGGTCACCAAGTCCGGTGACTCAGATCTGGCCGAGCCCATTGCCGTGCGTCCCACCTCCGAGACCGTCATGTACCCCGCCTACGCCAAGTGGGTGCAATCCTACAGGGATCTGCCCATTCGTCTCAATCAGTGGAACAACGTTGTGGTGAGTATTACTATTCACTCGCTAACTTAATCGATTTTAAACTAATACTATATGTATTTCCGTTTTCACAGCGCTGGGAATTCAAGCAGCCAACCCCGTTCCTGCGCACCCGCGAGTTCCTCTGGCAGGAAGGTCACACCGCATTCGCTGGCAAGGAGGAGGCCGATAAGGAAGTGCTGGATATCCTCGATCTGTACGCGTTGGTCTACACCCACTTGCTGGCCATTCCCGTGGTTAAAGGTCGCAAGACCGAGAAGGAGAAGTTTGCGGGTGGTGACTACACCACCACGGTGGAGGCTTTCATTTCCGCCTCCGGTCGAGCAATCCAGGGAGCAACCAGTCACCATTTAGGCCAGAACTTCTCCAAGATGTTCGAGATCGTTTACGAAGATCCTGAAACGCAGCAGAAAAAGTACGCTTACCAGAACTCCTGGGGCATAACCACGCGAACGATTGGCGTGATGATCATGGTGCATGCTGACAACCAGGGTCTGGTGCTTCCACCTCACGTGGCCTGCATTCAGGCTATTGTGGTACCCTGTGGCATTACAGTGAACACCAAGGATGACGAGCGGGCGCAGTTGCTGGACGCCTGCAAGGCGTTGGAGAAGCGTCTGGTCGGAGGTGGAGTTCGTTGCGAGGGCGACTACCGGGATAACTACTCGCCCGGCTGGAAGTTCAACCACTGGGAGCTGAAGGGAGTGCCACTGCGCTTGGAGGTCGGCCCCAAGGACCTGAAGGCCCAGCAACTGGTGGCCGTGCGTCGCGACACCGGCGAGAAGATCACCATCCCGCTGGCTGACGTTGAGAAGAAGATTCCCGCTCTCCTCGAAACAATTCACGAGAGCATGCTGGCCAAGGCGCAAGTAGATATGGACAGCCACACCAAGAAGGTGTCCAACTGGAACGACTTCTGCAGCTTCCTCGAGCAGAAGAACATCCTGCTGGCTCCCTTCTGTGGCGATACGAGCTGCGAGGACAAGATCAAGGCGGACAGTGCCCGTGGCGAAGAGGCCGAACCAGGAGCACCCGCCATGGGCGCCAAGTCGCTGTGCATCCCCTTTGAGCAGCCGGCTCCCATCACGGCCAACGACAAGTGCATCAACCCCGGCTGCACCAACAAGCCCAAGTTCTACACTCTCTTCGGACGTAGCTACTAAACGAAAGCGAGCTGGAACGAAGCCAGGCTTCATTGTTTCTCCACACCATACTTTTAACATAAAAATTCGATTAAGTTCGAAGAACCGACATGTACTCTGATTTTTTGCAAGGATCTTAATTATCATGTTAAACCGAATAAAACCTAAAAATTTAAATTAAAAACAAGGTGTTTTAAATGGTCTCGTCAGTCAAGTATGCAATAGTAGGTGGCTACTTTTGTACTTTAGTTCCTGTTAGTTCAAACTGCATCATTAGTTAACTTTTTATTTTTTTTCGTGATTTTTTCAATTGTAAGATACAACCCCTTTCCAAATTTTCAAAAAATGGGATTCCTGAAAATTGACCAAATTGAAATTGGCATGTCACTAAAAGTAATTTTGTTTCATTGATTTTATATAAATAAATAATTTAATTAAATTTCATGAAAATCGAATGACTATATCATATAGGTGTCATAGAAACAATCGGAGAATAGCTAGCTTCTTTTCTTGTTTTAAATCATACTTTGATACTTTGCTTAGTTCCGTTTGTAAGGCATAAATTATTTATAAACTTCTTTTCGATAAGGAACACTTGACTTCTTAACAAGGTATCAATCCTATCGCCAGCCAATTAATGTTCAATTACATGTCAATCAACCTATATCAAACATATTAGCTCGGGTGTAGTTTAACGACCCTTTAAATACCTATTAAAAGCACTCATATATTTGCCAATTGCAATCAAGAATAAATAAAGTTTAATTTATAGCGTGTAAGAAAGTACTGGTGAGAGTTCTGTTTTTCTTTACTTGCTAATATCAACAAACGAAACACATCCAAACCTACCGTTTAATCTTTTAATAACGCCAATTAAAAGAGACTTAGCGGCCCCATTTTAATAAGTCGATAATTTTTCAGCCACAATCAATGGATTCCATCTTAAACTGTTTGGAGGTGGGTAGAGAATATGATCCGGCATAGTAATTGATATCAATATTAACCTATCCCAAGAGCCCGGGGCATTTACAATTTAAATTATAAATGTTTGAGTTTGTGCTACACCGGTCACCAATTTATTTTTTTCCCGCTTTTTACACTTATAATGATTGCCATTAGTGATAAATAATATAATTGTCATATAATTGCATACGTATGGGAGGCGAAAAGTGGTTTAGAAATGTAACCTTAACCAAGTGAGAGTAACTACTGCTAATGAAATGCATATTGCCACTTTGAGTCAGGTGCCGGTGTGGACTTGTTTAAAATGGAAAAATAATGGCCGGGCCCACACTGCGGATGGGGAATGTGGATAAGCCAAAAGCTGGACAATATTGCGTGCCGATATGCGTAAACATCAACAACAGCAGAACGACAAATGACAGTAGACACAGTCAAACTGAGATAAACCAACATGACTATTTCTATTTGCCTTCACTGCCATTCACAACTGGTTTCCCCGAGGAGTATTTTCAATTGTGCAATTGAAACATTCCACCAATTAAAGTAACAGGTTAACAGTTTAACTACAAAATAGTGAACAAAATATGCAATATTAACCAAATTCTTTATTCGAAGTGATTGTAACCATTTAATTTTGAATAATAGCCAAGTACGATTTATAAGTTTCATTTTTCAAAATCCTTTACAATATGCACACATTTCAAGTTGCGAAACGATGTTTCTATATAGCTAAACCCACAACACAGCTGCTTTGTTGACTCAGGTCAAACCTTAATGTGTTCTACTGACTTGTTAATCGAATCTCGCACAAATGGCAAATATTTAGTGTTATTCAGTATTCAGTATGTAGTTTTCGCGAAAGCAGCCGAGATTTGCAATTATGTTTGATTTATGGCATCGGTATCGGTCCCGATTCGATGGGTGGTTGCCGGGGGGTTATAGATCTTGGAAATCCCATTTATTCCATCCGCAGCTCCAGCTTTACCTCTTAACTCCAGCCCACTTGGAGTAATCAATTGCAATAAATTGCATAATGATGGCCGCGACTGATCGAATACATGGTTCATGTGTATCTGCAACCTGTTTATAATTGCTGGATTATTCATCGGTAATGTACAATCGAAAAATATAATGGGTTGGCCATTTGGAGTTGCCGATGTTCAGGGAAGTTATTTGCAGAATGCAATACGACATTTTTAGAATACCAAAAGTGCGTCATATTTGAAAGTAGATCAACAAAAACAGGCATAAGAAGAACAACGCATAAAATATTCTCAATTAACGAATAAGAACAGGAATAGAGATCTACGTAATCAAAAACATTTTTATCAAACTAGCAAATGACTTCTAATTAAATTCATCTTAATTTAGATTTCTGAATTAGTCATCAGATTTGACAAATATTTTAACTCAATTCTCACATTATTTTAGATTTAAATCAAAACAAAAACATCTTGCGATTTACTTTTAATAATTTGCGTTGATTTATGGAATCTTTTTGCTACACCTTATTTATGAAAAGGCTTTTTTCATTTCAATGTAAGAGGCTTAAAACCACCTATAAGATAACCTTTGGATTCACTAACATATTTTGTAACTTTTAGCCTTTAAACAAAAGACGTGTGAAAGGCAAACATAAGCTGGTTAGTAAACTGTTGGAAATCAAACAGGATCCAGCTGAGATCCAAGATTATAAAAATAGTGTTGAAATGACAAAGATCAAAAGCCTAATCCAAGGAATTGTTCGTGGTTTTAACCACGTGTGATGAAATCTCTTCCGCTTGAATTAAGACGAGACCCAGCTGGGAACTGGGAAGTTGAAATTTGGCTTAGTCGTGCATTTTAGCGGTTCGGTGACGAGACAGTTTCCTCGGTTCTCTCGCGTTTACAGAACCAATTAGAGTGAAACTACGAATTGGGCTGCTCCAGGGGCGTCCAACGACTCGGGCTGCCAAAACAAATTATGTCATCAAAGGAAAGGGAAATGGAAATGGAATACAACTGATAGGCTGCTGCGAAGCCTGTTATTAAAACTCAAAACCTGTGGCCCAACAAACCGGGCGGAAAAAACGAAATCGTAACGGAGACGTTGCTGATTCAGAATTTCAAGGTCGTCGCATCACGACATCTTCTGTTCGTTTTGTTACCAGATTGTGAAATCCCCCAGCGATCCTGTGGTTGTCCAAATCCACGAGTCCCCCGCTTCACCAATCAACTCACCTGACGGGGCAACTTTTTTTTAACTGACCATTATCACAGTTTGCAGCCGTGGATCAGGTTCCCCAAGAGGAAAAAATCTCTTCTACAGCCAAAAATTGCATGAATGCATTTTAGCACGGAAATATGCTTGTATGAGTTGTCTCATTTTGTGCATACACAACTACAGTGAAGATTCCAAATGTACCATCTTATTAAAAGCATGACAATATATGGTACTACACTTAAATAGATGAATCATCAAAAGTTTTTGTATTTTAAGCAAACAAATTTGTTGGGGGATTTATTAAAACCCGTAGACCATCGGCTGTTATGGAAACAATTTCACAATACAAACTTTTCCAATGGAATAATAGTGAAACGGGAGTTTTCCTATAATTTCTTTAGGTTACTATTTTTTAATTACATGACTATAATTTTAAACATGTAATGCACGAGAGTGTTATTAGTATAAGGCTTACTTTACGGGATTTTGGATTGATGAAAGAAAGTTCCCCTTATGGAAGTGGGACTGTTTATGCATCTGTTTCGCTGCCATGGATGACATGCGCTTTTTTAGGGCCACCTCAAGTGGCTGGCCTTGGTTTGGTGCGGCTCCTTTTTTTGCGGTCGAGGGGAATTTTGTTTTGGACTCCGTCTAGGGTTGCCAGGGTTGCCAGGTGCTGCCAGGTTGCAGTTTTAAATCTCGGATGGCCAAGTCTGAAGACGGGCGATCCATTAGCATTGCCCTTGCTCGAATTGCAGAGCTTTAAGTGCCGTTTAATTGGCTTTAATTCGAGTGTTTCGATTCGGTGCGTGTTTGTTTTTGTTTTTTTATGGCCTGGCAGAGGGCAAGCTCATCTTACGGCCAGTAAAACCCGGAAAGCAGCACACTAACAAACTCACCTGGCTTCCACACCTGTCTGCGCACACGTACGCTGAGCGAGTGTTTGTGTGGTTTTGCGGAGGCAGCGACGCCGGCAGCGCCGAGTTTCCTTTGAGCCGAGTATAACTTCAAGCCAATTGCCCGCTTTCAATTCAGTTGCCGCTGAGTTTTCAACCGATTCAATTCGAGACCGCAAACATCACTCAAAAGATTCGCCAGTCACCGTCGTTCGTCAACACCTTAGAAGTGAGTTTTAAATAATGCCGAGGTGTTAAAAACTTGGTCCAATAGTCATTGGCCATCCCAATCTCCCCGTGAACTTTGGCTCAATGTGTGTTTGCCCATACAATTGGCACGAGAAGCCTGCAAAAAAAAATAGCAAAATGTCAATCCTACAATTGTAAACGAAAAGTGTGCGAATGTCATAATTTGCGTGCCACAAGTTACGTGAATCCGTCCGTCCGGAAAAAGGGGGCGTGAAAAGCAGTGTAATGTGTGTTTCATTTGAGGAAAAAATCTCTGACTAAAGCAGCCTACACAATGGGAATAAAATTCAATGGAAATTAGTGCTCTTAGAACGGCACAGCGCAAGTGCATTCAAGTTTGTGGCTTAAGTCTTTTGTTTGGACAAAAAAAAAGGAATTGTCCCAGAGGAAACATTCATTTTAAGCTCGTGCATAAATCAACCCATTGCAAAACAGTGAAAAATATATATTTGCTTTAAATGTTAAAGCATTCTAATGCATAACAAAGTCCAAACAGAGTGGAGAAAATAGGGGCTTTTAAAATGCAAAAATTGTAAAATGTATTCAAGAATCAAAAATAAAATGAAACCGCAATACAATACTCAATGCTACGGTTTCGTGTAAAATTAAAATATATATATTTACTTTTTAAAATTCATTCATAGACTTAGAAAAGATTTCCGCGCCATACAAAAACCAGAATAGACGAATAACTTATAAGTGAATTTTTGCATAATTAACGTAACCAACAAGGGCTGCACTTTGTATTCAAGCAATCAATCAATTTAAGTTAAAATATATTCTTATATTTAAAAGCAATAACATCAGAAAAAAACTTAGTGATAAGCAAAAAACCAATTGGATATTCTCACAGTTTTTAGTTTAGTTTTTTGATTGCTGTCGTAAGCTGAAAATACGTAACACCATTACAAGTTGGAAAAGTGCTTACTTATCATAATGGAAAAGAAAACAACTTTAATTAGGGCGGCTATAAAATGAGAGCAAAATGCAGAGACTCTTTATGCAGTTAAAACACTGAAGTTTAACGACGGCCCTAAGCCATCATCAGTTGGCTAATTGCTGGACTTCCACCCGCACTCGCATTGCCCAAGATGCGTAATGCACACAGTTAAAAGTAAAAACCTAAAAATAAAAAACCAAAATAAAGCAATGAGCCTAACATTAACCCATGGTCGGACGGACACTTTCCAAACACGATAAACAAACAAACGGTGGCCGCTAACAGGTCTTTAAACTTGTCGCTATTTACCAACATAAACAGATGATGTGCGAGGTGTGATGGGAAGCGGTGATTTTGGGGCGGGGACACTCGGGGAACGGACCCCCGAAAATCCCAATTGGCCACGGCAATTACACGCGGTTGGTCAACAACATCGCCGTTGTCTCTGCATGATCGTGTTTCATCAGTATCCGCCGGTGACATTGAACAAGAATCTTGGCCGGAGTAGGTTAGACAAACAAACGGCCAACCACTCGATCTTGAAAACAAATGGATGTAATGCCAACTGATCGCCACTTCCTTTAGTTTATTTTGCAAACTATTAAATGCCAAAATTTGTACTCATATTTTAGCAAGACAATAAGAACTAATAGTTTAAGTGTATTAATAAACACAAGCAAGTTCTAAGAGCTATTACAATCAAAGCCCAGAACCTTAAAATGTGAAAACTACTAAAAGTTTTTAAAAGAAGAAAAATAATCCAGTTATAAATATATAACAACAACATAATTAAATTTAAAAAAAAATTTTAATGTAAAGAATGTTGAAAAAGACAAACTATGGCCCTGGAAACAATGTCAAAAATATTTAAAATATATATTATATCATTAAATGATTCCTTTCTTTCCTATTTAGAACGCTGCTTAACCATGGACATACTGAAGAGCGATGCCGATTGCGGCGAGTCTGATATTGCCAATTTCTATGCCAACAAAACTATACTGATAACCGGAGCCACTGGATTTATGGGCAAGGTTTTGGTGGAGAAACTACTACGGAGTTGCGGGGATCTTAATGTTATATATCTACTAATTCGCACCAAAAAAGGAGTCGATCCCAGCGTTCGCAAGGAGCAGTACTTCAAGTGTGTGGTATGTTTATCCAATGACCTTTCACTAACCTACCGGAAATCAAAACATTCCATTATTAAAAGCTGTAAATTAGAAAATTTATTGGTCGTTAATACGGCCTCGCGTTAAACAGCTTAATTAGCGTCTACTTAAATATCCATTCTCCGCTGTAACACGTAACGTATACTTAATGCCAATTCGTGAAACGCAATGCATATACATTCTTTGGAATTTTCTTGTTGAAAACAACAGCAGTGATTTGCGGTTATTGGAAACTTCGAAAAACCAATAGTTTAAGCAAGAGTAATTATATTTTAGGGGATTCTCATTAAATTTCACAACAAAACGAATCAAAACGGACTGTTAGAGAAACTGAATTTTTTAATTTTTTCAATCAATTTTTGAACGTCGTGGTTACTCAATAGTATAAATGTCAATGAGTCATAAGTTTCCACTCTCTATTTGGCAAACGTCAATAGAAATCTTACAAAATCTGAAGCGATTACAATTGCCGACCTTGCCCACTGGTCTATGGCAATAATTTCCACCTCAGCTCCGAATCGCAACGCACTCGCACGTGAATACTCAGATATAAATTCTATATAATTACATGCCATAACTGGCACCGTCGCAGTTGAACTAATACTCCGTTTGCCCTCCGCCAAAGGGAAAACCTGCAATCGCGACCCCCGCAAATTGCCAAATTATCGCACTGCTCAAAGACACCAAAATGTGGTGTTACTTTGGGCCAACAAAGCGACCCACTCAAACACATCCACGGCGTTTATAAGTCAAGGTGATCATTATTGGTTAAAAAAAAGGCAACAAAATCCAAAAATTACAATGACTCTTAATTGTTGGACGTTAAGACGGTGCTAAAACCAGCGACATGGCCCATTAGGCGATTCTAGCCAGCAGACAGTGGCAACTTTGGGTCCGAATTGCAATTTCAGCGCCATGACACTTAACTAATGACCGACCGCCTGTTATTCGGCTCTTAGATTTTCAGCAAGCTGCTGGAGAGGAATCCCGGCATCGTGGACAAGGTGCGCGTGGTAAAGGGCGATCTGCTGGAGCCGGACCTTGGCCTGAGCGCCAATGACACCAACACGCTCGCCTCCAACGTCGAGGTGGTGTTCCACTGTGCGGCGAATGTGCGCTTCGACCAGCCGCTGCGCCCCATGGTCATGATGAACGTGGTGGGCACCCTGAAGGTCCTGCGCCTCGCCGAGAAGATGAGCCACCTGCAGGCGTTGGTCCACGTGTCCACCTCCTACTGCCAGTGCAACGAGAGCGTCCTGGAGGAGCGCGCCTACGCGGCCCCGCAGAACCCCTTCTCCATCATCGAGATGGTGGACACGATGGAAGACGCAGCTCTGGCGGAGATCACACCCAAGTATGTATTTAATGAAACAACAAAGTTTATCCTTAAATAATCACAATTTTATATACTACTTTTAAAGCTTCCGCACTTAATAATTTGCAAATATTAGTGCTTGAATAAAAAACTTTATGGGGTGTCATTCAAAGTTTATTTATTTACAATCACTTTTGCAAAGTTATTTAAAATAATCAAATATGTTCACACCCCCTAAAACAGTAAAAACACTAGTAAAAATAACAAGTTCGTGTGCAATAAAATGTTCAAAGTTCCAGACTCCTTAAATACCCACACCTTTGCACCCAGTAACAAGTTTCTGTGACTTTGTTCCCCAGATTACTGAACGGCTTGCCAAACACGTACGCTTACAGCAAGGCGCTGTCGGAAGATTTAATTTGCAGATACAACAATAAGCTGCCCATAATCATCACAAGGCCTTCGATTGGTGGGTATTGTGTTGCACTGTCTACTTTTTGTGCCTCCTGCTTAATTGCTTTATTAAATCCGTTGCAGTGACGGCGGCCATTCACGAACCTTTGCCCGGTTGGATTGAGGGCGTCAATGGACCCACTGGCCTCATGATCGGCGCCGCCCGTGGAGTCATCAGATCGATGCACTGCAATCCGGACTACGCCTCCACGGTTATTCCCGTGGACAAGGCCATCAACGGGATGATCCTGTGTGGCTATCAACGTGGCAAGGCCAGCCAGGAGAAGGGAGGCCAGCAGACGGGAGTGGAGTTCTGCAACCTGTGCATCTCCAGCAAGGCTCTGATGTCCTGGGGCGACAGCATCGAGACGGGCCGCCGGTTCTTCTACGAAACGCCACTCAGCTTCGCGCTTTGGTATCCCGGGGGATCCATCAAGAAGAACTACTACCACCACCTCTTCTGCGTCATCTTTTTCCACTATCTGCCTGCCTACTTCATCGACTTTTGGCTGCTTGTCTTCGGTCAGAAGCCATTGTGAGTAGAAATTTTTTCAATAAATTTTCTATGATATAATATTATATGGTATTATAAACCTTTTCAATTTATTTTAGCTTATTAAATGTCCAACGGAAAGTTTCGACGGGTTTGAAGCTTTTGCAATACTACACAACAAAGGAATGGGAGTTCCGAAACGAGCGGTTCCAGGAGATGAGCAGCAAGCTGAATACTCTAGACCAGGACCTTTTTGACACGTCGGTGGGTCAGGTGAACTGGGAGACTTACATTAGCAACTACATAGTGGGCATGCGCACCTACATCCTGGGCGAAAGTGAAGACACTTTACCCCAGGCTCGAAAGGTCCTGCGCCGTCTGTACATCCTCGACTGGGTCAGCAAGGTGCTGTTCTGGTCCCTCACCTTCTGGTTCCTGTGGACCCATCTGGATGGGTTCGTGGAGAGGAGCGACGCCTTCATCCGATCCTCACTCAGCAATATTTATCACGAGCGAAACAGCACTATACACGCATAAGTTCTTTTATAATTATTTCCCTCAAATATAGTCGGCAAGATTTTTTTGTTTTAAGTCAACATATGATATTATTTAAATTGGTCGTTGGGAACTGGTTCCGCTTTCGAACTAGGGAACTAAACGTAGTAACCGTTGGCCCAGCAAGGCTTAAAAGCTGTTTTCTCATGTTTTACCAACATAGCTATAGCTTAAACAAACTGTTGTTATCGAAATTTGAATCAATGTAGGGATAAGCAAAGAAACTTTTTTACATCTGACCATTGAGATTGTATAGAATACTTTTTAAATAAATAAATAATAACAGTGTTAGGTGTCAATTAATTCATGTTGTTTCTATGCGTTTGTTATTGCCTCAAGTGCTTCGAAATTTGAGTACATCATTGCCTCATCTAAAATCGACACTCAGCCCACGATGATAAATCATAGCCTAATCTCCAAGTCAAAGAAAACGTGAACGTGAAACCGATAACAAATAGCCAGCTAATCTCTCCCTGGCAACGAATATAGCCGCGAGTTTGTGTTCCTATTGGGAGAGCTTTTCAATGCTCTCGCTTTTGCGGAAGAGAGATGAGATTTTTGGTCAGGAGATACAAATTAAAAAAAAATACATACTTATTTTAACTAATTTAACAAACAATTACTATTCGAAAAAGATGACGACGAAGAAATGAATACCCTGAACATTTTCGGTTAAAAATTCAATGCAAACATTGGCGGCCTGACATCGACTTCGAATAAAAATATCGAATTTAAAAATATATTACCGTTTGCGTTAAATTTATAAATGCACCAAAATGTTTAACAAATTTTTTTGGGAAAGAATTCTCCTTCTCGGCGAAGATAAAAAATTATACAAAAAAATGTACCTTTTAGTCGTTCTCTGTTTACCCATTTGGGAAAATGTTGTCCAATATAAAGTTTCAGTTATCGAGGTTGTGAACAGCGCCTCTAGCGGATGAATATGACTGCCGAGTCGTTGCCAGAGGTTCAGTCCGTTAACGTTCGGGTGGCGCTCTAGGGACTTGCGGACCCGGCGAGACTCCCTAATTCTGCCATGGTTTGGAGAATATATATATACAACCAGATGGGGCCCTCGGTCAGTTTGGAGCGGCGTCGAAAAGCGAGCGGTTGTTGAGCAGCGGAGCCAACAGCAAGCAGTGAAGCAGAGCAGACAGCAGAACAGAAGAGGAGGAGGAACAGTATCGTCATGTATCACCTGAAGAGTCTCGCCCGCCAGGGAGCCCTGCGTCAGCAGGAGTTGGCCACGCTGGCCAAGGCCCTGCCCACGGCAGTGATGCACTCGAGCCGTGGCTACGCCACCGAGCACCAGATCCCCGACCGCCTGAAGGACGTGCCCACCGCTAAGGATCCGCGCTTCTTCGACATGGTCGAGTACTTCTTCCACCGCGGCTGCCAAATCGCCGAGGAGTCCCTCGTCGACGACATGAAGGGCAAGTTGACCCGCGACGAGAAGAAGCAGAAGGTGAAGGGCATCCTTATGCTGATGCAGCCCTGCGACCACATCATCGAGATCGCCTTCCCCCTGCGCCGCGATGCCGGAAATTACGAGATGATCACCGGCTACCGTGCCCAGCACAGCACCCACAAGACGCCCACCAAGGGAGGCAAGTATTTAGCCATGATTTATTACCAAACAAACAAGACAGGGAACTCTCCCGAGGTGCATTCAATTTTCAAATCCACTATAGCAGGAAAATTAGCCAGTGTTCAGTGAAATTCAGTGAACTAAAATATTTCCAAAAAATGTAGGGAGTGAATTTATATACACGAATTAGGAACATACCCGTTGATCAACCCACAATTTCATTTTGAAAGGCCCAAATTCGAGAGAAAAATAATATTTACTGTGGCTTAGGATTTTTCAACACAAGAAAAACGTAATTCTAAATATAAGAGATACAAAAGAACTAAAGTAGCCCCTTTCTTATGACCTAATGCCGTTTCATAATATATGCAAATGTTTGCTATTTAATATTCCTCTGCATTTTAAGCAAATTAAATGCTATTTTTAAAGATACTCACAATCCCTCTATTTTGCCTAACAAAGCTCATTAAAGCAAGACAATTGCCTGGCGTGTTTAAAGCCAAAATATGTCAGTTTAAAGCCCATATAGGAATTGCCTAAATCAGCAGTTGTTGCTCGTTGCAAAATCGATTTTTCCTTCGGCATTCTGGCATTATATGTCTTGCCTTTTTTCGAGTTATGTAACTCAGTATGAGCCATACAGACTGCCCCCTTTTCCCTCGCTCTGCGCATGTTCTGCCGCCTGTTTTGTTTACGTTTTGGCCGACACCGCCCCCTTTTTCTTTTAGGGTTTATAGACCAAATTGCATAAGGCTCAGGCGTTTGTACACGTGTTTCCATTTGATTTCCAAACCCTTCAAGTGTGCCACCATTCAAAAACATACGAACGATGAATTTTCTTGCCTCCCAGTTTTTCGCACATTTTATTATTTTCGAGCTGGCAAATTTATTTCGATTCTTTCGATGTTTGTTCTCTTTCCCTGCTGTTTGTTTTTTTTTTCTTTGGCTGGGTGCTATTTATAATGAACTTTTGCTTGTGCTTATTGTTTTGCTTTCTAATTGAAATGAGAACAGCGCTGCACAGTGTGTCAAGTGCTGAGTAAAAAATAAAACTATTCAAGTACACCCCCAACGCCAAAAAAAGAAAAAAGCCCCCCTTGTTGTCAGGCCACCAAAATTGTTTGCTCCGAATTGATCTTTGTTTTTCACTCGCATTATTAATTTTAGAACCAGTTCAGTGCTTATCAAATGCCGAAAAAAAGTGAAAAATACGCGACAAGGGTTTCTTATCTGACCTTGGCCACGCGCAAAAATAGAAAATAAAAACAGCCGAAAAATTCTATGTCCCTACAATTGGTTGTTTACGATTATTGCCACGCTTCTTAGCAGTTTATGATCTTGTTTTCGATTCCAGATCGATCATGTGGTCTGGTTAGGCCACCAAAAGTTGTAAACAAACTGTTGCCAACTGACTGTGACTGCACCTTATGTCTCGTTAATAATTCACTTAAATACGGTTCTGCTATTTCTGTCAGAGGTGCTAAAATTTGCTAGTTTGTTTGTTTTCTTGGTACTTGATCAATGGACAATGTTTAATGGCAACCATTTTGTGCTGGCCGTGCTCTAATTAATGCTAATTCAGGCTGATACATCTGCCAGTTAGCTGTTAATTGTTTAATATGTTCTGCGTACATCGAGATCCGTTCTCAAATTTCGGCTAAATTGCCTTTTAAAAGCCGGCTCGTGAATTCCGTTTCATTTTACCCCGCTTCTGCTGAGTTTGGTTTTTGTGTGTGCGTTTGAGAAACCGGTTTCAATTTGCTTGGGGTGTCTGTCAGCTCGGCTTTGTTCACGTGATGGTCACGTTGTGCCAAAAAATATGAGAAAATGAAATCCAACAAAAAACTGAAGCTGACGAATGCGTCATTGGCTGTACCACTGTATCTTTTTGAAGAGAATGGCAACGCATGGGGGACCATTCAAAACTGATTTGATCTGGTCTACGGCACTTTCGACATATGTCGATGAACCGATCTAAATTGTCTAGACAATTGAGGGGTCTGCTCTGTAATTTCCCAACTACAAACAGACAAACAAACTGTGAATCGAAAACGTATAAATAAAACAAAAACTGATAGTAAAGAGCCGCACTATCAATAATGTATTTTATATGTGCATACAGTTGTATTCACTAGTATATTAACACATGCTCATTGCACACATTAGTTCAAGTAAATAGCATTTCCCACAAGTACTTGGCAGTTATCTTGTTGACTAACAAGTTTCGATTTTATTTGCACTCCCCGAGAGTTGCACTCGAAGTTTTCGTATGCAAATTGTTGTCAATCGTGTCATTTGAAGTGGGTGACAAACCCCCTGAAAAACAAACAAAACTGTAGAAAATCTAGTCCACAGCTAAGTTGTTGATCACGAAAGGAATCTCTATCGAAATGGCATGTTTTTTAGCGCAAACTCTGCTGGGGGTGCGTCTATATATGCGTCACTTCCGCTCCTATCTTTCTACCATATCTTATCCGACTATAAAGATCTTGGCAGGCGTCAAGGCCCCTAACAAACAGATTTTGTAGCTTTTAATCATATGGCGCAGAATTCTGGTCAGCTGACCAGCTGAGGCAACCGGTTTGGTCTATCCGAAAGATCGTCGCCTGTTGCCATAGGGAATATATGTATATAGGTATGTATATGCAGATATAGACGTGGCTATATGGCACACACAGCCATACGATCGAGCCCCCAAATGTGTTATCGCACCGATTGTATAAGCATGCCATCTAGACTAGCTATTCTAGCTTTGGGAACACTAATAGATTCATTTTTGTTTTATTGTTTTTCAAATACCTACCTAATTTTTGGGCGAAAAACGAAAACAAGTCGCCTGATAAAGCCGGTTGGCGCTGGTCTTCTGGCATTTCATATTTTTTGTACGTTTCTGTTTTTTGTTTTTATGGTAAACATAAGCGAAAAGAAAGGCGAAAACCGGGGCTTTGGCAAATAGAGAGGGCGTCGCTGTCGTCAAGCGGTTTGGGTACAGTCAGCACAGTTCCTCAGTTCGATTCGATATGACGACTTAGCCCATTCAGCAGAAAGCCAAAAAGAAGACGCAAAAGACCAGGATGAATGGGTCTTCAGACTCGAAAATACCTCAACCAGTTAGCTTGAAAATATCTCAGGAAAATCTTTTACTTAGTAACCAAAAGATAGATAGTTAAAGGCATAGAACTTACTGAGGGAGTATGCTAAAGTAGTTCTAAAATAGTTTATTCTTCTTTATCTTACAGTTTATAATAAGAAACCAAGCAAAGATTAGTTTATTTTTAGGTTGTTTACAATATATAGAGGCATATCATTTTCTGCGTCTAGTCAAGGCATGGAAAATTACTAGGTACACACCCAGACTGCTCCTCTCGAAATCATGATATACATAAACCACCAGTCAGTACATAATGATTTGTAATTTGCAATTTTGTGTACTCATTGTTCCCTTTTGTTTATAAGTTCCAGTTGCCGAGCCCCAGCGAACTCACACAGCTGATAATGCCAAGAACCCAATTCGATTGCGAAAAGCAAATCAAGAATTTGTTTCTTTCTTTTTTTTGGAACTTAAAGTTCGCTCGATTCATGGTCATTATCAGCATGGCAACATAGCCAAAATTTAATCCAAGGAACTAAGCTAATTTTGGATTTTATAGTCTTGTTTTTTGGGGGCTCGTCCAAACATCCACGGTCCAAAAGTTTAAATCATTAATTCCCCTAGCTTCAAATAAAAAACCATTCAATGGAACTCGACTATAAAGTACCATTTATCGACCCATAAAATCGAGCACTTTGCTCTTTCAAGTTTTTACAATAGAACACGCTTATTAAATTCGAATTACAAGCAGGAAACACTTGCTTATCTAATCGAGCGCTTTCCCAAAGATATCAAAATTAAATGTGCCAGGCAAATAAAGATAAGACCCAAAGGCGTTTTATGGGTTCTGGGTTCTTGAGACTGTTGCGACATCGTCGAAAGGTTTCCCCACATCGGCCAGATGCAACAATTTTCTTTAGGGCACGTGCTTTTAAAAGACAGCTAACGAAAATGTTCAAATGTTCGAAAATGTATCATCGATTCGGGGAAAACTTTTGCTTTCCGCGAGGAATTCGTGTAGTTTGTCGTCTATTTTTGGATCTGTCTTTTGGATTTAGGCCAAAAATGAAAGCTGCATCAAGGTCGCTAAGTTCTGTGTACACCTGTCGTATACGTAATACGTGCTTATGCAATTATTCCTCCCTTCATTTCAGGTATTCGCTTCTCGTTGGATGTGTCACGCGATGAGGTCAAAGCCCTTTCCGCCCTTATGACCTTCAAGTGCGCCTGCGTGGATGTGCCATTCGGTGGTGCCAAGGCTGGCCTGAAGATCAACCCCAAGGAGTACTCCGAGCACGAGCTGGAGAAGATCACCCGCCGCTTCACCCTGGAGTTGGCTAAGAAGGGCTTCATCGGACCCGGCGTCGATGTCCCTGCTCCCGACATGGGAACCGGCGAGCGCGAGATGTCCTGGATTGCCGACACCTACGCCAAGACCATCGGCCACCTGGACATCAATGCCCATGCCTGTGTCACCGGCAAGCCCATCAACCAGGGTGGAATCCACGGACGCGTCTCGGCCACCGGTCGCGGTGTCTTCCACGGCCTGGAGAACTTCATCAACGAGGCCAACTACATGAGCCAGATTGGTAAGTTTTTGATTGGAAATTAAGTTTGGAAAGTGTATACTTATATGGTTATATCGTCTATGTGTAGGAACCACTCCCGGCTGGGGCGGCAAGACCTTCATCGTCCAGGGCTTCGGTAACGTGGGCCTGCACACCACCCGCTATCTGACCCGCGCAGGAGCCACCTGCATCGGTGTCATTGAGCACGACGGTACCCTGTTTAACCCGGAGGGCATTGACCCCAAGCTGCTGGAGGACTACAAGAACGAGCACGGCACCATTGTCGGCTACCAGAATGCCAAGCCCTACGAGGGCGAGAACCTCATGTTCGAGAAGTGCGACATCTTCATTCCAGCTGCCGTCGAGAAGGTCATCACCAGCGAGAACGCCAACCGAATCCAAGCTAAGGTAAAATAACCATATTAAGTGTGACTTGTTTAAAATATTTCCTAGCTTATTAGTTATGGTAATCAAGTTGTAAATGTTTTACTGATTTCATTAATTTTTTACAGATCATTGCCGAGGCTGCCAACGGCCCCACCACCCCCGCTGCCGATAAGATCCTGATCGACCGCAACATCCTGGTCATCCCCGATCTGTACATCAATGCCGGTGGTGTCACCGTCTCCTTCTTCGAGTGGCTGAAGAACCTGAACCACGTCTCGTACGGTCGCCTGACCTTCAAGTACGAGCGCGAGTCCAACTACCATCTGCTCGGTAAGTTATGCTAACTTTATAACTAAAATAAGATTAGGCTCTTGAAGGCACTTGCTCCTCATCTCTCTATCTATTTATTTATTTCTGCTCATTGATCATGCCATCTCATTAATAGGTTTATGGATTGATTATGCTATAATTAAAAAGAACACCAAAACCCGTACAGAAAAGCGCTTGCTCTGTCAGCATTTGCTCTTCCCATATTGGTTTAGAATTTCTTGGTTCTCCATCTTCAAAATTTCGTTTGCCTTAACTTTACTTTACTTTCGATCCTATCCACCAACACCACAAAAAGAAATACAAACCACCGCCAAGAGACTCTAAGATCGTAATATAATTTTGAAGTATCATCTAAGTAATTCGTTGTTTATTCTTCTTCTTTTTTCCGTTTCTCTATCAACAATGTAGCCTCAGTCCAACAGTCAATTGAAAGAATCATTAATGACGGTACATTCTGATTATTAATTCTTTTCGTTTCCACCTATCCACCATGTTAACACAATCCTTTTTGAAATCATTTTAAAATCATGTAAAACATTTTATGTAGTTAGTTTCGTTATGTACCTGTGCCTTTTACTTGTAATTTATCCATTCCTTAAGCATCCAGGAGTCATTTCTATACCATAATCATACTAATACTCGGAACCATCATATCCAATTGCTTTAAATTTATCTAATCCAGTATCTGTAATAATTGGGCGGCTTTAAACCTTGTCATATATGTTTTCCTATCAGCATGTGGCACTCTCAACTAATTGCTTTGTCCTTCTTGTATCCCCACTCGCTGTCTTCCTGCAGAATCCGTGCAAGAGTCCCTGGAGCGTCGTTTCGGCCGTGTCGGCGGTCGCATCCCCGTGACCCCCCTCGGAGTCCTTCCAGAAGCGCATCTCCGGTGCCTCCGAGAAGGACATCGTGCACTCCGGCCTGGACTACACCATGGAGCGCTCCGCCCGCGCCATCATGAAGACGGCCATGAAGTACAACCTTGGCCTGGACCTCAGAACCGCTGCCTACGTCAACTCGATTGAGAAGATCTTCACCACATACCGCGATGCCGGTCTGGCCTTCTAAGCCCGCTGAGTGTGCTGATTAGCCCCTCCCCAGACTCTTAACTAGATAATTAAGCAATCGAACACTCAAGAGAGCATAACTACTGCTATTGCTCCATGCACCGCCGTCTTAGATGAAAATGTCACAAACAAAGCCGATATGCAAGAATCGTAATTTATAATCTACGGCAATTGGAGCTGGCCGAAATTACTCTTTTTAAACAAAAGCAAAACAAACGCCAACTTTCGCCCGTGTTTCGTATTAAGTTGAACAAGTTGCGATCTTATTATTGTTGATTTTCTGTAATTTTTAAGTTAATGAGCGTCAAAGTGAAGCAATTGCATTTTCAATTAAGTATCGCAACGTCTCGTACCGTCAAGTCACGTTTATCGTACGATCGCTCCGTTGCCGTAACATTAAAATAATCAAATATACAAAAACAAACTAAATTCTAAACAAGTGCATTTTAATTGTCAACTTGAGTTGGCCACTTAGCTGATCACAATGGAATACAGTTGTTGTTCTCAATGATATAATTACTAATACGTAAAAACGTATGCATCGTTGGATCGATTGGAATGTATCAAAAATATAAAGGGGTTCTATAATACTATAAGTACACTTTTGTGGATAAAAACTGAGATACAGCGTATAAGAGTATCTGTGTCCGTATACAAATTGGAAGAGGAGTAATAATCGCTACAAGACTATTCCGAATTTCAATAATAAAACTCTTGGCTTACTGACTAAAAGTTATAAATGTCTCCGAACCGAGTGCATGTCAACGTGGTGCAATCTTTCCTTTGAGTTTGCGAATCAAAGAACCAAAGATTTGGGAAACAGATGCTGCTTCACATAGTCGTCGATCATCTCCATGAGCAGCTCGCGAGTGAGCTTCGGATGCTGCAGCACGTAGCCAAAGTCTTTCAGTTTCGTGTTGTCCAAGTAGAGGTGCTTGTGCTGCAGCTGTTCCTCGTCGAGGTAGGGTGTCAGTGGGGTGTTGTCGATGCCGTTGCGCTGGCAAATCTCGGCCCAGGGTGCCATGTGCTTGTCGTTGATTTCACCAACGGTGTCCGTGGGATAAAGCTGGAAAACAACAAGTTGAATGGTTAATAAACTATAGATTATTGCAGTATGCCACGGAGTCTTATGATAATGTTGTGATTATATGCTTATAAGCAGCAGATGCCACTTATATATGTTTTCTTTCATTTGACCTGCCTTAATGTGGATATCAAGTGCCATAAAACAGATCAAGTGCTCTAAAATCTATTTAAACAAAACCTTAGCTTTTAACTGGTTGAACTTCTTTGGATTTAACAAATTAATGTTTTAATTATGCAAATTTTACTCGTACACCTTAAAATGTCAAATGTGTCGCAATGTTGTTTACCTTTGCCAAGTTCGACATGACGAGTCCAAAGAAGTCCACATTAATGTCGAAGATATCTGCCAACAGGTTGCTAATGCTGCCCTGCGTTGAAATCTCAGCGTCATCGGCGATATTGTAGATTTGGCCAGCGGTCTTGGGACTCAGAGCCAATTGCCAAATGGCTGCGCACACATCGGCTACGTGCACCGTATTCAAACGCATGGCATCGTTCCACAGAAGCTTCATTGTCTCGTTGAGGTATTTGTAAATGGCAGCGATTATAATGCGCGGCACTATGAACGGAAAGCAATTGGGTGGTCAGTTTGTCAATTACATCAATTATCGAGCATCGGCGAAAGGAAACACTCACTCAAATAGCGCTTATCGCCAATGCCATAGACCACGGGCAATCGTACGATTGTATAACTGAGATCGTCAATGTTGGCCAGCTCCTTCTCGACCTTCAGTTTTTGCCGGGCCACACCCGTCCAGGGATCCAGCTTACAGTCTTCTTTTAACGGGGTCTTCTCGCTGCTGTTTACACATCCGGAACTGAGTTCAACATAGCGCTTGACCCGCTGGGCAGCTGCCTCATTGGCGCAGTTCAGGCTGAGCTTTAGGATACCCTCCTTGTAGACGGCGTCATCCTGGTTGGCACGCGTCTCGGCCGCACAATTAATGACGATGTCCCAGGCCCTTCCGGTCGTGGGGTGTGGCGCAAAGGCCGCCTTGCAAGAGGCTGTAAACAAAGGAGACGAGAGTTCCAAAACCTGTTTTGGTGCAAGTACAATAGGGTGGCTCGTTTTGGTTACAGGTAGCTAGGTGGCCGTTGGGGAGTTTTTCAAAATTCTAAAATGTCTTATTCTTGCTTTTATAAAACGTATTTAAAAAGAATCACATTTTTCAAGATTCAACTGGTTGCCAGGGCTTATGTGGTATCTAATTTTATGATGATTCAGAGAAGTGTGTTTAATGGGGAATTGCTGGATATCAAATATCTTAATAGATGAATCAGAGTTGCCTCTACCAGATAAATAACTCTCTAGCAAACATGGCTCAAGTATTTCACCATTTCCTGCATATCCTATAGCTTGAGCCACCCTACTGCGATTACCTACCGGCATTTATGAGGTTCGCGCTGCAGAACTCCACCCGATCGCTCTCGAAGACCCTCGTCTGCTCCTTGTTCAACCAGGCCATTTGGGGAGGGGTTTTATCAGCGAGCCGTATTTCCTGCGCCAGTTCATTGTCCACCAGATAAGTGGCCAAGTTGCGTCCGATGAAGCCGCAGCCTGCGGGGCACATAAAAATCACCCATGCAGTTGGATCTGGTGATAAGCGGGGTCTCAGAGCTACTTACCACCCAAAATCAAAACAGTCGGCTTCTCAGACATGCTGCAATCGCGACAGTCAACCGGAATGCGAATGAGTCAAAGTCGAGGGATTTATTTGTTAGTGGTCGGAACTGATTTTGTTGTTTGGCTGCTGTTTGGATAGTGTGACCATGGCGCGCAATGCAGAATAAATACCACTCAATTCATGGCCACACTGCGGCGCACAAATTTAAAAATTCATTGGCGATAGGCATTAAATGTTTTATTATTATTATTAATATTTTTTCATCATTCATTTTACCTTAGCAATCTTTCAATTTGTAAGGTTTTTAAAAAACTTAAAGTTTTTAAATATTTTTGGGAATTGTGCCTTATTTGACGGGTTTTTGTAGTATTTTATTTATTTAAATAAAAAAAAATGTTGTACAATTGATACGGATTTTTAATTCGTTAATATCAAATAGAGTTGCCGAGCTCCATCCTATTAACCTGCTATCGATAATCAGTGCTTCCTGTCCAATGATCCGGCTACATTGGCCAGTGCCATTTTTAAACGTCCATTTTGGCGAAAGTCGTCGAGAAAACCTGGGAAAAACTTTTTTATACCGCAAAAGGTAGGACAATTTTAATACAGAATATTTCTTTCCATCACCAAAATAAACATTAGAAAGCATAGGTAGCAAGATGCCCGGAGTAACAATCAAGGATGTAGACCAGCACGTTTTGGTCAAAGCTTTGGCATCTTTTCTCAAAATATCCGGAAAAGTTGTAATGCCTGAGCAGGCCGACTATATAAAGACAGCCACATTCAAGGAAACAGGGCCAACCGAGAGCGATTGGTTCTTTAAACGCTGTGCCTCCATTATGAGGCATCTATATTTGCGTAGTCCTTCCGGAGTGTCGGCCTTCACCAAAATCTACGGGGGGCGCAAGCGCAACGGAACGCGTCCCTCCAAGTATTGCCGCTCCTCAAATGGCTGTATTCGAAAGGTAAAGCCAAACGTTTTCAATTTAGAATAACATTTTTATGGACCGAAACCCCAAACAGGCTCTTCAAGCATTGGAAACTGCTCGCTTGGTGGAAAAGCATCCAGATGGTGGTCGCAAACTGAGTCCTTTGGGCCAACGTGACATAGACCGCGTTGCCAACCGGATTTCGGCTAAGCAGCAAGAGCCAAAAACTTTACATCCCATAATAATCACCACTTAATGAGCGACAAAATATAATTTCGTGTATTAAATACACGGAATACTTCGCTCGTTTAACCCAATACAATAACATGCAAAACATGGACAAATTCGGTGACACCTCACCTGAATCCTAATAAAAAGCTCAGCAAATAAAAAAAAAACAATTAGTCTACATGTTTGAAAGGACTTACACTTATTATTTTAATAAAAAATGCACGGAAATATTGAATATAAGACATCACTAATTGACACTTAATTCTTGGCACCTGCACAAACCTCCAGACTTGAATGTCCATATTAATTATGTATTAATTTTTGCTAGACCAAAAATCTGACGGCTTTTGATTGGTAGGAGCCCTGAAACCCTGCACTATGATTTCGGACTGCCACCATTCACTGGATTCCTCGACAGTCTCCACAGAATCGGTTGTCCGGCTTATTTCTTCTTCAGATTTATCCAGGTTCAGCAACCCAAGATCCTCATAAATGGCCAACTCCTTGCAGCAACGCAATTCAGTCGATGGATTTTCAGTGCTATGCAAGAGGTGCAGGTGTATATTCTTACAACTGCGGGGCAATTGACTCAAAAAGTCCTTTGGTATCAGATTTGCAGATTCCCCCTTGGAACCTTGATCAGTTTCTGTACGAGCTAAGAGTTCAATTTCAAGGTATACGTTGGTGGCATTCAGTTCGGTGGAGAAAAGGCTGTACAGCTCTTCGCAGGTGAGAAGGCGGAGCAATGCTTGGTTTACACGACCTTCTGGCAGAGCATGGTGCTCGCAAAAGTGATCCCTCGATATGGAATTATGTGGTATGTGCAGGGTATAAGCCTCCGAGGGTAAGAACGTATTGCTGCCAAACAGAAATCGCAGGCTCTTGACACATGATGTCCTGAATGCTTGTCGAATGAGCTGCAGATAAAGCAAGGTACAAATAAAAAAATAAGTTATTTATTGAAAGAAACACGCACCTCTCTCATGTCACTTATGGATTCTTTGGTGGCCTTTGCCTTTAATCGTTGAAGGTCAAGCTGATACTGGGCGTAAGACTTCTGATCTGTTGATTCCTCTGCATCGAACCACTTTTCAACATAGTATTTGTATGTCTTGTAAACGAAGGGAATTTGACGGCGTTGGTAGAGCAAAAAGTCCAGGATGCCGTTTACAAACTCCGCCGCTGTTCCGGTTGTCAGGACTTCAATATTTTCAAGTTTGATATCGATATTCTTGACATTTTGATCCATAACAAGGCTGCAATAAACCAAATTTAAACAATTTTGAGAATTCGCGGCAGAAACCAAACAATAAACAATCGCCAAGGGTTGCCAGACTGTTACAAAGTGACTGTTCACCCTTTTCAATTAACAGTGGTTTTTAAAATAAGCCATTTTCACTAAGCTAAAAGTTAAATTTAAAATAAAATCAGTATCGACACATTCCTGATATCTTTCAAATGCTTTCATTTTTTTAATAAATCTTTATTGCCTATCTACTAATCTTTTTCAAAAATGTTAAAAACATTTATTTTCTTATTTTTGAACTAGGTTGCCACATGACCTTTTTTTATAAGTACGGTACCCTAGTCGCAGCCAACTTCGCGTTGCTTATGACTAGTAGAAATTCTGTTTTGTTGCCGACAATAAAAGAGTCAAAAAGTTCAATAAGGTTTAGTAAACGAGCAGCACAAAAGCAAAATGGTAAAGTACACCTTCTTAAAAGCACCGACAAGGTAGTTTTTACAGCAAGCTATATCTCCGCAGGGACAAAACCAATCGGCCCAAGGGGGAGCTGGCGACAAAAAGGATGACAAAGACAAAAAGAAGAAGTACGAGCCGCCAATCCCGACGCGCGTTGGCAAGAAGAAGCGCCGTGCCAAGGGTCCCGATGCGGCCATGAAGCTGCCCCAGGTCACGCCCCACACGCGCTGCCGCCTTAAGCTGCTCAAGTTGGAGCGTATTAAGGACTACCTGATGATGGAGGACGAGTTTATTCGAAACCAGGAGCGCTTGAAGCCCCAGGACGAAAAGAACGAGGAGGAGCGCTCCAAGGTAGACGATCTGCGCGGCACACCCATGTCCGTGGGCAATTTGGAGGAGATCATCGACGACAACCACGCCATCGTTTCTACATCGGTGGGTTCCGAGCACTATGTAAGCATCCTGTCCTTCGTGGACAAGGACCAGTTGGAGCCCGGGTGCTCCGTCCTGCTCAACCACAAGGTCCACGCCGTTGTGGGTGTTCTTAGCGACGACACCGATCCCATGGTTACTGTTATGAAGCTGGAGAAAGCCCCTCAGGAAACGTACGCAGATATCGGTGGTTTGGACACTCAGATCCAGGAGATCAAGGAGTCCGTCGAGCTACCATTGACCCATCCCGAGTACTATGAGGAGATGGGCATCAAGCCGCCCAAGGGTGTCATCCTATACGGTCCACCTGGAACGGGCAAGACCCTGCTGGCCAAGGCGGTTGCCAACCAGACTTCGGCCACTTTCCTGCGCGTGGTGGGCTCTGAGCTCATTCAGAAATACTTGGGCGATGGCCCCAAGCTGGTGCGTGAGCTGTTCCGGGTGGCTGAGGAACACGCTCCATCGATTGTGTTCATCGATGAAATCGATGCCGTGGGAACCAAGCGTTACGATTCGAACTCTGGTGGCGAACGCGAGATCCAGCGTACCATGTTGGAGCTCCTTAACCAGCTAGACGGTTTCGATTCGCGCGGCGACGTCAAGGTGATCATGGCCACCAATCGCATTGAGACTCTGGATCCTGCGCTTATTCGCCCCGGTCGTATTGACCGTAAGATCGAGTTTCCTCTGCCGGATGAGAAGACCAAGCGACGCATCTTCACCATTCACACGTCACGCATGACGCTGGCCGAAGATGTTAACCTCAGCGAACTGATTATGGCCAAGGACGATCTCTCGGGCGCCGATATCAAAGCTATCTGCACAGAGGCAGGTTTAATGGCATTGCGCGAACGCCGCATGAAGGTGACCAACGAGGACTTCAAGAAGTCAAAGGAAAGCGTCCTGTACCGGAAGAAGGAGGGCACACCCGAGGGCCTTTATTTATAAGTCGCGTACAGATATATTTTCAGTTAATTTTGATAATTCCCAAACACAACCATTAAACCACATTAACACTAGAACTGCTGACCGGTGAGAATAAATTTGTAGTTGCTGGGAGTTGCTGTGAAAATGTATCCAGTAGGTTATCCACATAAGTCCTTTGTTTGTCCGCAATTAGGTTAAGAGGTGATCCCTGATTTTCGAGATATTTGAAGTGCGTTTTGTCTGTAGCATCTGCAAGTTTCAGTTTTTGGTAAGATTCGTTTTCTGAAAGAAACTTAATATTTTCTTCTCCGGCATTTTTCATAGTTTCATAAAAGGCGCTAACTTTTCCCAGTTCAAAGCCTGTTTTAAAGCCAACTTCGAATCCCTCGTCAAAACTTTCCTGAAACACCTTTTCTCTTCCATCAGCAATGCCATCTGCGTAGCTTATCTTAAAAAAAGAAAGAGAAGAAGAAGAGTATTTCGGAAAGTCATATATGTATAATGAATATTAGGAAGCAACAGCTGATTTTTCATAAAAGCTGACCACGCCGAATGAATTTTTAAACTCACCTTTGCTACTTTTTCTTGCACCCGTTGGTAATTTGTTGAACTGATCTCTTTAAAGTCGGTCTCCTCATCAGAACCTGCTGTTACCGACATTGTATTTGATATTAGTTAACATGCAAAATTTACCTAATAACAAAACTAAAGTTTATCAACAACAGGTGTGACCGGGTCTCACTTGCCAAATATTACCACTTTATACAAAAACTTCTCAAATTTTTCTAAAAATTCTTTAAGAATTTTCTACGTTTTTAAAACTTACTAAAAAGCAAAAAACACAAAAGAGCAAGAAGTCTTGGCGGAATCAAAATCCTGTAAAAATCTAACGACCTACCCATAATAGCTGCAAGAGTAGCGGATTGCTGTTTCCAAAAATATTTTACAGCACTGCCCCATTTTAAATTCAAAATTGTCAGTTATAGTACCCAAAGCTACTAAGGTCAAAAAAAATATTGCACAATGGTTGTGGGCGCCTTCCCACTGGGCAAACTCGCATTGTTAGCTATTAAGCACATTAGTAAGCCCATTGGTAATCTAATCAAGCGAACGGCTAAAAAGAATCCGAAATTTAAAGAGCTGGTTGTTTCGCCACCAGCAAGATGTAAGTAAACTGATTCAGGTATTAAGTGATAAAGCAGTTTTCCCTTCAGTGTATCATGTAATTGATGTGCGATCGAAGATGTGGATGCTCGGACTGGGGCAACCTCGTATTATTCCCCCTTTAAATGATACAATGACAATTCAAATGGGCGGCGATATTCTTGGGGAAATGGTAATTTTTATAATTGGAGCTGCATTAATAATAGGAGAATACAAAAGGTTTGTGCATAAACGTTTTGAATCGAGCTTAAATTTTTAACTTTATTTTCAGGCAGTCAAGAAATGATAAAATGAAGCACGAAAGACACAGAATGCATCGGGAGCAACTCGAAAATAGAATTGTTGACCTAACCAGTAAGATCGCCAGCCAAGCAAAAGAAATAAATCACCTGAAGACAATGGTCGGTTTTAAAAGAAATCATCATGGATATAGCGATGCAAGCGAACTTGAGTGTAACTGAACAGGCTTTGAAAACCAAGTCGGCTCTTATTTCGTGAAAAAATTTAAAGTTGCAGACCATGGTGATCGGAAGCTTCCCAGTGGGAAAAATATTCATGTTTGGCGTGAAACGGGCCAGCAAACCATTTGGTGATCTTTTAATGTGGGTGGGCAAGCACCATCCATTTATCCGGCAATACGTTATCCAGCCGCCAGCCCAGCTTTATAACAACTTTGAGGTCCGTGCAAAAATGCGGATCCTGCGATTGAAGCAGCCCAAGCGGATTCCACGTCTCTCACCTCCAATCGCCACCAGATTGGGCGCCGATATGCTGAGTGAGGCCATCGTGTTTGGCATTGGTCTGGGTCTCATTTACTACGAGGTTTCTAAGTATGAGTCTAGTAGTGAAATTCAAAAATCTCTGGCACCAACTCAATTATTTTCCATAGAACATATAAAAAGAATCAACAGAAAAATCAGCAGGTAGAGGAAGAGTTCAGAAAAATGGATGAAAGCGTGGATCGCATTAGCGCAGATATAGATCGGCACCAAAAGGACATCAAGTGGATTAAGGCAGCTCTTAATGACTTCGATACATAATGGCAGTTTTACTTTTTGAAGAATTTTTGTTTGTGGTAATTTCAAAAAAATTTTTTTAGTGTTCTTAGTTTTATAACCAAAATAAACTTAAACGTATTATTTTAAGTTTATATTTTTTGGGTATGATGGTTATTTACTCAAATATGTTGAAGCGTTAAATGGTAGATTTTGACGGTTATAAAGAATCTTTCGATTTGCCATCTCTAAAAGAGCGACTATCGTGCACCACACACGCCGCTATATTGTACACATCTCTAATTTTGCATGAATATTTTGTAATAGTTATTAGTAAAAACTAAACTAAAACAATGGTTATTGGCGTCTTCCCGGCGGCCAAGCTCGGCGTCTTGGCCATTAAGCAGATTAGCAAGCCGATTGCAAATGTGATAAAGTCGAACGCCAAGTCTAGTCCTTTTTTCAGGAAGTATATCTGCATGCCACCGGCGCAATGTGAGTAAATCCGATATGATTAGATCAGATTATGTCTGAAGTCCCACTCTTTCAGTCTACAATTGGGTGGAGGTCAAGACCAAGATGTGGGCGTTGAACATGGGAGGACGGGTGAATGTTCCTCCGTTGAACGAGGCGATGGCTATTGAGTTGGGTGCCAATCTGCTGGGCGAGTTCATAATTTTTTCGATCGGAGCCGGTCTGCTGATCTTCGAGTACTCACGGTTAGTTTTGGAATTTATTAAATAAACCAGAACATAAATAATTTTTTTTATTACAGTCAAACCATTAAGGAGAACAAGAAGAACGAAATGGCGCAAGCTGAGAAAATGGAGCTCACAAACACTCTGACGGAGATGAGTTTCCGCTTGGAGCGACAGGATGCTCAGATCCGCGAAATGACCCGAGTGCTGGCTGATCTAGGTTTCATTCCCTTTAAACCTTAACAATGAATGAGATGATAAGACGATAATACTTTCCAGATTCGCGTAACATCTTCCGCTGGCACAAGGAGCCTATTCAAGAGTACGTGCCCTTCGATCCCAACACGCCGGATCAGAGCGCCAATTCTAGGAACCCCAAAACTGTGGATAGCTTATATGATCCGCTTGGCGGAATGGCGTTCCGCGCCCTGCACTTCCTGGACACGCAAATCTTCATAGATGGTCGCGACCGGAAGGGCAAAGAGGCACTTAGGCATCTAGATGAGGTTGCCGAGCAACTAGAGCAATCTTTGGCTGAAGCAGCCACCGTCACTGTCGCCAGCCCACTGCCAACGAAAGCAGAGCTTTGACCCAATCGCCGGCTGGAGCAGGATGTGGCGCTGCTCATGATGGCAGTGGCTATGGAGGAACAGTGAGGCTGCCCGCTTGTACACATTCACCCTGCAGACCATTCATCAGTGCTAGTTATGATCAAATCGCGTGTTACCATTTCGTACTTTAAGTATAAAACGTCAATAGTTTTATATAACTATTGTACGTTTGTAGTTATATATTTATTAATTTTTATTGTTACCGCAGACAACAAACTAAGAAGATATGAAAAACAGTGTACAAGATGATTGTTTCTAGTGATGGATGGGCTCTATTCGTGGCAGACAAGGGCTTGCAGTTGGCGGAGCTCCTCTCCGGGCGGCAACAAATCGGCGAGATATTCACTGAAGGAGTTGCAGATCGCGTACAAACTGCGGCGAACAGCGCATCGCAGAACATTAAAGCTGGAACTGGATGCTTTAAGGTTGCCGGACACGCTGCTTAGCTTTTCTAGTTCGTTGCGGAGCTTGTTTATCGCCTTGATGATGGATGGTAGATCGTTCTGCACCACTCCGTATGGATCTTCTTTCAGAGAGGCTACGCAAATTTGCGACAGAGCCTGCGTTAAGTAAACCACGGGCAGGGAGTTGGCCAACAGGAACGTGGTTTTGGCGCCTTCGGGTTCCTTGAAAAAGTACACAATTCCGGGTACTCGCTGAACCAATCGCTGCAGGGCCTGTTCCAATTGCGTGGAGACGCGTTCACACCAATTGGGCACATGGCGAATTCCGTCCGCTGGTCGATCCACTGCATCTTCTCGCCTTGGCGACACAATAGGTCGAATGCCGTGCATTTGGTTGTACTGTCGCAGCAGCATTTTCTCTGCCATCAAGCTGGTGGAGATAGTTTCGCTAATCTTCGGCATTGGTAAGCTCTGAGCACCCTTGAGCACACTGATCTTCTGCATGGACTCGGTTAGTTCTTCGGTGAAACTGCCCAGAATACTCAAGCACTGATCGCAGAGGGAACGCCAGTTTGCTGGCCGATTGCCCGGCTCCGTAAGCTGAAATATCTCCGCCCGCTGTGGAGAATCCTTTCGCAACGCCAACTTGTAGAAATAATGAGCAGCCAGGCACTGAACAACAAAGACGTTGAAGACCCCGAGTCCCGCGACCATGGTCACTTCCTGTTCATGAGCAAAGGCCGCTCGCTGCTTGGTTATCACCAGAGGCAGATCCTCGGAAAGAAGCATGCCGTAGAAGCATCGCATCAGGTGCATATTACTTAGTATCTGGGCAGTTAGCAAATATCCGTAAAAGAGCAGACGGACATTGGTGGCAACACCCAAGAACCCTTCCAGTCGCTCGTCGAAATCCACAGAGAGTATGTGGCTAAGTTTGTGACACAAAAGAGGTCCAAAGAGCCAGAAGGCAGCAGTGTAGAAGATGGTGGGAAGCAGGGATCTGACCAGAGATCGAGCCAAACTGGCGTAAAGTAGTTCACGCAACTTTTCTCTCCGGGATTGCTCTACAATGGGAAATTCAATCGAGACCTCCTGGCGCATGTGGACGGAGACAAAGTAGTAGCAGCCAGCTGCAACGCCCATGCCCAGCAAGTAGACATGATAGGCACTAATGCAATTCTGGCCATAGCACTTGTAACGCAGATACCTGTGGGTAAGCAGATAATTTATAGCCAAACGGTGTTCAAAACTAGTCATATTTTAGGGCCTCTTACTGATAGTCCGTGTGCAGATAGCCTGTGTAGAGCCAGGCGGTGAGAAATCCGACAAGGAGGTGGGCGCCCAGGAAAAGCAGCTTGCGCGGACCGTAGTGCAGGAGCCATCGGTATCGGGTGGGGCAGTAGGGACGCTCTGAAAGGTGCTGCTGGCACAGGGACACGCCGTAAAGTACCACGGACGCGACCAGCGGAATGCTGGCGAACCAGGTGTACAAGCTGGCCACCAGACGCAGTGTTCCCGTCACCCAGGAGAGCGGATGCAGCAACTGGAAGTTCACCGAGAGCAGGAAGACAGTCAGCAGCAGGAATTGTATGGCCACGCTGAGAAGCACTGCGCGAAGACAACGGCCGAGCAGCAGAAGTTTACAGGCGTTGCTAGAGGAACTGGCGGACATGTTTGCTATCAGTGATGACGATCGGTCTTTGCTAACGCTTTGTTGAGCTTTATAAGCGTTTTTATTCAAATTTCGCGAACTATTGCAACATTTGCCAATAGCCGGCAACGCGCGCGATTTGTTGCACTTGCTGAGTGTGGCTGTCTCCCAAAACTAGAGATGGAAGTTATTCGATACCGTAAAAGATTTGAAAAAAACTATTTAGTGAGTAACCCTCATGCCCTTTTGAACTGAAAACGTTATTATTTAAAATCTATTTGTAAGATGCACATCAGTATATTTTAATTAAAGTACACGTTTTGATAACTATATGGGAATTCGACGTTTTTAATCACTTAAATCTCTTTTTCCTTAGGTTTCATATAGCATTGAAAGTAGAAATTGGCAAACATTATGAACATGATTGCCGTGGAAAAACTGACCAGAAAGAGTATGCCCTGGGAGGCCTTACAATCCCGCTGCATGGCGGTAAAGGCGCAATGGCCAAACATCAGGACAAACTGCGCCATTTGCATAATTGTCAAGTACCGCTTCCATTTTACGGTTTTTCCCTCAATCGCAGAATAGTAGTAGCCATACATAAACACGTGCACGACGACGTTGAAGGAGCACAGGAAGAAAAGGTGACCTCCGTAGCCCTGGAACCGGATTATCAGGTATCCTGCAGAGGGCATCAACACGTGGTGAAATACATGGAGGAACGTTATTTGCATGAACTTCTTGCGCAGCACACAGAAAACCGTGTCCAGCAGATCGACGATCTTGTTTATGTAGTAAGCGTAGCTGATGCAGCGCTCCCAGTTCTTCAACGGATGATCCTGCGGCAAGACAGTCATGCATCGAAAGTCGTATGGCCGGAACACGAACAAGAAGTATACGCCCTAAATAAAAATGTCTTTGAATTGTTGTTTTACGCGAATAAGAACTTACGGGCAAAAGCATCATGATATTATAGCAAATTTGAAATATGTTGTAGCATTTAAGCGCACCACGCAAGTTGTATGGTTCGCGGTATTCCATAAATTTTCGGCCGGCCTTAAAAACAACTAACAGATAGCCGGCAATGATTATGACGATGGGACCCGGTCCACTGGCCAACGGCAGTTGTTTAGAATCGGCATAGGGCGTTCCAAATATTTCAAACATTTTAAATGCCAGTGGATTTTTGCATACTCTATTGACAGCCAAACAAATGAAAATGATTGATGTCGGGGCTTACAGCAAGCCAGTGTTGCCTTCTTGCTGTTTATGTTAAAAATTTGGTTTGTGTCTATGCTTATATGAATTAGGGACACTCCTGAGCTTATAGTGTAATAAACCGATATTTGAACATCGATAAAATCAAATAAACATCGCTTTCCCTTTGGCATTTTGCAACGTCCCTCCTTTGGTCACATCACAATTTGTTGTTGTCGCGGTCGGAAAAGTGCACGGAGTTACGCTGAGCGCCCGTCGATTTTCCGTTAAATACAGCATAAAAATTCCAAAACAAATGCGCGCAATCGCCTCCGCCGAAACTACAGCGTAATTGGGTGTGTAAAAGGGCCAATTGGCCACTATAAAAGTGAATTAAAGTCCGAATTCGGACAGTAAAAATTTTTCGTGTGCGCGTTTTGTCAATGAGAGTAAGAGAGCGAGTGGGCCATAGAGAGAAATCGAGCAAGCAAGTGAGAGAGGGCCATAATATTGCGTGAATCGAAGCGAGCGACACAAAATTGTTGTAATTAATTCATATTTAATTGGCATTTGGCGTAATCCGAGTCTGTGCATAATAAAGCCCAAAACGAAGTGCAGTTGTCAATAGAAAAGTGTGTGTGTTGTGTTTGTAGGGTAATGCGTATTGAGGTCACTTTGTACATATTATAGCAGCAGTAAACCGCAGCATAGGCACGCGTATTTCTCGAGTGCTTGGAGTGCTGTGCGATTGCCCAATACCCATACCATTGCACCAAGATAGCCACCAATATTCGTTTTCATCCCACTGCCCAAGGCAAACAGCTGCTCTCCGCTCCGCTAGTGTTGTTTTTGTTGCTTGCGTTGTTTGTGCGCTGATCGACGGAGCAGAACCGCAGGGCAGGTGGTGTATGGTGTCCACACAAACAAACAAACAAGCACGCATTAATTATACTACTTAAAAAACGGTCTGCAAATTGCGCTAAAGTAAAAACAAGGGACAAACTGAGAGAGAGATAAGCATAAAGAGAGAGTGGGTAAACTGTGGTGTGGGTGATGCCCTCCTCTTTCCCCTTCCACACCCACAACCTCCCCCTCTTGCTCTCCGCTTTGGTGTCTTCATGCTCCATTCACCTACTTTTACGCGCTCTGCGCTCTCTGCTCTCCACTCGCCACTGCTGACGTTCGTTTTCTGAATTCCAAATGAAGTCATGAGCAGATTGTGCACCGAAACAAAAAGCTATAAACAAAGTTTTTACAATCAGCTAGCCATTGCTACTAAGGACAGAATAGGGTTAAATATATTTGTTAAACCTTATACCTATGTTTGTATACTCTTTACTTCTTTGAGTTAAGATTGTCATACTTTTTAAAAGTCAATTGTTAATAGGAATAATGCTTGAGGATTTTACGTTAATTTTTTTAATCTTTTGGTTCGTCGTTTTCAAGGCCACGTTTTTGTGTCGGGAATTAAATTAGTAGCTAATTTTCCATTGTGTAAAAAGAAACAACACAACACGCAGCTAAATACGAAAGTCGTTGTCGCACTATTACAGCAAAAAGAAGCAGAGTGGCATACAAAATAATAATTCAGAAAAAAAGTGAAATTAAGTGTTTTAAAAAAAGAAACCATAAAAACATGAACATGACATGGCCGCGTCTCGTTTACACAATAACTCAAAATTAATTTAATATGCTGGCAAATGAGCAAAGCGAAAAGCACGCTAAAAGGTAAGCGGATAGCAGAATAAGGGGGCAAAACAGAAAAACAAGGCATAAATAACGAAAGGTGCGGCCTACGATTTGTCGTTTATACGATCGTCCAGTTAGCAGTGTCTATTTAAGTGCGAGTACGGGTTTACGGCCTTGTATTCGAGCTGGATGTGCGTGAGATGGCGAATAAACCAGATTTAGACCACTTCCATGTTCATTACACGCGCAGCGCATAAACGCTGATTGGGCTTTCAATTCTGCCTTTTTTTTGTAAGTGGTCAACTAGCAGGGTAAAACAAAGGCCGCAACGCAATGCCACTCGATTTAATCCCAGGTCTGAGTCAGCCGAAAAACCCACAGACAAAGCCCTCTGATTGTGTCATGCCCAGAAGATCCACAAATAAGGGCCAATAAGGGTTCAAATAGATTTCAAGTTTCAGAGATTGATTTGACTGAATCGATAATATTCAAGCTTTTTTAATAAATTTATTTTTCGAATAATAAAATAGGTTTGTTTCATTCTAGTCTTATCATGTTAAATTCAAAAATAAATACTAGATCATGAATATTAATTTCAATGTTATTCTTGGATGTGTGATTAATAAGGAATTCCGTTGAAATCTTTGCAGGCCCTGAATCGCTGAGGAGCTCTTAAAAGGCTGCTGTTATCGCCATGGCCGCCGCTTCTGCTGGCCAACAACAGCAGCAACATCAGCACCAGCACAAGTTGAACATTGCTGGGAGTGCTGAGACAGTGGCCAGCGAGATGCATCAACAGCAGCAGCAACATCAGCAGTTTTTCCAGCAGCAACAGACAAAGTTTGTATCGCGGGTCGTTACAAGTGCATCGATGCAACAGCAGCAGCAGCAGCAACATCAACTCCAGCAGCAACATACGCAACAGATATTACCAGCTGGCTTGGTAAATGGCAACAACAACAACAGCAACGGCGGCAACATGATGCAGGCAGCCAATCTGCATTTGCAGCAGCAACAACAACAACAGCAACAGCAGCAGCAGCAACAACGCGCAAGTCAGCAGCACATATTTGTGTGCCCCACAAGCAACCAGCAACTCCTGTTGCAACATCAACAGCGCCAGGAGCAAATGAAGTTGCCAATAAAGTCAACGGGAGCAATTGTTGCTGGTGCCGGGGCAACGCATTGCATGCCTTCGACAATTGCATCGCGTCAAATGAGTCAGAACAATCAGCTCTATGCCAAGAATGTTGCCAAAGCCAACAATGCCAGTAGCAATAGCAGTAGTAGTAATAGTAGCAACAGGAAAACAACCAGCTACAATGGAAATTTGGCCCCTGGCTGGCGTCGCTTAACCAACAACAATGAGGTGGCCTACATCAGGTGAGTTACATACCAAATACCAACGGGGGAACATCGGGGTTATGGTTACAGGATACCTCCTGGTTGAGCCCTCTCCGCGGCGAAAGCGCTTGTTGTCCGCTGCTCGGACATGACATTTACAGCACTTTGGGGCTAAAAGTCAATCTGGTTATTGTCTGCTGAACGCAAACGCATTCGAGAAGCCATAAAAATGTACAGCGATCCCCTTCGCAGTACAGGAAATGCCGCTGTCCGAGGAATCAGTGGCGGTGGTGGCAGCGGAGGGCAGTTGTTGTTTAGTGGGCGTCTGGGGGGTTGCCAGTAGTCGTGTCAGAAATGTTTTTGCAACCAGGCACCACCAGCAACAACAACAACAACAGCAATAGCAACAACTACAGCAACAACAAGCCCAACTAACAACCATCAACGAGTCGGGGGTAAATATTTACCTGGCATTATCTGCGAGTTATCATCAAGCACACATAATTACAAACTCAAATAAAATGTTTACTCAGATATGTTGAAAAGCATCGAGTATGTGGATATATCTGCCTGGCCCGAGGTACTTGTAATTGTTCTGGCTGTCCGATCGCCTCAGGGCCAAAAAAGGGGGACTCAGTCTTGGTCTCAGTGTTTCTTGATTTCTTTCGTGTATTTTTTTTTTTTTTTTTGGGCTTTGGGCAAACAGTTTGCGAGTTTGTGGCTGTTGTTGCCGATGTTGGGTAATTGTTGATTTTATAAGTGGCTGGCACTTCTGAGTGCTTGACTCGTCTCGTTGGGAATAGTTTACCTCCTCGCAGCTGTTGCCCCGGGCTCATTTGCACAAAAAAGGGTTGGCTGAGTTGGTGCTGCGGCACTGGGATAACTGCTTTTCGAGCCACTTGTGCAGATTATGGCTACGAAATACCTCCTTCGATTGGCACATTGAAAGCTTCCAGGGGGGCAAAGCTGTTGGTTTTTGAGATTTTCAAGCCAAGATCCTCATTATGACAGCAATCGTTATTATTGATTACTGGGCATTGGGCCTTAGAACTCGACTCACGTCGCCGAGTTAAGTTGCTGCAGCTTATCCGACGCAGTCCATTTACCGGCAATGTCACATTTCACTCAGCCAGTCACTCTACGGGCCATTACCCTTCCAGGACACACACTTTGAGGACACCGCTGGCTGTCCATGTCCACATCCACGTCGACGTCCTTCGCTTCACGACCCGCTGGTTAGATCCCCGTGCCCACTGGTATTTACTTGTGCCCTGGCGACGACATGACATCGTGTGTCAAGCGTTGTCATTGTCCACCAAAAGCAGGAAAAGCAGCAAATAGCAACAGCAATAGCAACAGCAACAGCAGCAGCTGCTGCTCATTTCCACGTTGCGTGTTGCTGCCGGGTTTTGTCGGGTTGCCGGTTGCTATTTGCTGTTTGCCCAAGCGGATGGTCGGTCGCCATGGCCCCTTGCAATTTTTCGAGTTGAGCATTCTTTTTCGTGTCTCGGCGAGCAAGATAACCCGTCGCTTTATGCCAGCGATGTTGTCAGAATTTGGGTGACAAAAATTGCAGAAATTCGCATAAGAAATATTTGTTAGAAGGGGGTCAACCAAAAGGGGTCAACCCTTCCGCAAACAAGGGTAGCTTAAAATAACAAACCTTTGATATTTATTCAAAAACTACGCCATTATGGAAATTAATTGAACCATGTCAGTTTTTAATGCATGCGTGTTTGGACATAATTATCAAAGGTTTATAATGATCTGTTAAGTTCAGATAATTTAAAAAATGTCATCGAAAAATACAAATTACCTTTAGTTACCTAATACATACGTTACAATAAAGGTTTTTTTCGCATGTATGAATGAATATCTGTTATCTTTTTAGTGGTGTTTAAGTGGGGGAGTATTCCAAGCTAATAAACTCTTCCAAGCACTTAATGACAATTTGCCAATCCCCCTTTTTTCAACCAGCCAAATCGACAGCTCTGGCAACATGAATACCGCTTTTTGTTTAGCTTCCGTCCTTGCCGCGTGTAGTTCGCTGGTTGGCTTCGTTTCGGCTATTTCTCGGAAAGAATGTTGCACAAATTGTGTACTAAATCAATAATTGTTGCGCAAGCATTTAAATCTTGCTGTTGCCCTGTTATTGCTGTTGTTGTTTGCTCAAGTGCTAAATGCTTTGGCGCAACGTGACATCAGAGCAGAGGGCGAAAAATAAAGACTGTGACCAGGTCAAAGTCGGCGAAGTGAGGGCAGAACGCCCACTGTGCGACAACGGGCGCATAAATCATAAATCCAAAACGGCAGCTGGAGATCGCCGATCGAATCGAGTGGTGAGGAGAGTGTAGTATAGAGTGTAGGAAACGAAAACGGGTCGCCGTCCAAGCGCCCCGCCAGCTTGTAAAGAATGCGGAATAGTTTCGCCAGCGTTTCGAGCAGTTTTCAATTTTCCTAACGTGTGTGCACCCTGCCACGAGGCCTGTTTTTCGTTTAGTTTCGTTTCGTTTCGTTTTTTTCCAGCCTTTTTCCTTCTACCTCGGGATGAACCTTTCAGCGGACGCGTAGGTTGCATCAGCAGTTGGTCCCACCTCTATTTGTCTAGGCCACCTTCGCTGCGCTGCGCTTCGCTCCATTGTCAGTCAGGCAGTCAGCCAGTCATTCAGCCAGAGTGGCAGACAGATAAAAACGACAAACGGACGGACAGACGAACGGACAAATGGATGGATGGACGGACAGGCCTTTGAAATGTGTTTATTTTACTCACATTTAGGCATTTGTTGCGAATCCGCCAGCTTAGCTCTGACTCTCCGATTCCCTGACTTGTTGACTTTGGTCAACGCCCACCTTGCGAATTTGTCGTTGCCGATATCGTGGGAAAACCTCGCCAAGTTTCGCCCCAAAAGCCTCGTTTGCGTCACGGGAGTTTGCGTTAATGGGAGTCCAAGTTGTGAATTAAAGTGAATTTTAAAATTTGAGGAGGACCAGGAAATCGTGCATGACTAATGACATAACGCAGGTCCATACTTAAGAATATTTAAAAAGTAATTAAATTGTACTTGGTCATGTTTATATCTCTGAAATAAAAAGTAAATAGTCATAACCTAATTTTGAAGACTTGATTATCTTAAATTCCCCCAAAGTCTAATGGTGATGTTTATGGTATTAATCCAATATTCTTAATAATTTCCATAACATCATCTAAATTTGCCTCAAGCATAAATCCAATCACATCATTAATCTGCTATTTGAGAGATCTTAATCTTTTTTAGAAATTCAATAGGCCACAATGATTTATTAATTAAATATTTGACAAGCAGTGTGTAATCGTATAACAAAGGAATATCACATCTTAAATTAGCAAACGACTGAGCAGAGTATAAAAAGCAAAAAAGAAAATGTTTTTAATATTAAAATTAATTTTTATCGTAGGATGCACACATAAAAATAACAAAAGGAAAACAAAAGGAACAATTCCCCTAAAACGTAAACCCATTTTTGTTTCATATTTTTTCTGCGTGGGCATGATTCATTTTGCGATTGGCCGCCTGCTCCTCGCTTTCCTTTCGCGTTGTCAAGGACATGACGGCACAAGGACAACGGCTTAGTCCCGGCCAGAAGGATAACCGACCGGACTGGCTGCCCAACTGCCTGCCTTCCTATCTGTCTGTCCGTGACTGTTGACTGTTTACTGGTGGAGGAGACTCCTCCTCGGGCGGTGGCCTCTGTCTGTCTGGCTTTGTGCGATAATTTTTTACAGTTTCATGCGCCACGACGCCGAGGCGCTGGCTTTGGCCCACTGCTGTTGCCACTGCCTTTGGGCCAAGTTGCTGTTGCTGTTGCTGTCGGTTTTGTTTGGGATTATTAATTTAGTAATAGGCTCAGTCTCTCCGCTGGAGGCCCCACGACCAAAACCCAATCGCAAATCCGAGTCTCAGCTGTCTGCACTCTCAACTCTTTTTCTTTTTATCCGCTCGAGGGTGCACTCAAGGTCACAGGGGCGTAAAACTTTTCCACCTTTTCACACACACACACACACCAGTCAGCAGTCAGAGTGGGTGGGGTAGGGTGTTGGAGTGTGGGGTTGAGGGCTTTAGGGTTTTAGCAAGACGATGCCTGTTGGCTTTGATGGTGATGGGAGATGGCTGATGGCTGATGGGCTGATGGGCGATGGCCACTCGACATCAACTCTTTGGCACTCGGCGTTTTGTGTGTAATTTATTAAATTATTTTAACTCGTTAGACCAACGCCTTTCATGTGGCCACAGAGCGGGAAACAGGGTGGCTGGGCAGGCAGTTCCTGCAGGCAGCACAGCCACTCACGTTATTAGCGCAGTTTGTGCAAATACCACAAAAAAAGAGTACAAGGTAAAGAAAAATTTAATGAGTTGCCGACTTCTTCGGTTGCTGCAGAGAGAATATAAAAAAGAGGATTTTTAGGTAAAGGATTGGATTTCATTTAAAGCTATTGCATTGGAAAAAAAATAAAATATTCCCACACAAATTTTTGCTGTTTTATAAAAAGTTCACCATAAATACTTCCTTAATAAAAAATAACTTTAAACAATACAAACTTCTATTAAGTTTGTTATTAAATTTTATTGGACCTATTTGTTCAGGAGTTCCACTATATTGTAAACCATTAAGCCAAATTGTTTGTTCCTTAAAGCAAAGCGCTGCGTCCACAAAATGAACGGCTTGAACTGGTCGGAAATGATTGCAATTACCTGTACCTAGGTCTTTTTAAATGGCTTTCGAAGCGCATTAACTTTTTGCTCTGTGCATGATTCCTGCTGCGTGTTTGCCAGCTCCTCGACTGCGGTGGCAAGTGATGGGCTCTTAAGCCTCTCGAAACGCCAGCTGCATACAAATTGAGCCATAAGCTTTTGGCGTTGATGATTCTCCGTCCTGTTCAATCGTTTCTCCCTCTCCCTCTTCCCCGCTCGCTCTCTCTCTCTCTTTCCATCAGTCGGTCTTTGTCTCTCTCTCGGAGTCCTTCGTGTTGTCTGGCAATCGACTTGCCATCGATTTTTCCAATCTCGAACGTGGCTCAGTCGCTCATAAAGCTCTCGGCCTCTTAAGTAGTTAAAAATAATTAATAAAACAAACCGAAACCAGTTTCCCTTTTTTCCCCCATTGACGATGGGATTGGGAGGCAGTTGGTCCTTGGCTGGTTAAGTTGGGATGAAATGAGTTGATGCGGAGCCATCTCCTGTTTGGCCAGTTAAAAGGGCCACTCAATTGACAATTCGCATACTCGTTTAACCCGTAACACGATTCTCGTTGCTGTTTCTGTGTTGCTGTTGCTGTTGTCCCTGTGTTGCTGCTGTTGATGTTGCTGTTGCTGTTGAATGTTGCTGTCGCTCAATTATATTGTTGTCTCTGCTGTTCTGTTCCCTCATCTACCAGCTCACAGTTCACAGCTCCTGTTGCTGTCGTCGTCGTCGTTTCATTTAATGCCCTTGCCGCTTTCACACTTCATGCATTATTCAGATTTCCCATACGGCCTGGAAACATCAACACGCAAAGAAAAGTTATGGAATTCTGATGGCTTTGGTCGTAAACAAAGATTAGGGATCGGAAGTGCCTCCTTTTGCTGGTTAATTACTTTTGCACAATGAAAACAAAACCATTTCATTTTTGCGAATAACTGACTTGAAGGCCGTATTTAAGGAGATCCTCTAGTTATGTTTTGTATGATTTTTTATGCAATTTGATTTGACTAGCAGGCTTCTTAAAAGTTTAGAAGAGCTCAGAAGTAATGGAACTGAGAAATATCTCATTTTTTATAGTTATCACTATTAAATAAAATCTTTATTCGCAGCTGTTGCTTTATTAGTTATTTGTGGTATGTACCAGTTCCAAATATATATGATAAGTATATGTGATATTTTTTCTGTGTGTGGACTTGGACAGAAGTCCAGGGTCAGAGGAAGTGAGGAGCTGCGACGAACTTTAGCCCTGGCATCAGTCTCTCGAGTGCGAGTGCGAGTGCAAGGGCTTCAGATTCGGATTCGACTTCAGTTTCAGATCCCAGCTACCGCTTTCCTTGGACGGCGTCATCATCAGCGCCCTTGATTCCTTCAACGTGCTCACACTTTACAATTAATAAGCAGCTCCGATTTTTTCCCCCTCTTGGCTTTTTGTGTTCTTTATTTTGCGTACGAGAAGGTTTTTTTATTATATACTCGTATTTATATCGAAGTAACCCCAGCTCATGGGACAACACAACACATTTATGTCGGCAGATTTGCGGTCATGCGTGGCCTGATTTTAGGGAAGGGCGGCGGTGTGCGAGTTTTTAAAGGGTTAACTTGAGTTGGAAAGGGAAAACCGCCGCCAGTTTTATTCTGCAAGGGGCTTGGCATTATTAAAACTGGATTCTCTCGGTTTTTTCATGTTTTTTATATATTTTTTTGTTCCTTTTTTAGGCATTAAGTGACCGAAATTTAAATCAATTTTTTGCCTTTTCATAATTTTATTTTATGGCACATAGGCGCGTTTTTTGGTTCGCTAAATATGTGCATATGTATGAGATTGCCTTTGTTCTCGCAGATGTTGAGTTTCCCCAAGAATCGCCTTTGTCGCGTATCTGTTGCGCATTTCCTCGAGACATATCACCCTGGAATTCCAGTCGCAGAATCAGAATTCCTCGAGGAATGCCACTGTATCATTACGCAATTTCCGAAAAGGGTCGCAAATAACTATATAACGCAAAAGGCAAAGGGGAAACCAGTTTGAATTATGCGCAGATCGACGCGTACTTATTCGCGGTACGATCAGTTCTGATTGTGATTAATTTATATGCGAGTCGTTTTACATTGTCATGTTAATGCCCATTATGCTAATGAGTTGTTAATCAAGCCCTCGCTTCGCCCATTATCCATTGGCCTCCGTAGTCACTTAACTGCGGCTAATTGCCCCTTTGGATATGCGGATAGTGGTCTATAGTGGATGGCTAGTGGGTGGCTGAATGCTCGGAATACTCGCCTTGGTTAATTGCATAATCTACATAAAACAAATTGTGCGTTTAGCTGTTGAGCGACGGCATGATTGCCCCTACTTAATTAATCTCTGCCAGCCACTAATGCATTTATCTTTTCACACCCCCTTTTCCAGCCCCTCGGGAAAAACGCTGCGCACGCAGTTCCAGATCAAGGACTATCTGCTCTCACAGGGTACCTGCAAGTGCGGCCTGCCGTGTCCGCTGCGCCCCGAATACCTATTCGACTTCAATGCCCAGGTGAGTCTGGTTAAATAACATAAACTCTGCGATAATTGTGATAAGTAATGAGTCAACATAACAACCTCCGAAGCTAATCGCTTCTGGCATAACAAACAAAGCATCATCATTAAACACTCTGGCGCAAATCAGCAGCAAATTATATATGTTTGTTATTAGACTTCGATTTCGAAGATTTAAAACAGAAGATTTACAAACTGACAGACAAAATATAGGTTTCAAGAAAAAACCTAATTATGACGTCTCCAAATTATATATATATTATATTTATTCAAGCGAAAGGGTTTTTCATCATTTGATTAACTTTTAATTATTCCAGATTCAAGTGTTTTGCTTACCAGATAAGCCTTTAGAAATTTGATAGACCCATGGCTAAGTGATTTTAATACCCCTGTTAAGATATCAAATTCCATTCGATGTTCTAAGCCCACAGTTTTTGGTTCGTGTCACGCCGACATCGCCGGAAAGCGAAGCCTGGACTTGTTTGTCTCATAATTGGCTGTAAATACCGAGCCATGAATGAGCCGATTTAGCGAAAAGGGGGAAGCCAACGCCAAAGCTATGGCTGTAGCTATATCTATACCTATACTAAATCTAATTGAATGTGCTGCAAGCTAACTAGCCGACGAAAGCGGGGAAAGGGGGAAAATTGTGGATCGACGAGGACTGTCGACTTTCACTGAGCTTTACTCGACTGCAATGTAACTGCTGCTGTTGTTGTTGTTGATTTTGCTGCTGCTTCGCCCCCTTCTATAACCTCCCCATATCGCTGGGGCTTCCAGATTAACGCAAAATATTTGTAAAACCAGTTTGACAACAAATCGACTGTGACGACGACGACGTCGACTGCATAATCACGGAGCCAACTGAGAGCCATTCGAGCCGATTCCATTCGATTCGATTCGATTCAAAGCGAATCCCCATGACCATCTGCCGCTTTTGCTCTGGAGCAGCTCCAATTTGTATATATCTACCATCTATATGTTTTATTCGGGGGCTGCACAGAGTGCGAGTGCGAGTGCGGTGCAGTGAAAATCGCAGTGAAATCGCCTGCAATGAGATTAATTTTCAACAACGAAAAACTGTTAACGGTAAATCACGCCCAGACCTCGACTTCTGTTGCCTCTTTTTCCCCCCCCTTCCCCTTCTTTCCCCTCTTGTCTTGTCTTCACTGTCTTGGTTTTGGTCTTTGGTCTTCGGTCTTGGTCTCGGTCTCCTTATTATTATTATTTTTTGGTCCGCTCCCCGGCATTGTTGTTCTTGCAGGTCTTATTGGCTTCTGTCTCGCCTTTCAGCATTTGTCCGTTGTCTCCGACTCGGAGTTCGACCCTGATTCATTCCCTGCTCCCTGCTCCTCCCCCTTCTTGAGGTCATTAATTTGAGTTTATGGTTTCCCTTCGGTTTTTTGCGTGACGTTGATGCCGTCAAGCGCCAACGCCAACGCCCGACCAACGTACCGAGCTGGAACCCCTGCCCCTCCCCTTTCCCCCGTTTTGGGTCATCATTCCACCCGCGCACATTCAATGTCCTTTTAATATGCCCCGACAAACTTTGAGCGGTGCACGGAGGGAAAAAGGTGATCTGGTTTCAAAGGGGGATTTATTTAGATGTATTTTTACACAACAATTAAAAATACAAAAAGAAAAGCTCATGATAAGTAGTGTTTATTGCTCATAAAGTTATTTATTTATATCTCTTTTTTTTATGAGGTAAAAACTAGTTGCTTTTTAGTTCATCACTGCAAATAATCTATATATGTAAAAAGCTTTGCATTTTCTAGGTTTGCATATTAAAATTACGTTATTTTCGTTCTTGCCTAGTTTAAGTGACCCATAAATTGTTGAAGTGCCAATTTCAGGTCTTTTCTGTTTGTTCTATTTTTGATTTCTGCTGAACCATAGCCAAGAATGCGCAAGGTTCTGTGAAATTGACAGACATGTTAGCTAATTAAATTATTATTTAATTTATTCTATACCAGCACGTTTATAAACTGTCATGCTAATATTTTCTGTTCATTATTTATGTTTGATTTATTTGATTAGCTACTTTTTCCCCCCAGTTAGTCGGCAATTTAATTGCTAAAATTCATTTTCAGTGCACACACACGCATTTTAAGTTGAACGTCTGAACCCGCCAGCGTTGATTGTCGTCTTTTGTTGCTGCTGCTGCTGCTGATGCTCCAGCTGCTCCGTCAATCGATATTTCGGTGCAATGCACTTATAACTTAGCTCATCCCTCCTCCTGCTTCTGTTCCTGCTCCTGCTCCTGCTCCTGCTCCGCCCTCTTTGGCACGCCCACTTGGCTGTGCATCGTTTAACTCCCACCACGAGGAGCTCCTCTCCACAATCCGCACTCCGCACAGCTTCCATTCCAGAGTGCTAAGCTGAGCTGCGTATTATCAAAAGGCAACCGCAATTTGTTTACTAAACACTTCATTGTGCCACCGATATTCCCCTGCCTCTTTTCCTCTTTCACCTCGCAGTCTTTCTCTTGGCCATTCCCCACATTCCCTGACCACAAATCGTTGACTATGCGTGTGTGTGTGTGCTCTCTGTTTGGCCATTACTTTTTGGCATGTGGGGATATGGTATCGGCGGGGATTATTTTGTGGCAACTGTTTTGGATTTCTTTATTTGTGTGCGGCGTCTTGTCTGCGACGCGCTTGGCACATTCAACTCGACCATCGCGTTTCGTTTCGGCCATGATTGATGGGCCAGCATGATGAAGTCTACGTTCGCTGATTTGTTTTGATTACGGCCATTTTATGCTGTCGCCTTAACTGATTTTTCTTTCTTTTTGGCCCGCGATCATCGAGCTTCGAGGTGTGGTAGGTTAGGGATTTCTTTCGGTTTCTTGTTTGTCTTTCTCTGACTTGGCCTCTTCCCCCTTTTTTTCAAGCCAACGCCGGGTTTCGGTGAAAGTCTTGGCCAGAGCTAGACAAAGCGGCTGTCAGTCAATGGAGTTGGATTGAACATGGCCATCGTATCGCCTGACAGCCGCAACTTGTCATGCGCTCGAGGTTGGGCCTGCAAATTATGATGTCGTCTTGGTATATTCGTGAAATAGTAGTAACCAAAGTGCGGGGAAAACGTGAAGAGGGGAGAGGGAGGGGAACAGCCGACAAACTTTGAGTGTTTTAGTGGCTGCGATTGGAAAGTTGGAGCTGGAAAATAATGCTAAGTGGAGCAGAGAAGCTGACGGACGGACGGACTGACGGCAGACAATTGCAGTTGCAGACATAACTAGTTTTGAGTACAGCTAGAAGAGATTGCCCAAGACTTTGAGACACTCGCAAAAAATAAGGCTAAAATATTATTTAACAATAAAAAACTGATAGAAAGCGAACAATTCTTAGCAGCAAAGAAAGTTTTAAGAAATAAATATAGTTATACAAATTGTAAATGAATGACATGTCATGTATTATCAGAAATACATGTTGGTTTTTCAGATTCAAAAGCTCTCAATACAATTTTAAATAACAAAAGAGACCTTTCAGTGCATTTTCACGTCTGAATGGCAGGCTAAATTCCAGAAACCCGATACCCTCGAATGGTCAGGGAAAGAAGAAAAGAAATGCTTTCGAGGGAAACAAATGCAATCGGATTAGGCCTGACTGCCGTACTGATTGATGTATAATTTATGTACATAATGGGCACGCAGACAACACGGCGTATACGTTATATGGATTGCGTATACGCCGTGTGGTTAATTAGACATACGCACCGTTCGAAATACATGGTAATTACATCGCATTTGGCATTTGGCTGCGGCTCTTTAATTATCCCATATCCCATATATAAAGGCATGCACATATTTCTCCATAACCGCAGTCCATGACTCAGATTTCGGTTTATGGCCTTTTAATGGGTGGCGTTCAGTGGGCGGGCGAAAAACGGTGAGGCTAAATAACCATGACGCAGGCGGACTAAGCGAACGCTTTGTTGTCTGTCGACTGAGCGGTTCGCAGCCAGTCAGTCAGCTGCAATTGTCGATAATTAAACAATTATTTACAATTGAAATTCTCAATTGCAAAGTGCAAATGAAAAACCGAAAACAAAGCAAAATCGATTGACTCGATTCATACGTAGACCTCTGGCTATTTTTCTTTTTTTTTCGACAAGTGCGAGACAATTGAAATTGATTTTCCACAAGGCGTCCCCAATGGATTTCTATTTCGAGAGCATTGCACGCAGCTTTTTCAAAGCTGAGGGAAAACTGAAGGGGCAAGGGCAGGTTGTCCCAGGCAAACAAATAAAACTTTGGCCCCAGTTCGTTTTCCATTCACTCGCATGCAGCAAAAGCAAAATCGAAACAAAAAATCTGAGGCTAAAGCAGCGCCAACAAGGCAAACAAACAAACTTGAGAAGGTCAGCGCCGAACGATGTCAGCTGCGAACGCCAACGGCAACGTTGTTTCAAAATTTACAGCTTACAATAAAAATAAAAGCCATATTAATTGTTGTTGTCGTTGTTGCTGCTGCTGCTGTTTGCGATACACAAAACACACGCACCCAGAATGTCAGAGGCGCATGCATTAAATATTCCGTTCAGGGGCTCTCCAAAACAAATCTTGATTGACCTTTTCGTGATTGATACTTTTGAAGTCAGAAGGGGCAGGCCTTTTGCATGTTAAGGCTACATCCTAAAATGTTCACTATTCATTGTTAGTATTTACTAAAGTACTGTTCATTGGCTTATATTAACTTAATATTTATTATTGTTTGCAATCAGCTGTCAAGAACTTCACAATATTATTTTTTATTCTTTTTGTTTTACTTGTTTTAAAATAAAGTAACTTAAAACTGAGAGGGCTTTTGAATTCTAAGGTCATCTTAAATTCTTGAGCGCTGCATAAAACCACTCTTCCGACTATTTGATTGGTGCTTTTAAATTGGGTCTAAAGAAGTTCCCTCTTCCGGCCCAGTTCCTTTCAATTTCCTCTTTAATTATTCCGAAGATTACAAGAAGTTGTTGCCCCAAAATGCCTACTTAACCCAGCCC